CAAACCTCGCTCTGCGGATTCGGGGGCCGATGCTCGGCCCTCGGAGGTGAGGTAGACAGCGAAGTTGATGTATAAGGTGGTAACAGCGATAGTGAGGTTGCGGTTGGGCGAGTCGCCACTGTTTGACAGAGCAGATCTCACACCGGTCAGAATTTGGTCGAATGTGTTCATAGCCAGGGACCGTCCAGCGGTTGTCTCGAAAAGATTGGCAAAGGTTCGAATAGACAGCATTGCATTGTTGACATTGAGCGGGGTCTCGAATATCCCGCTGGCCAGAAGCCCTGTCACGAGGTCATCCCCATTAAACTCCGTGGTCGCGGCCAATGGTGCGGCGGCAGCCAGCAGACGAAGAAGATCCAGCCCCGGGAGCCTGTTTGCAGTGGGCCATGCCGTAGCGGCCTTGAATACCAGTGGAACTCCAGCTTCGACCACTGGGGAGTCTGGAAGCTGCTGGGAGGATTCTAACTTGCCAGACAGAGCCACAATATCTTGCATCTCTGATGGGGTTAATGCCTTATCCTTGGCACCTTCGGAAAGAAGCTTCTCATTAATTTCTTGGAGCTTCTTTGTAACGACTTTGAGGTTTGCTGAACGGATAGAAAGATAAGTCTTTTGGGGAAGAACCTGGGTGCGCTCATCGGGAATGGACGGTGGGGTATTCTCGGCAGCTGAAGCGTCTCCAGGACGGTATCGTCGATCAGAGCCCCAGGGATCTGAACCGGGAGGAGCGGAATCTTGAGATTGGCCCAAAGTTGCACCCTGGGTGTTCTGTGTGATGAAGTTTGCAACCTGGTCCAGGTAGGTCATAGGCAGCTCGTTGTCGCCAATGAACTTGGTGGCTGCTTCGTAAGGGTTCTGTGAGGCATTGTAGGGGAGTTTGAGCGGAGGCTTGCCGTCTTCGATATCGACGTCGAAGACATAATCATAGTCCTGCCCAAGGTATTCTGTTTTACGACCACTGCTTCCTGCCGAGTCCACCACTGTGCCAACTGCAATCCACTCCTGTGTTGCTGCTGACCAAGTGTGAGCCGTGATGCTACCATCAGGTTCATTGATCATCTGAATTTGGCCCTCCTTTGTTCCTGACTTCTGCTTGAGGAACTCCGGGCCGGGTAATTGCTCTTTGTTGATATTCCCAACTTGTTGCGCTGGAATGGCTGACTCCTTGACAGCCTGATCAAACAACTCAATAACCTCCGGTGCCGCCTGTCGCTCCGGACTTCGGCTAAAAATACGAGCAATGCGATCACTAGCACCAGTAATGATGTCACCCGTTTCGCTACACGCAGCAACACTCCAAACCGAGATGGCAGGGTGGGTAATAGTCTGAACGCATTGAATTCCATTCCATACTCTGACGGTTCGGTCTTCGCCTGAGCTCACTAGCTCACCGGAAGGCAGCGCAGCCAGAGAATAGACGAAGCTCTCGTGACCATGAAGAGAAGCGACCAGATCGCCCTGCAGAGTGTAGAGTCGAATGATGCCATCATTACTGGCCGATGCAAACTGCGCTCCAGTCGGGTTCGAAGAGGGGACCCTACAGAGGGCCCGCACAACGTCATTGGAGTTCTGTATACTGGCAAGGAGCTTTCCGGAGATATTGAATATGCGAATCATCTTGTCGGCGCAGCCTTGGGTAATGTCAGTTCATCGCTTCATCAGTAACCCTCATAATGGAGAGTCAACGTACCGGTGATAACCGTGTTCTTATCGTAGGCCAGCACCGCCCATACGCTTCCTTCATGGCCATCCAATACGACATCAGTCTCCCATTTCCCAACCTTCCAGATCCGAGCTGACGAGTCCCAGCTACCACTGACAATCCATCCGCTATCAGGTGATACATCGAGAGCACAGATGTTGTGGGCATGGCCCAGGAGCATAGCATCCGCATTGTCGTCCGATCCCTTTCCGGGTTGTCGGGCTTCAATGATGGTATCCTGTCCACCAGATAAAATAAGACCCTCGGGATACTCGGCTGTAGGTTGGAGGTAGGCTAAACTGTTGATAAAAGCCTGACCATGTGCAGTGATTGTGTAGTCGTATGAGGGGGGTGGGGTAGAGACGAGCTTCCAGAGCCGGACTGTTGCATCGCGTGAAGCTGACAGGGCAGCATTCGGGTTGGGAAAGGCCACGGCGCGTACCTGGAATGAAGATTTGGAGTCAGTGAGCTAGATCACATGCAGTAGCAAGGTGTCTTGTCGAGACAGCCGGGAGTGGGAGCCTTACATCATCGCCGTGGCCTTCAAGGGATGCGGAGATCTTGAAGTCAGGCATACAAACAACTGAAGAGAGAATTGAAGTGGGAAAAAAAAAGGCGACAAGAGCAAAAATATGGCTTATCAAGCAATGAGGTACCTGGCTGGGAGTTGTTGTCCGTTCGTCGTTCCTGGGGTCCCCGCCGCGCATCCTATCACGTGGGCGGTGGAGCTATGACGAACCTGCTAGAAGGTCATCTGGAAGATCACGGGAATTGCTAAGTCCAGACGAGTTTTGCGCCAGGGTTCCGCACCAGAGTAGGATTGCTGAACCAAATCAGCGCAACCTTGGATCCATTGATGCATTTGACTGGCAGTAATTTGCTTTCCATACTGTCTTTTTGGTGTTTTACCGTTCTGTATTTAGGTCAAGTAACATATTTAGCAGCAGTTTCTAAAGAGCGATGTTTGCCCAAGCCGGGCAGACGGGAGTTGGCGGTGAAAGCAAACCCCTCCTGGTTCCTAGCTGACATGAACGGACCCGACAAGTGGCCATCCAGATAATTCTACAGGAAGGTTCACGCTTCAAAGCCCACACTCGAGTCCAGCAGCAGCTGCAAGTGAAAATCAACAGTCGCAATCGAGGTTGAAGTAGAAGTAGAGCGAGGCGGTTAGGCCATATCGGGACTAGCGTGGTTAGCTCAGCACAGCAGTGTGGCTGCAGGAGCCCCGTTAATATTCACCAGATCAATTCTACGATCAGTTCGATCGACACCACGAGTGGTCCTGCCACCCTCTGCTTCAGATCTTGATGAATTGACGACCCTGACGAATCTCTTTGGTACTTTACTTCAGACCGAATCGGGCTTTCCTCTCCAAGCCTGCCTTGTGGTGGCCATAGTGAATTCTTGAAGACTCCTGTCTCTCTCTCTCTCTCTCTCTCTCTCTCTCTCTCTCTCTCTCTCTCTCTCTCTTTCACTACACGCTGATCGAATATTCTCCGAAGACACCATGGCTTCTGGTGAGTTGCGAGGTGTTTCCTGATCATGACTGTGTATTAATCGTCGGCAGATATCCCCAAGGTGGTCCCTCTGACCTGTCACGGACATTCTCGTCCCGTGACCCATTTAAGTTTCTCGTCGAATGTCGAGGACGATCAGTACTATATCATTTCTGCGTGCAAAGGTATCAATCTGAAAATTCCAAAAAGATTTTAGTGCATATAAAACTCATCTCCCTCGATCAGATAACAACCCTATGCTCAGAGATGGCATCACTGGTGATTGGTATGTCAAACTCATTCTAGGATAGGCCACAAGGTACAGTGGCTGACACGCTTGACAGGATTGGTACATTCCTCGGCCACAAAGGCGCTGTCTGGCAATCCCGGCTCTCGGCCGATGCCACCATCGCAGCCACCGCTGCTGCCGACTTCTCAGCGTAAGCCACATTTCACATAATCAATCGATTCAACTGACCATGGAAACAGAAAGGTTTGGGATACCTACTCGGGCGAGTGTCTCCACACACTGCAACACGCCCACATCGTGCGAGCAATTGCTTTCCCAATGCAGGCCAACCCGCAGATCCTAGCAACCGGAGGCGCAGAGAAGAAGCTCCGCATCTTTGACCTTTCCCGCGGCGGTGGTAACAGCAATGGCTCCTCGCCGCCTCTCCCGCCTACTGGCGGAGAGCAAGGCCCAGAGCCTACCAGCTATGAGATCGGACCTGGCGTCCATGGTGGCACGATCAAGTCTATTGTCTGGAACCAGGACTACAATGTCGTGACAACTGCTGCCGAGGACCGCAAGATTCGCTGGTGGGATCTGCGTTCGCGGCATCCTGTCCTCGAGTATGGCGTTGACGGCACGATAGGCTCGTGCGAGTTGAACAGCCTTGCTGTGCGACCTAATGATCCTGGTATTTTGACTGTTGCTGCTGGAAAGAGCGTTTATCTCTTTGATGGAACGCAGCCGGGTCGTCTATTGAAGAAGGTTGACTTCGGCTATGAGGTTGCTAGTGCTGCTGTTAACAGTGAGTCTGGGCGACTGGTTACTGGTAGTGCGAATGATACGTGGGCGCGGGTTTATGACCTCCACACGAATGAAGAGCTGGGTAAGTTACCACAGGGATCCCCTATTTGCTGGGTGCATTGGTCTAATATTCGACTACAGAGGTGCAAAAGGGTCACCATGGCCCCATCTGGTCTATCAGCTTCTCTCCTGATGGCAAGCTCTATGCTACCGGTAGCGAAGACGGCACCATCAAGTTGTGGAAAGCATGCCGGGAACCGTATGGTCTTTGGCGTTAAAAGTGGACGAATATACACTGTACAGCATCCAGATTTCCCATCGTCTTTCTCTGTTCTTACATCCTCAATAAGGTAGTTTGTGATGGCACCTGTGTGTTTTATCACGAAAACGGCTGCCCTCGCTTTAATCCATTAATTTTCCATATTAGTAGATGGGGCGACGAGAAAACCACTTGAAAGTCCATGAAGCTTCATTTCATATTTGAGCTCTTTGATGTCTTGCGAGGCACATGGTAACTTGCTGTAAAACCAAGACTATAAGAATCCCCCAACTCGTGGAGCCTTAAGTTCGATATCGAGAAAAAGGAAAACGGCCCAGATAACCCATTGACAATTTCATAAAATGCAATTAGAATTACAAGTCTTCCATCTGCAGCATGCCATAGAGTGAAGCGATGTATCGAGCTGACGATGAAGCGGAAGAAAAGAAGCGAATTTCGAAAAGTTGTGCAGTATGCAAGCTATGTCCCGGCCGTTTTGTAGCCACTCCTTCACTCAATCATATCGATGTCATCGTTGTCGTGACCAGCAGGCGCAGGCGCAGGCGCGGGGGCATCAGTAGCAACCGGGGCGTCTTGGACAGGCTGTTCGCCAGCGCCCTCATTATCATTCTTGCCACCCCAGTAGTCCTCCATCTCCTGATCGAGCTCCTCCTGTGTTTTACGGGGACGAGCGTTCGAGCGACGGCCTCCATTCTCAGTGTTGCGGGGACGGTTGTCGCGGCCACCTCCACGGCGGCCACCATTGCGACCTGCGTCGCGTTGACCGGGGATGTATCGGTCGATGTGGTCGGGGGCAGGCTTGCTTATGTCGCTGCGGCGGCCGCGGCCTCCAGCTCCACGGCGACGTCTGTCTCCACCTTCGGTCTCGCTTTCAGGGCTCATCGGGCGCTCCACGCGGTCGAAGAGGGTACCGCCAGTACGCTCGCGGCGGCCAGGTACAAGGGAGAGGCGGATGGGTTGGCCCTTTGCGTTAGCGCCGTCGAATTCGCGGACCGAGTCGTGCGCGTCTCTCAGTCTCTCGTATGTGATAAAGGCAACGCCCTCGGAGCGTCCAGCGCGGTCATAAACGAGGGAAAGTTCTTGAACAGGGCCAATTCGGCCGAAGAGGTCCTGTTGGAAAATGTTAGATGATGTAGAATTGTTCAATCCGGCAGCACGTACTTCCAGATCACTCTCGGTGATGTCGTAGTGAAGGTTTTCCACGCGAACCTTGGTCAAGGCGGGACCGCCACTATATGAATTAGTATACCCAGGCATTGAAAATGGTGTCCATGGAACATGTGCGTTTCATACCGGCCAGGTGAGCCTGTGCGGCCAGAATGGCGGGAGCCACGAGATGGACGAGCTGGAAGAACAGTCAGAAAAAAGCCCAGTATGCCAACAAGAAATCACACACATTCACGGTCATCATCAAACTTGTCATGCACCCAGTCGCTATTGGAGTAACTCTGTCAGCCTCCAACCAAACCAGACCAACTCAAAAACAAAGGAATATTCACAGGTTCAAGTTAACAGAGTCCTTGGCGTAAGGCTGTTGAAATCGAAGAGAACGATGGTTAGCTGTAAGTCAGAATGGTAGCGAGGACAATTGCGTTGCAAGTTCGCCACGGCCTTGTCGTTGGCGAATCTTCGACCATGTAGAGGACTTGACTGGCTACGGTTGTCACGACGCAAAAGGACTCGGTGTAGGAAGAGGAGGGCGGACCTAGAAGGAAGTCAACTAAGTTAGCGGGGCTCCCATGCTTCAATGCAACAGTAAAATCCAGGCTTTGGTGTCGAGACCGGGGTAATACCTTTCTAACGCCATCACGCTCACCGCGACGACGGCCTTGATTGCGCCGACCGCCAGAAGGACGATCGCCAGAAAGACGATCACCAGAAGGACGGTCACCCGAAGGACGGTCACCAGAAGGACGGTCACCAGAAGAGCGACCCTTGATGCGCTGTAATTGGGGGTTTGGTTGTTAGTGGCTGGCTGGGGAAAATGTAGCAGCTGGGTGCGTACGGTGTCTTCGGCGATGATCTCGTCCAAGCTGCGATCCATCTTGTATATGTGGAGAGGGAGGGGAGAAAGCGAAGGAAAAGCTCGAGGGGGAGGAAATCTGAGAGAATGCGATTGACCCTTTCAGGTGTCGCAGAGGATTGAATGAAGTAGAGATGGAGGGCTGAGCGGTGGCTGAATAGAAGATTGTCGCCTCTTTCGGGATGCGCGATCTGGCTGGGGGCGCCAGATCACGTGTCATGAACTACGGGCACCAGAGTGAACGGTTCTTTTAAGTTTATACATGATTTGGAGAAGTGCATCAGCTGCTTCTGTTTAGTTGCCTTTTTTTTATGTTGTTCTTTTTAATTCATGGTATCCCGGTTTCAATACAAACAGAAGAATGCAGAACATAATGCAAAAAGAGGAAGAACCACCGAACCCCAGGATGCATGATGGATATGGGAAAGCCAGGGGAAAGAGAATAATAGAATGACACCACCCCAGTAATCATGGCAACACCTTGACAAAACAGACCCTCCTGTATCACCGGCGACGCTGTGCAAAGAACAAGTGGACTTCAACTTCTTCACTGCTTTCCATTCCTTTTGTTTTCCTCAATCATCTTCTCCATGAAACTGATATAGTCGAACTTGGCCAGGTCTCGGTCTTCCAGCATATCAGGGCCTTCATGTTGAGGCATAGTCTTGACCAAGTGCTCAATGACTTCATCGGGAATCAGCGAGTGTCGGAGATCCATTTCAGTGACGTATGGCTGTGACTCGTCAGTATTGTATATTGTAGAAACAGTTTACATTGTTGATTTGAACATACCTTGCCATCGGCAACCTCCTTGAAACTCTGGAAAACTTGCTCCGCAGTATTTTGGTCCTCGGTTACACTAACCATGAACCGAATGAACTGCTCGAAGCTGACACCGGCGTTCTGTGCAAGGCGAATTGGCCCACACACTTCCACGTAGACCTGGTGCATCTCTTCCTCGTCATAGACCAAACCTAGACTAGCCAATGCTGCAGAGAATTCCAGTTCCTGCAATGTATTGGAAGAGTCCCGGTCGAAGTGGCGGAAGACTGACTCAAACTCCTCCAGCTGAATGGGGGTCAAGTTGGTCATGCTGCGGGCCACCATCTGGTTCTCCAAGAAGGCCAGCTTCTTCGAGATACTGGACTTCGTCAGGCTCAATTCGTAGGAGAGTTCGTCCAGGGTGAAGGTGGTGAAATCGTTCTCTTCAATGTTGGCCTCGGCACACTGTTCGTCAAGTTCCGCGATGGTATCGAGGAAAGCATCGAGCGGCGGCATGTTGTCGTTCAGTTTCTTGACATGCTCCAGCTGGTCTTCAACATCCCCATCCAACCCGGAGATGGCTAATGACAGGGTCTTTAGTGTCAGTGCAAAATCATTTGCCTTATCGGCAAAAGAACGGCGCAGAGCGTTCTTGATATCGCGAATTGTCTCGTTGATAAGCTGGCTGCGCTGATGCTCATCCCGTGTCAGACTCTCCCATTCTTGATCGCAAGTCTCCAGGCTCACTTCCGCCGGTGGCTCGTAGGGGCGTAGTCGGTAGGTTCCCAGCTTCGTTTTGATGTTGCCCAGCAGGGCTGCCAGATCCGACTTTTCGGCAACCCACTGTCGCTTCTCGTTTCGTTTATACAACGAAAACTGATGTGCCTGCTCTTTGACGTCTTTGTATGTGCCCTCGAATGAGGAATTCTGCCATTCATCGCGCTGGGCACGAATCAGCCGGAGCAGCTCGCGCATGCGACGCTCGTACCCGCTTTGCATGTCCCAAGCACCATGCATATTGTTCACAAACTTCTCGACACGGCGACCGGCATTTTCGACTCTCTCCAGTTGTGAAAAGGCATGGAACCAGTAAGCGATATAGGTCATCAAGGAACGGTCATCGGGACGTGGCACATCACACACATCATCCACATCGAGCAAATCGGGGATGCCGATCTCATTTGACGCAAGGTCGAATGCAAGCTTCATGTTCCCACGGTGGTCGCTCTTGTCCAAAGAATCGTAATCGATCAAGTCCGGTCGGTGGATATCGAGCAAAGCGCAGAAAGCCAGACCGTTGTTCCAACTGGTCGAGAAATCGCGAACCTCCACATCATCATAGCACGCCGTCTTGCGTTGACACCATAGCAGCAGACCCTCCTTTGCTGTCATGCCCTCCTCGTTGATGTCGCTGATTGTGAACCGGAGAATGAGGGTCCAGATCAGTCCCAGGATGATTTTACGGTTGCCATCGACGATATCCTCCGCTCCGATGTTCGTCATTTGAATCCTCCTTCCTTTGATAAAGTCCAAACTCTTGTTGACATTCTCGAATTTCTGCACCCGCAGCTTCGGTTTCAATGCATATCGACCGAGGGATTCCCCACCAAGGATTTCGAGTAGATGAATGAGGATAACCTAGTGGAAGCAGGGGAGATCAGCGGCCAGGATCGAGGGGCTGATATTGGCTGAATTGCGGGGGAAGAAGAGGACTCACGCCGTCAGATAGATCAGTGACCAAGTCCGCGATGAACAAGGTCCGCGCCTTCAGCTTGTCATTCAGCCTAGATAGGTAGCTCAGTTAGTGGCAGTGATAGAGAAGGGCGGGGAAGACGGACCATTTGGTGAAGGTCTTTTGCTGCACATTAATCCACTGCTTCTCGACCGTCAACATGTTGGCTCAGGGCGGCATCCAGGGCCTAAGGCCGATTGGCAATGAAAAGGATCAAAGATCAGGGTTCAAGGGTGGAATCAAAGGTGGATGATCAGCGGTTAATTTCGAGCGCGATCCGACACAAAGGGAAGTTTGCTAATGAAATCGTCGATCAATTAGGGGCGGGGTGTTTCTCCCGCTCCGCCAAGTCACCCTGGCAACGCTTCTATACTCGACTGTCGAACCCTTTGTTCTAGAAAAGTGACAGAGTGACAAAGTGGCAGAGTAGAGGAACAAAAAGAAATCAGGTAGACGTTAGTAACATTATGGGTGTTCATGTTCATCCCTAGCGATCGGGTATCCCTTGATCACCCTGTTCTATCTTTAGATCTTAGCACGGTCGATATCTGCATGTCATATTCGAACTACTGGGTAGGACTGGATGTCTGGACGCTTGACAACAGTTCATTGAATTAATAGATCCTCTTACTTTACTACTAAGTACCTTGGTACCTTGGTGGCTTGAGGACTACCCGTCACGACCGAGGCCCGCCGTTATGAGTCAGGGAAACGACATCCACTGCATAAGCAGTTGGCACAGCCTAGAAGAGGTAAAGAGGTAACGATGGAAAGACTGAAGACCAAAAATGGCGTGATCTCGCCACCAAGTAGAGAGTAGGGAGAAGAATGTCCGAGCACGCCATGGATGCTATACAGAAACAGGAGCAATCGCGGATGATATCATTCCATTGGCGTGGTCCGGCTAAGAGCGGGGCATGCAGCTACGAAACTCGAACTCGACCTCATTTTCGATTTTTAATCAATTCCCCTACCTTTGCGACTTCTCGATTCCCCCGATACCCTCCATAATCACCATGTCTATTAAAATTTCCGATACCCTCCCGCTTCCCAACAGCAGCGAGCGCATTCCGCGCCTGGGCTTTGGCGTCTACCGTTCCCCCTCCGCTCAATGCGTCCAGTCGTGCCTCAAGGCTCTGGAAGTGGGATACCGACACATTGACACCGCGCAATTCTACGGTAACGAAAGCGAGGTTGGCGAGGCCCTGCGCACCAGTGGTCTGCCCCGCGACCAGATCTTTACTACGACTAAGATTCTTAGCCCCGCCGGCTCAGTCGAGGCGACCTATGCCAAGCTGCTGGAGAGCGTTGAGAAGGTCGGAGGACCTGGCGGATATGTTGATCTGTTCTTGATCCATAGCTCTAGCTCTGGGTCTGCAGGTCGGAAGCAGCTGTGGCAAGCGCTGGAGAGGTTACATGGAGAGGGCAAGGCCAAGAGCATCGGTGTGAGCAACTACGGTGTGCAGCATATTGAGGAGATGAAGGCGTATGCCAAGATTTGGCCGCCGCATGTGAACCAACTTGAGGTTTGTCCCCTGCTTTGCTTATTCACTAAAATTCCCATTTATTTGATCTTGGGCTGACTCGCGATGCACTCACAGCTCCACCCCTGGTGCCAGCAGCGAACGATTGACGCATACTGCAAGCAGCACGGCGTTGTCGTCGAGGCCTATTCGCCGATTGTCCGTAACAATAAGGCCAACGAGCCAACGCTTGTCGAGATCGCCAAGAGGTACAACCAGTCGACGCAGCAGGTGCTGATCCGTTATGCGCTGCAGAAGCGATGGGTGCCTCTGCCGAAATCTGACACTGCAGAGCGAATTGCAGCCAATGCCGACGTCTTCGGCTTCGATCTCAGTGCGGACGACATGGACCTCTTGGATTCTCTCGACCAAGGTGCCGCAGGAGCTATTGTGGAGGCCGTTGAGAACGAGTGAGCTCCATACAGTGTGTCATTTCAGAATCATGGTGTTTCTATCAGACAGGGCTAGGCCGCACATGATGCATTCTCAACCCGGATCACGACATCAAAAAGGCGTTCACTGATTGAAGTGTCGAGCGAGACGGATTCACGTCATGTTTCGACGAAACGATCCACGCGAGACGCTGTCGGATAAACTGCTTGCCGATCAGGTTCTTGCTCTGCGAGATATCAAACGTTCCTGGACGATTAGAGTTAGTCTTTTTTTTTTTATTCCCCATTTCTTCTAGCGTCTGAATTTATCCAGAATTTTCTGGGGCATAGCACATACCATCGTCCTTGTAGAACAAGCAAATAATTGCCAGTAAAGCTCCCGCAGACAGATCTTTTCCTGTTTCGCAGGTCACCAGTAGTGAGCGCGATGTGTCGGCTTCCAGTTGCGCGCTGACGAACTCTTTGACTTTATCAAGGGCCTTGCGTAGATCCCGACTGCCCAGCTTCAACGACCCGCACCCTAAATTCAGACGCTTTTTGTTGCCTTCCGCGGCAGCAGAACTTCCATTACAATCAATGACTAGATCATACTGACCGCTGTCATTCACAGCTGCGTTCGTTTGACCGAGGAAAAGGTTCTGAGTTGGAGAAACCCGAGTTGCACCCTGTCCATCACTCCGTTGTTGGTATTGCTTGACTAACTCAGCAATAAGATTCGGAAGGTCTTCTTCGGGGGTTTGCTTCAGAACAGCCTGATTCGCCCAAAAGATCGGGGGTGTCAGCCCGTGCGCCCAGCCCTCGCTGTCGTCACCAGCACCCTGGATGTATCCACCTTCGGACATCTCGGCACCATGGACACGTTTTGAGGCGGAGCACAAGACAAAAAGGATATAGGCATCGTTCTTGGACAGATCTGTCGGATAGAAATACGTGCGATTGGCCCATGCAACACGGATGGGCTTCCCCAGCTGCTGCCGCAGCTGGTCTAGGTCGAGCTTGAGGCCCTGGTTTGATGATATCAGCCTGCTATTCACGTAACCTTTTTCACCCGGGTGAAGAGGCCAGTCAAAACAAGAACCCTTGCCGAGCTATTTGCAGGCATCTTACCTTCAGCGATGAAACGAAGCCATCGATGCGGGTTTCGATCTGTGATTCCTCGGATTCGCCGAGGAAGTTGGGTGGCAGTTGCACGGGGTGGAAATCTGTCTGCGTCGGGAAGAGAGCTCGATTGATCACGGCGCACCAGATCGGGATTGTCTTCGACAGGGCATCTGGCATCACTGTAGACTTTGGTGTAAGCCTCGGTGCACGGTGACAGATGTGGAAACGGAGATGGCGCCGACTAGGCCATCACGTTCCGCGGGCTGATACGTACGTTTACCTCGGCGGGTTGAGTCGACAATTACACATCTATCGCGTTGAGATGAAAATAGTCAGTTTGGAGTCATTTAATGCAAGTCGTCGGGTATAGAAAATGGTTGTCACAGCCCAATGAAGGCCTAGAAAAAGGAACGTGGAAGGGAGACGGCAACGGAATGATCGGAGCTTCCAATCATCTCTTCACTGGTACCGGTGAGAAACGGAATCAACTAACCCCCCATGCTCCCTAGCCAGCGGGAGAAGCTGCAGGTTCAGCCTACGAAAGCTAAAGTCCCATTGGCCGGTGTGGCCATCTGTGCTCTTGAAATAGGCGCTGCCTGTCTTGGCATCAGGCGAGATATACCAGCTGCCACAACGTTCATTGGCAACTAGCGGCAAACCATAGTGGTCTGCAGCTTCTCGCACAAATTCCGCGTCCGCCTCAATGGACTGGAGCCGGTTGGAAACCGACAGAGCCGAGCGACGCAAGGAGGACAGTGTCTGCGAGATGGACTGTTGGGCAGACGGGAAATGAAGCGCATCCAGGGTCGGAAACGATGCCGATCCCATGTTGAAACGGGCCAACTAATTTAGCCTGGGTATAGCACTTAAAGCTGCGGTCGTACTTTGGGGTAGTACCGAATGGCACTCGGCCGAGATCCAGGCGCTTGCTCGGAAACGGACTGCGAATCCAGCTGTTGAAGTCCAATGGACGTTGCTGTCAGGGCAAATATCAAAGAGAACCCGTGCAAGTCGCGAAAAGGGCAGATGCGTTCAAGATCCACGGATGAACCGGCCAATCAGCATGACGGTGGGGTTTAAGAGAGTGGAGACATGCTGTCGCCCAATTCGGGCTGGTCGTCACTGAATTTGGTGAGTCAGTAAATTCAGGTTCAGCGGGGTATGGAATCGAATGGTGGTGGGGGGAGGGGAGGAATGAGGGGCAAAAACTGCGAGGTCAAGTACTTGGTCAACTACCAGAAAGCTGTACAGTCCAAGTCTATACGCCAGATTTGGATTTGGATTTAGATTCATTTAGGACTAATTGACATATACGAACATGAGCATGAGTCGTGTCGATCTTCCTTGACACTGATGTTGGAATCTACTTGAAGACGAAAAGCTGTGCAATACTCGAAGCTAGCACAATACAGACGACGCTTCACCGTGGATCCCTTATCCGCTCCTCCTATCTCATCCTGACTTCTAGAAGTTTCTATTTTCAGTTTGTTTCTTGATTCCACTTACAATAAAAATAGTCCCGAGGTTTTCAATCTAGAGCATCCATTGCAAATGTCTCCGAGGAAGGTTTATGCAGCATCCTCCAACCCCCTGGGGAATCCCCGCGCGACCAGGGTCACGTTGTGAGCCGGAGCTCAATAGCCCAGGATTCAAACGAATCGCCGTACGACCGAGCGGCACGAGTTTGGGCCCTTAGGTTACTGAAGGAGATCCAATGGAATCTTCTAGATATGGTCCCGTGGACGCATTCCAGTCATGTTTTTGGGGTGGGGGTCACGAGTAGAAGGGGAAAGAATGAGAAGAGAGACAAAACGCTTAGGCTTTCTGTAACGCATTCTCGAGGAACTCATTTCTACGAGGACTGTGAAACCACGGCACCCGAAGTTCTGCGACTTTCTACGAGTACATAGCAAGCGCTAAGCTGGGACTGCTCTGGCGCTGCTTACTCCGTGGTTTGCGGGCGGTGATAGGCAAGAATTCGGGTACCGGTACTTGTAGCCATATAGTGACTACTATGTCAGATAACGTACTGATACCTACGTAACGGCCCGCGATCTCAAGCCCCGCGGACCCGCAACTGCCCGGAGAATCTCATTGTGGCAGCGTCATTCTTTCCTGCTTTCCGTAGACCGGGTCCCTGCCCTTAAATGCCTCTTTCCCCCGTCCCCTTCGGTCAATTGTCTCGTTCCTTTTGTGGCTTCTCTCACTTCACCTTTCCCTCCTTTTCTCTGGTACTAGTCCACTTAGATCATTCTAGATCAACTCTAGATCAGACATCCCGTCTTGCTACCTCGGTGTATTGCCAATTCACTTTTCAACTACCCAGTTCTCTGTTCCCAGGGATCAATCTTACTCTTCATCATGCCTAAGGTTCGCGGATCCCCTCGTGGCTCTCAGACCCACCGACGCTAACCGTCCCGCAGATCACCGAGCTCTTCTTCGACTGCGACAACACTCTTGTCCTGTCGGAGGAGTTAGCCTTTGAGGCCTGCGCCGACTTGGCCAACGAGATCCTGGAGAAACAGGGTATTCCTGATCGCTACACCGGTGGCCAGCTCATCAAGGACTTTGTCGGCCAGAACTTCCGAGGCATGATGATTTCGCTACAATCCAAGTACAAGTTTGAATTGGAACAGGACGAGCTTGAGAGATACGTCACCGAGGAGGAGAACAAGGTCATTGAGAAGCTGGAAGCTAAGGCTCAGCCTTGCGCCGGTGCTTCCGAGGTCCTGCAAAGACTCTACGATTCGAAGAAGTACGGCATGGCGGTCGTCTCATCCTCAGCTCTGCGTCGCGTGCGCGCATCCATCAAGAAGGTCGGCCAGGACAAGTACTTCGCTGAAGACATGGTTTTCAGCGCTGCTACCTCGCTGCCCAAGCCCACTTCCAAGCCTGACCCGGCTATCTACCTTCATGCTCTTGAGTACGTCAAGAAGACTGCCGCCGAGACTATCGCCATAGAGGACAGCAAGTCCGGCGCACTCTCTGCTATCCGTGCCGGCATCCCCGTCATTGCCTACGTTGGCAGCTACAGCAGTGACATGCAGGAGGAGATGGGCAAGCGCCTGATGGAACTCGGAGCCAAGATCCTCATGACCGACTGGTCTCAATTCGACAAGTGCCTGAAGTTCATTGAGAGTGGAGCTGATAGCGAGGGTCCTCAGTCTAGCCTGTGATGGTCCTCGGTCTTTTATTAACGCCTGCACGATATCATGATAGCAAGCGAATGGTCGTTCTGGAGCTTTTATTTAGGTCTGTTACTTTTGCGACACATGTTTATGTGAGATGAACCCCACTTTTCCTCATCTCGGCATTCTTATTGCAGAGTGGACATGATTCCATTCGGATGCAGAAGAAAATGCGGTTCTCTGAGCTGCTGCGAGCTTATGTTAGCCGGCAGTTGCTTATTTCTTGATTCTGCGCATTATCCTAGTATCTTTCAATCCTCGCGCATAGACAGGTTTCCGAGCAATGAGATACCGTCTGTGTGATGTTTAAAAGTACAATTGTTTTATGAGATACCCATTATTTGATTCATAGTCCAATCTACCCGAGATTATTCCTCCAACATGGGATCCCCAAATAGTACAGTGATAAGATAAGGGTTGGAGCCCCACCATCAGCTACTCCTCCCCGCCAACTCTCCAGCAACATTGGGATTATCCCGGGGAAAGCTTGACTCCACTTAGTGAACTCCCATTACTCCCTTTTTTTCACCGAGTCATCCGAAACTTGCTCTCCGAGCCTTCAATTCACGAGAATGTCGGCACCCGCCCAGACCAAATGCAAGCACATTTCAAAGGGCCCCCTGGTACGCTATCAAACCCACCTTTCCCCTTTGGTTCATAGTTTGCCCTTCAAGACAGACAACGAACGACCGCAAGAGCTATTAGCGCAGCGCGTGCCCTCGTCATTATTATATCTGACGCCTCAATTTAGGATCCGGTCGAAGCCCGCTGGACTCGATTAGTTAAGACCACCTACGCCGATCCTCTGGGCGTTGAACGCACCTGGGAATCTGCAGAGCGTACGGTAGGTTGCCTTGTTCAACTTTGGGTCTCACTGCATGTTTTATTTTGATTGCCAAGGGTGGTTGCACTGCATCTAAAGAAAGTATTTGAAACCCCAGTCTGAGCCCGCACATGATCTATCTATGATCTCCCCTTTGCTTCAGCCACATGGGAGCATGACCGTGTCTACTTCTATAAGCTTACTATGCTCACCCGGGTGTGTTGTGGTGGACCGAGCCGCGATGTCTTCATTGGCTGCCTCGGGTTACAAATGTTTAATGAATGATGACACCTGTGATCTGCTATTTCAGGGCGGCAACTGCGTCTTGCTCGGCTTGGACTCTTGGGCTAATTCGATCTCCACAGACCCGCCCGACCAACTGCGCAATCGACGGTGTTGGTATCTGCACTATCCTCAACAAATCCACGGGGCCTGAACTGTTGCTGCAGAAGCAATACCGGCCCCCAATTGATCAGATTGTCATTGAGGTCCCTGCGGGCCTTATCGATGCCGGTGAGACTGTAGAGCAATGTGCTGTGCGAGAGCTCAAAGAGGAGACTGGGTACGTGGGTGTGGCGGAGCAGACCAGTCCGGTGATGTTTAACGGTAAGTGTTCCATATTGATTGATCTGTTTCATTTTTGCGTGGCTCACAATTAACTCCTGTCTCTAGACCCGGGTATGTGCAACACCAACTTGAACATGGTCCATGTTCGTGTGGACATGTCACTTCCCGAGAACCAGAATCCCAAGCCGGAACTTGAAGAGAGTGAATTCATTGAGTGCTTCTCTGTTCCTCTGTCTTCTCTGTTCGATGAGATGAAGAAGCTTGAGAAAGAGGGCTATGCTATTGATGCTCGAGTTGGCACACTCGCTGAGGGCATTGAACTGGCGAAAAAGTGGAAGTTGTGAAGTCGAAAGAAATAGACATCGATGTTGCAGCTCATACTATCGATAAGACAACGCTAATGAAATGCCAAAGCAAGGCGTCTACTCGACACAAGCCTCCTGGGCGCTTTTTCTCCCTGCCTGCTCTTCATCACTAGATCTTCCCTTCCTGCTGGAGTCCCTTGTAAAGAGCCCACGCAGCCAGTGTCTTGCCATCCCTCAAACCTTCTTTCCAAAGGTTTTCCAGAGGAACAATCTTCAAAGTAATCTTCTCCCCATGATCACGCAGCCCCGTCAACTTCCCCTGTAGCTCTCCAATTTCCTTCCTCGGCATCCGCTTCTGACACAAGAAGAGAGGAATAAATTCATCACTCCCTCCGGCAGATGGATAGATTGCTCGCTGCAGGTTCTCTCCGTTCTCGTCTTGACCAGACTGCAGGGCCAAAGAAGTCATATCAATCAGCTCGTCTTGTTGAACAGACAACCCAGTCTCCTCTTCAATCTCCTTCGCCGCACCTCCGGCAAAAGTCCCACTGTCATCCAACATCCCAGCTGGGATTTCAGCAAAGGCCAAGGATCCAGCCGGAATCCGAGGCTGAATCGTGAGAATGGCGCTTTTTCCTTTTTCCTCGTTGGCAGGAATATCATCCGGTTGTAAGATAAGCTGTGCATGACAGTCAATGACATGAGCTCGAGCATCTTGGCAGTAAGTAAAAAGGTAGAAGAGTAGAGAAACCTACAAGCATGCCAACACTGCCACCTCGTAAAAAGACACTTCCGGGCAAAGGCTCGCCGCTCTTGTTCGATACGTCGGCTTTTAGTTTGATAAAGCCGAGCCGCTTGCCTCCGAAGCGGTCAATGGACTGGATGTCAATGCTGCGCAGCGTATACGGGTCATCGTAAAACTCGTGTGATGGATTCTGCTGTCGGCCCAGAGACTGCTGCAGCGTCTGGATCCAAATCTTGAAAGGAGAGAACGACAGCAGGTCCTCGCGGGTCAAATCTCGGATGCTCTTTACGCGTACATCGGACCCTGGGATCGTGAAGGTTGACATTGTGGCTTGGGCGAGTCTGGGCCTTGTTTGTTCCCGACGCCTAGGTGTGAGTTTCATATGCCGCGCGGTTGGGCGCAGTCTCGAGAGCATGGATTTGAAATGCGGGCGTTGATCTGAGGCGGTGAAGATACCTTTTTAGGAAAGACTATACGCTTCCGTTATTTGCCGTTTCCTCCTTCTCTGTTTGCGATGCTGGGGGCTTGTGCGATGTGGTTGGTGGTTTGTTTGTGGCTGCGACGCGTATGACGTCATATTCTTATTTCCCAGAAGATTCCTCTGCACCACATAGATTCTGGTCGGCCATAGACTGTCTACAAGATGCAGGCTATCTTGTTTAAACTCTATAGATGAGGTAGAAGGCTGACTCGTTGGACCACTTTGGTTTCAACGATTTCCTGTACTTCCAAATCGCACTATCGTGTCGCTGTTGTCTATTCTTAAGGCTCTTCAGATAAGTGTGTTTTATCCGATGCGCGACCCTCAATTCTGTTTAGACATACTCGAGACACTTCGCCAATAGCGCAATTGATTGCTCTAAGATTCAATGTGATTGCGCTCGGGCATAGTCTGGTTCGATTGTGATATGACCCTCCACATGCATCCATGGTCAGCTCGAAGCCTCGCCTGACCTCCTTGGCCTTTCTAGACAACCCCGATACACGACCCCTCAATAATGAGGCATATAGCTCGCTCACATGAGGTCCAAGGCTGGGCAGAGATAAGAAAGCCACCTTGTCCAAGCTCCAGGTATTCTTCGATCATGGGGGATATTGAGAGATCGTCGTTTCGAAACCTCCAATCAAACAGATTTCATCAAAAGGCAGACCAATCAAGAATCAAGCTAGACGCAAAGCCAAGATTTAATTCATGCAAGAAAGTGAGTACCTGCTGTACGGATTCTTCGAGTGTAAATCTAGAACTGTTGTGGAACTAGCTAATTTCACCCAGGTGAAATGACCCGTCACCCCTCACACTAAGCTTCCTTCCGACCCCATTTGCACCAAAAACCCCCTCACCTCGGCGATGAGCACCTCTTATAATTAAGAATCAGATTATCTTCTCAGGAGAGCTCGGGGGAAATGGTATCTCATCCGATATCTGATGCTCGCTTCACCCGGGCGCAACAGATCCCTGTTCTAACGTTGTCTGTGCACCCTTCCCGAGGCATCCCTGTCAGCTCCTTACATCTTCCGTTGCTTTGACATTATTTGCGCTACTCTAGGGCTTGAAGACAGGGGTATATTCTGACTGTAGCCAATAATAAAGGGGTCGCGCGCGTCGGTTGCCTTATCTGGGGGTGCGAACCAGCCGAGTAATGCACCCTGTAGAACAGGGGTATGCACTGATTTGCATGCACTTTGACCGGAACATGATATCAGTGCTGGCTGCATGGTTGTAGTCCATCGATCCTATGCAATGTTTCAACTCGAATTCTTAAACACGCTTTAGAATATGCTCAAGTCTCTTTTCCAGCTTGCTTTTTCAGATACGGAAGGGGGGGGGAACTCGCATGTTAGGTGTACTCGGTCACAGAGAGCACGGGAAGGTCACCTATGTGGGATTGACGCCCACCTAGGTACAAAGAAATGTTAGCTTAAACGCACTATGCACCGCCCCGGTCAATGATATCTATATTTCTAACTGTTAATTGGCGATTCCTGCCGACTGCACATCGTGTATTACTGAGGTATTTTATCTCCACGGCCAATTATAGATTCTTAGGCGCTGTTACTCCCCTGACAACACATCTTAAGATCCAGGGGTTTCGAGCTGTCTTGTCCCTTGACGATATCTTATATATCCATCATCCATACTGCTCTCATCACAAAGTCATCGGATTGTTTTGCAAGGAGATTGTGGGCGTCTCGCTGAAGGCTGCCACTGATCACGATTCAAGCTGGAGCCTATCTGCCGACTCAGATTATCATCTCAGACCCACTCGGAGAAAGAAAAACAATACGAGTCAAAACAATAAAGTGAAATGCCGATGTACTGTCAACGTCGTATGAGGCTGTGTTTCAAAGTTTAGTAGTGTAGAAACTGGAAACATCATGACCCGGCCAAGACAATGCTCTGTCGGGACTCCATATGTACCGACATCACCGACGTGTCCTTGCATCCCCAAGCCCCCAAGTGCCATGTGGCCTCCTCCTGGGGTTCTGCCCGATCACCAGGGTGTTGGGAACACCGCATGATGGCATTGAGTGCAGCCTTTTGCAGCCAAAAATGGAGCATCGGTGGACCTTTGCGCAGGTGGCTTAAACAACCCGAGAGCTGCGTCAAGGCAGGTAAGGCCAATCACAACAAGCTTGAAATTAGTATCCCGAATCGAGCATCTGAATCGGGGGCGGGATTTGAGCATCGTTAGAAGCATATATGAACGGGAGAGTGCGCATAGCGCGATATTCCGGGACCAGCCTGAAAATCAGAGGATTCGGGCTGAATCATGGTTTCGGGTCCTTTGATCTGTGGTCAATGCCAAATGACGGTGAAGAATCCCACGCGTGAGACCTGGAGAAGCGGTGACTGCGAGTAGAACTGTGGCCGGGTCGATGCAAGGGCAGAAAAGAAAAAATTAGAAAAAATCAAATACCTCATAACACTCACAAAGGGCATTTAGAGATTGTTGTGGGCGGGGGGGGGAGTCATCTTAATAAGTGAAGCTTTTCAAAGCATTTGGGCAGTCACAATGTTTCTAGGGCATCTCTATGTCAACCAATGTAGCCTAGGATGCCAGTAAAGCGGTTCCCCAGCCCCCGGCACTGAAATAGCTTAGCGGGTACGTAGTGAGGCGCTCTTCTATACCCGCTGAGATCACTTGGACCCCGTTGGCATGACGGGTTTGTTTGCCAGCCTCGGGGAGGCACCGTATGATGTTTTACAAGGCCTGGGTAGCCTGGACCGGGGTCAGAAACTGCGTCAGCAGATAGACTCGGAACATTAGTTTTCTAGAATGTATGTAAAGGAAGGATCTTGATTATTACCCGGGTGAAAGGTCCATGGGGGCTTGTCGTGATGGGAGTGGTAAGGCAACCGGGCTAATGACCACGGGTGGAGCGCGCTTCACGCTGAATCCTTGCGGGAGGAGCATATCACGCTACGTCGTACTTTTAGCTCTGGGTTATAGGCTGCCTGGTTGCCCTCTAACCTCCTTCATCTCCATACTTAAATAAATCTGGGTTTCCCCCGCCCTCTTATCGGTGCCCGTGCCTTATGCTTGGTTTCCCTTCCAGACAGTTAGTTGCACCCCTTTCACCCGCCACCGCCCTTTGACTTAGCCGTGATCATCCGGTGAGCTAACATCGAATCAGATGATGCACATCTAAATAGATGATGGAATCTCGGCCATCGATCTATCGTAACGAGTCTCGGCGTGCGTTCGGCGCAAACCTAGCTACCCGATTGGACATTAAGGCCTCAAAAGCTTCGGGCCGACTCCATTGTTTGTCGCCCAGGCAAGTTCCACCCGGTCTGCTACTTATTATTCGCCTAACCCTCACCCCAGGTGCCCCAAAAGAACCTTGTACTCTGAAGATTACTTTACAAGGTTCTCAATGGCCAATCGCATGTGCTCATCGGCCAGCCCCCCGTTATCAAGTGGCCGGCCAACATCGGGTGTTTTAGCAGATGACTGTACTCTCGACACCGTCAGTAGCCAAGGGGCGCGCGTTTCAAAGCACTCTCGTGGTAGTGCATCACGCACGGAAAAGTTTCGCCGCAGGGAAAGCTCTCGAACACTAAGGGGTCATCGATTATCCGCCTCCCAGCAGTTAGCGAACTATGCCGATGCCAGTGAATTGGCATCGGGGAAACCTATCGGCACAAATTTCTCGTTGACAAAAGAACCTGCTTATGCCAATTATGATTTGGACACACGACCAGGGTTTCGGAGGTTTCATTCGGATCCCAATGCAGTTCCAAGTTCAGCCAATGAGAAGATCGGGGGCGATGAAAGCATGGAGGATTTACCACCAAAAAGGGGGCTTGAGCCAATCAACGGTCAATCGCCTCCCAAGAACGCACCATTTACAAGGACGGAATATCATGAAATGTTTAGACAGCCTGAGACCAATCCGATTACCGAAGAGCAGTTGATTAATGAGGTACGGGGCATCTATGCAGGGCTAGTGATGGTCGAAAAGAAATGCATCGAGATCGACAAGCAGCAGACCGAGTCCAAGGCAGAGTTATCGGGGTCTCAGTGGCAAGCACTCATTTCCTTGCATCGAACCCTGCTTTACGAACACCATGACTTCTTCCTCGCATCACAGCATCCATCAGCGAGCCTCGTGTTGAAAAGACTTGCCGATAAGTATGCTATGCCTGCCCGAATGTGGCGCTATGGTATCCATTCATTCCTAGAGCTTCTTCGCCAAAAACTTCCAGAGTCATTAGACTATATGCTCAACTTCATCAATTTAGCATATTCTATGATGACTCTGCTCCTGGAAAGCGTCTCTGCGTTCCGAGACACCTGGATCGAATGTCTTGGCGATTTAGCACGGTATCGCATGGCAGTGGAAGAGTCTGATATGCGAGACCGCGAAGTTTGGGCTGGCGTGTCGCGGTACTGGTATAACCAAGATGCAGACCGGAATCCCGATGTCGGTAGAATCCAGCACCATCTAGCTGTGCTTGCTCGTCCGGACGTTTTGCAGCAGCTATTCTACTACACCAAGGCTCTGGTTAGTGTGCGTCCGTTTCCCAATGCACGCGAGAGCGTTATACTCCTCTTCAATCCTTATAATGGTCAACCGCTTCATCAACTTACAATGGTGACTGCCTTTATTGCTACGCACGGTGTGCTATTTACTCGAGGCCCGACTGAACAGTTCATCATCTTGGCAAATCATTTCCTGGCTCTTCTGCGCCGAGAAATCCGCCGGCTTAGTCGACAGGGACAGCAGGGTGTCTATATGATGTCTTGTAACTTTGCTTCCATGCTTCAGTATGGCGAGCCGGAGGCAGTCATGGCGATGGAATTTTCAAAGCAACGCGAAATCGAGACTGTTGACGAGGCGCACGCCTTTGCTTTGGAATGGACTCGCGGTAGCGACAACGCAGGACCGAGTAGCGAATCGGCGACTGTGACTATAGATCGAATTTCGACTCAAATGGCGTTCCAAGGAAGCTGCCTTGCCTTTCATACTCTAGCCGTTCTGCTTGATCAAATGGGCGACCCTAACATCTACCCAAGTGTCCATACTTCTTTGGCCTTTATCTGGTGCTTAGCGCTTCACCCGCCAGCTATGCAACAGCTCGAGCAAATGATTCCCTGGCCGGCCATAGCCCAATTCCTCAACACCCTGTTTCGCCCCGATACTATAGTCGCAAAAGTCGAACACGCTTCATTCCCTCTATTCAATGATGGAACAATTCAGCAGCTGCCTGAAGATTTCCTTATTCACGGGCAGGCATGGAGTCAGCTATATTATCCCGAAAAGTTCTTTGAAGGTGCTCCATCAGAAGACGAAAGACCAATTATCGAAGATCCCTCCGCTGCCATACCTAGGAGACATCGGTGTTTGTGGCTTGGAGCGAAGATAGCAACGGTTAGTAAACAGGTTCCTAACTTATCAGCCTGTGAATAAAATGCTAAGCAAGGATGCTCTGAACAGTTCAATCGCTGGATGGCTTATACTTCAATCCGAAGATTTGAGGCGACTCAACTCGCACGCGAATTTGCACAAACTGCAGGAAGCTGTGGTGGACTCAACAGTCAAGCACTGGTCGCGAATTCATCCCATGTCGATATTGAGATGAGTGGTGCATGATGCAGTTGGTTAACACCCATCACAAGAGTTCCTATACTAGATGTGCTCAAGGCTAACAGATACTTCTGCTTTACATCTTGGAGCGCTTCTGTGGCTGGTGGACGTTCTTCAATTGCAGTTGGGTCGGGATCTGCTTTCTTCTGTCTCGTCTGGCTTTTATCTTTCCTTACGTACACGGAGCCTTGGAATGGATCAAGTCAACCTCGACTATTCGACAGCTCAGACACAGACACAGACTTACCACGGATGGAACAAGACCTCCGGAAGGTCTACCTTTTACTTGGAAGCCTGGCCGAAATGGTTCCGGAAGCCAAAGATAGGCACCCCCAACCAGGTTCTCTTTGGATCCTACCAAGGTCGATGCATTTTCATGGCCCAATTAGACTTTCCATCGATAAACACCAGAGGAAACTTGGATAGCAGGCCTGGCCAGGGCTTTACAGAGTCACTCCAGGTTCGTCTCGAACTGAAGATTTTCTGGGACATGGCGAGTCTACCGACTGGAGCCTTTGGAGCTGTCTTGGCCCCTCAAGATTTGATTCCTACATACCAACAGGGATCGTGTACAGTCTGATATTTTGACAGGGAATTAGAAGATGGATTATACTGACACGGAGAGCGGGAAGTATGTCAGGGAATGGAGCAAAGAAGACATTGATGGCCATGGTTCATATTTGATGTTTTACTAGGAAGCACTCAACACAGTATAGCCTGACCGGACTCTTAGGATTTCCTTGGCTCATGATACTATACCCCTTCGGATTGGAGCTACAATTACTTTGAAAAAGGCGAGTTATCACCGAATTCCCCAGTACTATTCCTTTCGCACACCGAATGCCCTATGATGCAACACGTAGCAGGCCCCAAAGCAGCTACCTAGTCAAGACCCGAATACATCGGACAGAGTGGGCGAATTGATTACCGGTAATATTAGGTCTAAAGACAATTCCAGTGGACCTGCATATGGTGGTGAAGATCAGCCCTGGACCCGCCTCGATGCGTAGACAAAAAGACCGAAAGGAGCAAAACGATGCAAATTTAGAAGATGAAGGAAAACAGATCAGTCGCAACGAATGAGCATCCGTAGAATAACACGTTAGTGCACGACTAAGCCTTGTAGCGACGTTGCACTCCACCGTAATTGAATTTAGGCGCGAAGCTTGCGCGTTACCGACAAAAGGCCAAGCTGGCGATTATCAACATGCAACATCCCCCTTCTTCCCCTCTCACCTCCAGATGGGGCCCCTCACTGTGCATGAATTGATTTGAACTGATTTGCATTCAATTTCGCATGGCTGACCGAGTTGCCGTCTCTATTTTCTGGGCATCTTGACTGTCCTCTGGTTGAGCTCCTCATCGCTTGTCTCCGCTTGTCGGCTTAAGCTGCCACACCTCCGTCATGGCTGATTCCTGGAGCGGCGTCTGTCGCCAATGTGTCGCCGTCGTCGTCGACGTTCCCACTTCAGTTCTCCTGGTCACTGTTCTCGCTACTGTGCTGGGACTGATTGTCCTGGTGAGTCGGTCCCCGCCGGTTCCTGCGCCGGGTGCGCACGACCTTAGCTGGCCCATACCCAATCAAGCTGGCCAATTGACCCATGCTGACCTTTGCTTCCGGTAAACAGTTTTACATTTTCTTATCCTTCGTCGCACCTATACCCCGCGAGCCTCTACCGGAAGAAAAAGAGTACACGACGCTCTCAAAAGATGGAACCATTGCAGAACCCCAGGCACTCCCTTGCTGGTTTGATGCCCTGAGTACCGCGAAACGCGCCGGCAAAACCGCCGATATTGAACCAGCCGAGCTGTTCATGTCCGTGGTCGTCCCAGCCTACAACGAAGAAGACCGGCTTGCAGGCATGCTGGAAGAAGCTGTCAACTACCTTGAGCACATGTACGGAACACTAGGAAATGAGAGTGAAGGCGCAATTGAGACTCAATCAATACGGAAACGCAAGCCCAACGGAAACGTGACAAGCGGTCACGCCACGGAGTCGGCAATGGCCCGAGGGTGGGAAATCATCATTGTATCCGACGGGTCTACGGATCGGACGGAAGAGGTGGCTTTTCGCTTTGCGAAAGAACATCAGCTATCTTTGCACCCGAAGGGTCACGCCGGGCCGTGGACTCCTAAAACGTCCGAGGGCGTGCATATCCCGTCGGGCACTATCCGTTTCGTGACTCTGACTCACAATCGCGGCAAAGGTGGTGCGGTCACGCATGGCTTGCGCCATGTTCGGGGTCAGTATGTCGTGTTTGCGGATGCCGATGGGGCGAGCAAGTTTACCGATCTTGGCAAACTTGTTACCGCGTGTCAAGAAATCGAGGATGTCGATGGGCGTGGGGTGGCTGTTGGATCTCGGGCGCACATGGTTGGCAGTGAGGCTGTGGTCAAGGTAAAATTTCCATTGCTGGTAGAAGTCTGCACGTTGAACATTAAGCTAACATCGGGCGATAGCGGTCCAAACTACGCAATTTCTTGATGCACTCGTTCCACCTGATCTTGAGGCTGATGACGCCGCCCAGAACTGCCACGGTCAAGGACACGCAGTGCGGTTTCAAGCTGTTCTCCCGCGCAACACTGCCTTATATTGTCCCATACATGCATTCCGAGGGCTGGATCTTTGATGTCGAGATGCTCATGCTGGCTGAATTTGCCAGAATTCCCGTGGCCGAGGTGCCAGTGGGGTGGAGGGAGGTCTTGGGAAGTAAACTGAATGTCCTTCGTGATAGCATCGGCATGGCATGGGGACTGGCCGTTCTGCGGGCGGCTTGGTCGCTGGGAATCTATAGACAGCGGTGAATTATTTTAGCTGGTTATTCCTGTCGATCCTTTAATGATACTCGGGCGTTTCTCGGCGTCATTTCTCACCATGCAAAATATACTCGGGATATTTTCGCATATCCTCCTAATTCGACACAGCAGGCAGTCAAATAAAGTACATATCAAAGCTCCGCCGCTTATCGATTCATTTACGGAGCCACAACCTAAGGAACTACGAGGTTTGTTCTGGATCTCGGGATCCGTTCGCATGCGGTGGAACCACCAGAGGGTTCACTAGCGTTGGGATCTACTCCCTTTTGGACTCCGATCAGATCGAATCTCTATTGCCGTGTGTCCCTGTACCCAACTGTTATCGTCATTACAGCCTGCTTTGAGATTCTCCTTCGTCTTCTACACGGCCTATCCACAAACTCCCTATTTCCTATCTTCTCAGCGACTCTCTCCTCTTTCAATGATAGAACATATTAGCCGAGTATCTTGATGCTGAACCGCGTGGGAAAGCGTACTTCTAGTCAAAAAGATTGATGGAGCTGAGTGCAGTTAAATACAAGCCAGTGTGTTCAGTTGCTACTTCGTCATTTCATGCCCTGACACTTACACATTTATTCATTTATTCATTCGACGATCAGGTAAATAAGCGATGGCCCGTATTGAGCAGGGCTATGAGCTGGCACACAGATTCCGTTGTGTGGATCAGATGCTGCCCAGATGATGAAACATTGCATGACAAGCTGGGGCCCCCTCAGACAAAAGAAATCCTTCGTCCTTTGTGAATACGAGCTTTCTTCTGTCCTGATTCTTTTTACTTTGATAACAATCGGTATCCATACTTTAAGAGTAGATACACAACCTTCGAAGATATTAAGATTGTTGACTCTCTCAAGGGCTACAAAGCGAAACCTCCCGAACAGGATGGCACGGTGCGAGAGCCAATTTTATACAATAAGCCCTTCCCGCTTTCGACATGGCCAACGAACAGACATTGAGTCAAAGCGTACCTACAGCCTTGCTAGCTCGACAACGTCGCTGAGCAGCCAACCAACCAAGCTATCGCCCTTCTTAAGGCTACCGACAGAGGTCCGGCTCGAAATCTACAAATGGGCGTTATCCGTCCTTCATGACGAGATGGGCAGGCCTTTGATTGTAGTCGGCGACTCTAGCAATTCCTCCACTCGACCTCGGTTTCACAGCATGTCCATTTGCTCCAGCTGGACCGGTGAGGACGGCACAGCACGGAAACTCCTCGCCGTCAATCATCAGATCCATGACGAAGCAGAAGACTTCCTGTATTCACAAAACACGCTCTTCTTCCGAAATTCCTTCAATCTGGATCGTCTGGGCGAGTTCCTCGATACTCTGAGCAATTCTGCACGCAGTCATATCCGCAGTGTCGGTTTCGAGGTTTTCATTTTTGTGCACGCCGAGTCGGGGGTGCCCAAGCGCACTTTCAAACAGTACGAAAAAGCTGGGATTTTGCTTCGTGCGAGATTGCCCCAGTGGGAAAAGGTTCTCTTCGACATCGACCCCTACTTCTACTACCCACCTAACTCAGTAGGTGGACGAGATTCAGCGACTCGAGGTGTTGTGGATCTAGCCGCGCGATTCAGAGCCTTGTGCAAGGAGGTCGTTTTCACTGCCTGATACAGACCAACGTTCTACCGAAGAGGCACAGCAGCTGGTTGCGCGCAGGATTTCGGACAGATGCACTCCGAAGAGGCATAGCTCAATTAGGCGGGATTCACGAGGCCATTCCCTGCAGAAGTCGTCTATCACCGGTATACATGGGCCAATTGCTTCATTAGGATTGTCATTTGATTTTCTTTGGCTGATTTTGTTTTCGTCTGTACCACTGGTTCTCGTTCTAGAAAGATCTTCTGTTTCACTGCATGCCACATCCTATTCTAAAGGGTTCTCCGGTTTTTATTTCGGCTTTAGTGATTTTAGTTCACGCCTTGCGATTTTGAAATTCCTACTTGAAAACCCATACGCTAGAAAGCACCCATCTCATGTACGATCATTGGCTCCTTATGTGTGGTCTACCTAATACAATCATAACGCAACCACAAGTAGTTATGGAGGGCAGCCCTAAATTGTAATTTTAACGTACATCCCAATATACACATAGATGCGTAACAATGATTTATCTGGCCCGGCTACAAAGACTGTCAAAAAAGCATTTGACAGATACCATAAAATATGTGTCCTAATCTAACAGCAAAAGCAAAAAAAATAAAAAATAAAAAAAGTCTAGTCTATACAATTCAGCCAATACCAAGTGGCAGCTCAAGCACACTGCGAGCTAGTGACCGCCTATGACATCACTTGGTATCTAATCAACTTCCCCGAGCTTCAACGGAGCTTCAAAGCAAGCTCCATACTGTCTTCTACAACTACTATCCGTACAAATCACAATGGCTTTCCTTCTTTCCCCTCTCCGACTTGGCCTAGGCCTTGGAATCGGCATCTCCGCCGCGACTCTCCACCCTCTTTCCCCCCTCCGCGCCTCCCCCTTCAATGCCAATACAACGCGCCCTACGGCCCCGGGCCCCAGTCTGCTGAGAGCAGCTGGGCTGTCAATTCCAATGACCCCCGTTTGCAGAAGGAGGGCCGCTCGGGTATTGCTGCCCAGGCCAATGGATTTTTGACTCCTGAAAATATGAAGCAGATTAGCTTGGGAAGTGTCCTCGGTCTGGTCGCTGGTGTGGGGTTGAGGGCGTTTTCGAGGGTTTTGGTGGTTGTCATTGGAATGAGTGTTGTGTTTATTGAGGTGAGTTCTATTGATCTCTTAGCCCTCGGAGGCTTTGGAGGAATTTGCCTACTGACAGATGATGCAGTGGGCCGCGTCCAAGGGCTATAACATCCTCCCTTTGCACCGGATCCAAAAGTATGTCAAGAACGTCGACGTCCATCGCGCTGTCTCTCAGCACCGGCCTTTCAAGATGAGTTTCGGGGCTACGATGGCCCTTGCCGCGTTTGCGCAGTTCTAAGAGTATGCCTTTGGGAGGAAAAGGCTATTTGTAAATAGAGAATCCCAGCTGCTCTACAGATCTGATTTGAAGGTCTTTACAAGTGCTACCAGGCACTGCCAATGTGAATCGGTGATCTTTGTAATTCATACAGGGGGTATCATGACTTCTGCGACCTAGTCCACACTACAACTTCAAGGAATGTTTCATCCCAGCACCAGATCTTCCAACACACCCTCCATCTCATCGCGAGACAGCGGGACACCCAGAATCTCCATGCCGCTGGGATCCATACGCGAGGTAATCATCTGGTGGTCGTGGAATTCCTTCAGCAGGGTGCGGAACATCATCTCAGAAGAAGCGATGAATTCCTCAGTTGCCTTCTGGTAAAGCAGACGGAATTCGATGCCGTTCTCCTCTCCGTTTTTAGCGCCGTCACCGGCCCCTTCTTCGTCGGACTGATGGCCATCGTCCATTACGGAGAAGAGCTCGGTTAGCAACAGACGGTACAGGTTGCGTGCGTTCTCGGGAAGACTCTTAAGCACGAAGCCCACACCCTCTTTGCCGCCTACACGACGGCCTTTACGGCCAAGTAGGGCTTGCACCTCTTCTACGACGTCTGTCTCAACGGCAAATGGTGAGAATGTTGTGCTGTCATGGAAGACCAGATTAAACTGGTCCCGCAAACTGATATCCCACATCAACGGGAAGTTGGGCGTGTCTGCTGTGAGCAGAAGGCGGACGCGTGGTGTAGCGCCCAGACGAGCAAGTAAAGCCTGGTTGGCAGCACGCCGCAGTGGCGGTGCATCGACAGAGTTAATCAGGACTGTAACAGGTTCTTCGTTGGCCGGTCTGGCCTTGAGGGCAGATTGAAGAAGTTCCAACACCTCTGTCGGTTGAGCACCAAGCTTGGATGGCGCATCGTCACCGAGAATGGCAGTCACAATAGTAGCAAATATCGATCGGATGGAGATGCCGGGCGTGTAGCCATTGACGATGATGATGACGGGTTGGTTCGTAGGTACAGAGCGATTATACAGCCAATCCGCAAATTCATGGACGAGCTTTCGCTTCGATCCATACCCAAACAGACAGACGTTGAATCCTTCCTCGAACTCGAAATACCACTGTGGAAATGATCGGTGGTGCAAGGAGAGCAGGTATTCCTTCTCCTCTCTGCATGGGTCCACGAACTGGCCCAGTTTATCGAAATACTCTTCATGTGTCAATAAAGGTACCTTGTTCAGTGTTGTGTTGGACGTTTTGCTTGGGCCCGCGCGGTTCTGGAAGAAGTAGCGCTCGTGCGCCGGCAGTTCACCTTCAGGTGTCGGGGATCGCTTATTCCTTGCACCCTTTGGCCGACCAGCTCGGCGCTTGGGAGCCTTTGCCTCTGATTTCGAGGCCGTCTCCTTGTCGCCTCCTTCAACACTGTCCACCGCCGGCTCGTCAGCTTTATCGGCTTCGGGCTCATCTCCTTGTAGAATCTCCTCCGCAAGCTGCTCAGATCCATCCCAAGCACCATCTTCATCCTGTTCAAAAAGCACCCGCGCACTCTTCTTCTTCGCCGATCTGTCTGCGTTCTTCAAACGGCCGGGAGTGGTAGCGCTCGGGGTCTTAGGCTTCGAGGGTGTGGCAAAGAGGTTCCGGGCCTTGGATTTGTGGGTGGGCGTCTTCAATCCGGATTCCTTCAACGGGGTTGCGGCGATTCCATTGGCCTTTTTAGGAGTAGATTGACCGTGCGGTGTGGGAGGCAGCTCGTAGGGGACGTCGCTGTCCGGAGCCTGGCCGTTCAGGGAGCCATTGGCCTGTACCAGGGCCGTCCGTAGCCGCTTCGGGGTCGATACGGGATGGTCATTTTCCAGACCGGAATCTGACAGCTTGCGCTTCATTATGGCGAGTCAGCGGACGTGTGGTTGGAGTGAAGGGGAAGGGAATCAACAATACCATGAGATCCGGAGAATGTGCACAGGGACGCAACGCAAGGGGTTGGAGGGTCTTCCAAGGGCTCTGAATCAAACCAGGACGATCGAATCGACTCGACTCGAGACAAGATCTTGACACAGCGACAAATGGATTGTGCGAATGTGAAGATACAAATGTTCGCAAAGTGGAGTTTCAAAGTCAATACCAGCTTATTCTTCACTTTCACTCACTGCGGGTCCACGAGGCTTCTCCGACTCCGCCTCAGCTTATGGAAAAGCGCGCACTTCGACGCCCGAGGCATTAGATCGCGTCCTATCACCCCTCTTTTAGCAGTTGAGATCTCAAATTTATAGTTTTCAACCCTCGAATCAAACACTCGTAACCGTGGACGCGACCATAGTTTGTGTCATGCGAGCAGAACTAGAGACGATCGTCAATTCCTCGAAGAAAGTCTTCTTAAGCCCTTTTTTAAAACAGCGAAACATTACTTCTTAACCCATTGAATTGCTCTATCATCGCTACTTAGCTCTTGTGGGCTCACGCAGCGCCATCGCTTCCGGGGCGGGAGCTCCGAGACCGGGTATCTTTTTTTCCTTTGGGCTAAGTTTGACTCACCTTATCAGATCTCTTTATAACCTCCACTTCCCCATGTCCAAATGATTCAGACGTAACACCCTTCCAGCATGGTTTCCAACCCTCAGTCCGCTACAATGGCGGCGAATTCCCTTGCCCGCATGCTCAAGGGCCAGGTGCGATGCTACTCCGCACCATTGGACATGGCTATTCCGGCTTCCAAGCAGCGCTACATTCCTACCAGCGGCACCTACCCCCAAGGCTTCCTGGTTTCCGGTACTCATGTCGGCGTAAAGGCCTCCAACACTCGATTCCCCGATCTTGCGCTCATTGCGTCCGAGACGCCATGCTCCGCCGCCGCTGTCTTCACCACCAACAAGTTCCAGGCTGCGCCGGTACAGGTGAGCCGACAGACATTGCAGAGCCGCAAGGGAGAGGGCATCCGGGCTGTTGTTATCAACTCTGGCTGTGCCAATGCCGTTACCGGCAAGGGTGGTCTCGAAGATGCCGTGCAAATGGGCCGGACAGTGGACGAGTGCAGCGGCGCCGAGAAGGATAGCTCGCTTGTGATGAGTACCGGTGTTATTGGACAACGGTGAGTGATGCTTGCAAGAAATGTGTATTTGTGTATTGCGACCAAGTTATACTAATTGAAATAACAGCCTACCCATCAGCAAGATCCTCGACCGCATTCCTACCGCCTACGCCAACCTCGACTCGACGCACGATGCCTGGTTGAGCACTGCCCGCGCTATCTGCACCACCGATACATTCCCTAAGCTTATCTCTCGCACCTTTACTCTTCCGTCTTCCCCGGATCTTACTTACCGTCTGGCCGGTATGACCAAAGGTGCCGGCATGATCCACCCGAACATGGCTACCCTGCTAGGCGTTGTGTGCACTGACGCAGCTGTTGAGCCCGCGGCTCTTCAGTCAATCCTCAAGCACTCCGTGAACCGCTCATTTAACTCGATCTCTATCGACGGTGACACCAGCACCAACGACACTATTGCCGTTTTGGCCAATGGTGCCGCCGGCGGCGAGACCGTCCGCGCTCCTTCTGGTTCTCAGGCTAGTGCCGACTACGAGGCTCTGCAAGCCATTTTCACCGATTTTACTCAGGAGCTTTCGCAGCTTGTTGTCCGTGACGGCGAGGGCGCGACCAAGTTCGTCACTGTGCGCGTGCGCAACTCTCCCGACTACGAGTCTGCCCGTCTGATTGCCTCGACCATTGCCCGCTCTCCTCTCGTCAAGACTGCTCTGTATGGAAAGGATGCCAATTGGGGCCGTATTCTCTGCGCCGTGGGTTATACTCAGGGTGTGCGCGATGGCACCGTCGTGCCTGAGCGTACCTCCGTCAGCTTCCTTCCGGTTGATGGCAGCCCGGTCCTGAAGTTGCTGGTCAACGGCGAGCCCGAGAGTGTCGATGAGGAGCGTGCCAGCGTGATCCTGCAAAACGAAGATCTGGAGATCGAGGTTGACCTTGGTGGTGGTGAGAAGGGCGCTGCCGGTTGCGGTGGTGAAGATGCCGTGTACTGGTTCTGTGATTTCAGCCATGAGTACGTGACGATCAACGGTGACTACCGTACTTAAAAACTGCATCTACGGCACTTTCGGCAAGTGGTCGGGCTCAAGTGTGTGAGTATGAGGTTGTGATTTTAGATGACTTTTGAACATGTAGTAATCTGGTTGTGCAAGGAGATAGTTACATGTATGATGGCGGGTACAATATATTCTTAGATGCCTCCAGGGCTGTGTCTTTTCCGTCGACTGGCTTGTTTTTAAACATTATGTTAAACATTATGAATTAAGCACTATTATTCGTCGAGAAGTTTTCTGGATAGGGCCAGTGATTTAAGTAATCGTGCAGTCTCTAATGGAGCGGATATATATGTTTCGGACCGACTGAATGAGGTCGCAATTTCCAAGGTTGTTAGCTTTCCAAAAGTCCCACGGTCCAAAGAATATATCTATTTACCAACTAGTGCCTCATGCTACGTGAAAAAAAATTGCCTAATATGACACACTTACATAGTGTATGTAGCCTTGGAGCATTCCAAGGCTCGACGGTTCACCCAGACTTGAGAACGCGGGGAAAGCTCCCGTGACCAGGTCTTCATTATGAGGCTGGGATCTCATCTCACAGCGAGATGATTTCATAACCATCCGTTTTCGTATTTCACACAAACGCACGCACACACACGGCTCAGATGATAAACCCCGGTCATATCCTGTCACACACCCGAGATAAGCGCGGGGGGAAGATTCTTGAGGGTAATCCCGGGGTGAAAACCGCATCCCTTTGACGTCATCCTGTTTGCAATCATATGAATGCGGACCTGTTCCTATCATTCTTTTGCAATTTCGCACCTTTACACATCGGGATCTCGTGTGGAGTTTGCCAGACTTCGGTTCCACAGGGCCCATATTTAACCCAACTGTCAACCGTGCACAGGAACCTCCTGCGGGGACTTTTTGCTCCTTCGACAACTCCCGATCTGAGGCTGCCCAACACTCCTTCACCTCTGGCCAACTGTCTGCGGACGCGTGGTGCTGTCGGATATTCAAAGTTTCTCTGGGAGTCCCGCATGAACTGAGCTGCGCTTAGCTGGTGGTTCGAATGGACGACCCCTGTTCTTTATACCCTCCATCGTTATTGACCGCCTCCTGTACGTTTCCTGCAGTTCCACCTGAGCTGCGTGGCACGCTCTCTTTGAATATACTCTTCTGACTGTGGCCTAGACTATTGTTTAGGGCACACTAGTGAGCTTCGTGGTCTTCAGGCCTCGAGCTAATTTGTTTCGCTTCCGGTGCGCTGTTCGTGCGGCCTCTCTGTATGATTTTATCTTGAACAGACCCGCTTTCCCCTCTTTCGATACTCCGAACCCGCCACTTGGTTCTTGTAAAAGGAATCCTAGCGCAATCTCGCAGCCATTGTCAACGCCATGAAGCCATCCACAATGAAGTTGCCAGACGGGTTGCCAGACGGGTTGCCAGACAGGTTGCCAGACGGCCACGGAAGCGTCTACAAAGAAGTGCGCTTCTCGCCCACATCAACACCTATCCGCCGCACACGATCACTCTCGGCCAACACTCCCGCAAAGACGACCAATTACCGGCCTGTACCCATCCAAAATATCCCCGAAGAAAATGGTCCTGCCCTGGACTCCTCCTATACCACCTACTTAGCACAATCGCGAAAGCTTCTTGAGAAGCAGCGGACCCATTATGAGCAGGAAAGAGAGCTTTTTGCTCAGGAAAGACGGCTGTGGGGGCAGGAAAGATCAATCTTGAGGGCCAAGATTGCAGAATTGGAGTCATCGTTAAGAAGCACAAGGAATCAATCTAGTGTATCGGCATCTTCTTCCAAGCCCATGTTTGGAGCACCGCAATTCCAAGGCACTGGTGACTGTCATTCGGCTCAGGTGTGGGAGGGCTCAAGTCCAGGAGGGCGACCGACGAGGGTTTTCCGTGATGAAGAGATCCCAGACAACACTCACCTGTCGCCGACCACTGATAACCCTCCGTCCCTTGATGCGGCCCTGTCTCCTCAATCCCGGGCGGTGGATGCTGGTATGACCGTTAGTGTCCCCGTGCCGATCGAGAAGCTTGACAGCAGGCTAGATGGGATCACTCTCAAGTCCACCGCATTGCCACCGGGTGTTGTTGCCCGTGTCATCACCCCGCCGTCACCGTCGCCCCTGGAGACGTCCCCTGCCGCCCCTTCGGCACCTGCAAGGCCAGAGGTGGAACATCGAAACAGTCTCAAACTGAAGCTGTCCGAACTTCCGCCGCCCAATGTGAGACTCCTCAAGGATGCTGGTCATACCCCGATGGCGATCATCGAGGCCGATGGAAGCCAACGGTCCACCAAGGAGGCTTCTCCCGCGGAGGGTCCCCCGTGCAATGAGGAGGAAATCCCTCTCGCCCCCGTGGTTACCCAGATCCATCAACCGCCGGAGAACACCGAGTCTTACTTTCCCGATTTGCCCGATGATCCCGCCCTAAAGGGGCCTTTGGGTCTCACCAACGACGAGGAGCATGACAACAAGTTCCTGAGTGCACTCGATCAGAAACTCCAGGACCAGGCTCTTCTCAGTCAAGCCAAGCGGATCCTATCCCCTTCAACCGAAACAATTGACCCTGATGTGACTGAACCGGGACTGCCTAGACAGGGTGAGCAGGAACCGGAATTCAAGTTTAGAAAGTCGACCAATTTTGGCACGGCCTTTGGACTATCGAATATTGGTGAGATGTGAAGATAACCCGTCTTCTCCATTTATATACATTAAAGTTTGTGATCTATCTACATTGGCGTTTGGCTTCGCCTTGATCTTCTTCAGAATTGCACTTTATTTGCAATCTACTTCGTTCATTTTCAAATTTTTTTTCTTTTTCTTTTTCTTTTCGCGCGTGTGTCTCACAGCGGAAACACCTCACGACGTGATGAGATATCTTTGAATATGTTTCAGCCCGTCTTCACTTCTAGGGCGATGTCCTTTTTCTTGCATGGAGGGGTTCTAGGCTCAAAGCATCTCTCCGGTACCTGGACACTGAACATCCTTGCGTGTGACTTGCGTGTGACTTGCGTGTGACTTGCGTGTGAGGTGTCCTAGAACGGGTAATTCAGCAGATCCGACCAACCGAGAACGTCGCCCTACCGGCCACTACGATGGGGGCAATTTCCCGTGTGAGAGCCCCTCGATCCCTTGCATATGATTTGCAACCTTTCCTTATTCAGCCACGTGGGGTTCCCTTTCTCCGCGCTCTTCCCAAATGCACTGCAGCTACGATAGCTACGATAGCGGGCTCGGGCTCGGGCTCGTGCATAAGCTTCGAGTTTACGCGGAGGGACCTGCATGCTATGCATAGCCCCAGTTCAGCATCACGCCGTACCAAATCATGGGCCGAGACCTCGATCCCCCAAGAGATGACCTCTCATCTATTTCGATCCGTTCTGAGGCTTCATGGCTCGTCCCCTTTGGAACCTTGCTGATCATGGCCCTTGGTGGCGTTGAGTTAGAAAAAAAGCCACCCAAGGGCTATTCTGTAGCCTTGCAGGCGAACTTGGTTCCTGTCTGACCCTTGGCTCTCTAAACGACCGCTCGGATGCTGCTTGGTCTCATCCTGAAAAGTACATAAAGGCCATGAAGTTCAGTCTCATTCTCTTCTCCATCATTCACTCGACCATCACAGTCTTTAAACCGTCCATCATTCTTCTGCCTTTTCTCGGAGCTTGCTCCTCGTCAATCTTTCAATCTTTCAATCTTTCCATAATCACTCTTTAATACCTCCCCGGATTCATTCCTTCGAGCTCCATACTCCAACACGATGCCTTCCAACACTTTCTCCATTTCGGCCGCTCTGTGCCTCGCTCTGGCTATTGGCCCTGCTTCCGTCTTCGCTGCTCCTCAGCTCGTAAGTAACGAACCACATGGGTCGCCCTTGCACCGTCAACCCATTCTAACACTGAACTCTAGAACGGACTTCCTCTTCTCGGTGGTGCCCCCACTGATGCTGCTCCCACTGATGCTGCTCCCACCAACGGCAACAGTGAGCACGATGCTGGCGCCGGCTTCGATGTCGGTATTCCCGGTGGACCTGGAGTCCGCTATGGCGCCGGCGTCCACAGCGAGCACCACGGTCCCTGTGGCCCTGGCCCTAGCGGCGAGCACGACGCTGGTGCCGGCTACGATGTTGGCATTCCTGGTGGACCTGGAGTCCGCTTTGGTGCTGGGACTCACGATCAGTACCAGGCTGTTCCATGCCCCGAGCCCATCGCTGAGCCTACCACTACCACCTACGCTCAGGTGATCCTTCCCCCTACCTACACCACTCCCATCGTCATTCCCACCACCACGCTGGCCCCCGTCTACATGCCTCCTACTGTGGCGCCGGCTCCCACCGTCGCTCCCACCGTCGCTCCCATTGTCGCTCCCATTCCCGTTCCCGCTCCCGTCTACTCTAAGCCTCTGATCCCTCACCCTATGCCTGCGCCCACTGCTTCAGCTATGCCTTCTGCTAAGCCTTCACCCTCCGCCATGCCGGTTTTCAATGCCGGTTCAGCCCTGACCCCGAGCTCTCTCGTGGCCTTTGCGCTCCCCATCCTGCTCGGCCTCTTTTACTAGAATCATCTCTGAGGTGGTGAAATGATCGCAGATCCGTTTGGACATTGACTCGGCCCATCGGATCGATCTACAGTATATCTTTTGCTGTACTTGTGTACTCTTCTTTCGACCTGTGTACTCTTTTTTTCCTGTTCTATGTTATTTTAATGATTACCATTTCGGTGGTCCGTATCAATCCCACGTGGAACATGTATCTCGGCTGACATATGAGGAGCCGCTTGTTATATTTGTACTGATTTATGTGTTATTGGGGTTTTGTTGGTAATGGGGAGTCCGGGCGTGCTAGGCACTTTCCGTTTTATTTTATAAATGAATTTTTATTTCTCTTATTCAATGCCCGAACACACATAATTCATCCTGCTTCTACGTCTTCACGAAAATGCATTACGGATTGTTCCGGTGGCTCCTAACGGCCCTTTTAACGTCGTAGAGCCCGGAGATCAGTAAATGTATTCTTCGCCAACTTGATTGCTTTCCCAGAAATCTAGCTTAGTCGATAGAGATGACGATCTCCCGTCAAATTGGGCCCCGGACCTCGGTGACGCGAGGGATTGCATACGTGACTTCAATAAGTCGTTCTACTGAAAGTGATGTCTCACCACATCAGACTTTAAATAAAATAGAAATAAAATAGAAAAAAATAAACAAAAGTCTTTCTTTGCACTTGCAACATGGGTTGTGTAGTAATAACGGCCTGATAAATAGCAATTGAAGGTAGAGCAGATGGACAAAAGAAACTAGGTCGTGTTTCCAGCAGATAATCCACGCTAAATCAGGTCATGTCATGCATATCACGTATCACGGAGACGCTTGTCCGTTGTCCAGCCGGACCCCCTGTTCGACTGAACTTCGTATGGAATTCCAGGGGAGAACGAAGGTTAAGGCTATGATTCAGACCAGGCTGCCTTGCATCCATCCCATTAAACTCCCATCGTAAAGTCATGCTCGATACCAGGCGTCACGCTGGCAATAAACTTCAAAAACACCACCAAGTACTGATCCACTCGAATGGCAACCTGCTCTTCCTCATCGCGTTGAAGCACCTCCCACTCATCTCCAGATTGTCCCTGCTGGGGCTCCCCGAGTGACAGACCTTTCGTATCATCGACCAATCCTTCGAGACCACTGTTTCCATCGGCTTGCAAGACGCGATTGGCCTCTTCGCGTGACTGCGTCTGCTTCAGCTTGTCCCGCCGCAATTTGAGTGCCGCATCGGCGCGATCTAGTAGCGTCTTCATGACGGAAGCGTGGCGACATGGGTGAACAGTGGCCATCTTCACGCTGCCATCGAACCAAGGGAAATCCTCAAGTGTCACGGTCTTGTCTTTATAGTCACCCACGATGTCCTCCATCATCAGGTGCGGGGGGAGTGGCTCTGATGGGGATAGGTACCCGGATAGGTAGAGGCGGGGTGTTCGGTAGAAATTCGAGTATGTGATGTATAGTGTATAAGTGCGCAGAGGCCTAGTGATAGTCCTTTCAGCAAGAATGCAGATAGACGAAGGGAGAAGGAGGGGTGTATACTCACTGTGTAGTCTCTGACTGACCAACCGGCTCGCGGATGATAGCTTCCTCATCATCGTCATCATCCTCCATGTCTGGGATTTCCTCGTCTTCTTCCTGCTCGCCTAGGTTCCCGGATTCGTCGACGGTCCGTACATCGCGAATGCGGGCCTCCTGCTGATCTCGGTCTGCGACAAGGTCACGACCTCCTCCTGTTCTTAGCCAGCCATCATCTCCATCGGCATTTGCAGCGCCCTCGGCACCCTCAGCGGAGAGCATGTCGCGGACGATCTCATCTTCATGGCCCGCATCGCCAGCAAAGTTGTCGTTCAGCCGTCGGTGACAGGGAACTCCACGGGTAACGAGGAACTGCTTGCCAGCAGGCAGGTAGGAGACACGCTTTGCAGGGCTGGATGCATCGGCCCAGGACCATGTGGGAAACTTATAGACGAGGTAATCACCTGCCAGGACAAACTCCTCGGGGGTGATCTGGCCAGTGGCACGGAAGGTTGAAGTGCGAGAGACAGGGGCCAAACGGTCCCGCCACGTTGATAGAGTAGAATGTAGGATATTCATTGCGTTTGTGTTCTATGTAAGAGTGAAAGAGTTGCGATGCTTAAAGGTGGGGTGGGTGGGCGTCTTGATAAGCGGTGGAGCACATGATCGGCCCCGCGTGAGCTCATCGTCGAAATCTCGCCTTTTGACCTTTCAGCTTCTTTCACCTGACTCCCGCTCATTGAAGTCTGCGGACCAAAATATGGGTTTGCAAGTGATCAGTTCGTGACTTGGATGTCAATTTCTCTTGACAGTCCGCCACCACTGGCCTCTAGCCCGCACTAAGGGTTTGTAGGATCGGGATTCCCTTTCTCTTGGATCTTGGATCAAGAGGATAATCCAGGACTTGATGTCCAATACTGTAACTGCCCATACCCTGCTCAAAATCATTCACCTTCTTGCATCATCCGCCGTCGCTCAATCTCCGCCTCCACCTCGTCTACCACCATGGGAATCATCTTGTTCCTCCACCGTTCCATCTCAGCCCGCACGAAGCCTTCTGTACTTCTCATACCCACAACAAGGAACCCAAGTTCTTCTCGATCGACATCAAAGACCTCCCACCATTCCCCATCTACCAGCTTCACTCCTTCTTCGCGCGTTGCGAGGTAGATAGCTGCCACGGCCAAGGCATTTGGCTGATGTGTTACATAGAGAAGTTGAGGTGATAGCAGACTGGCGTTCAGATGCTTAATGACTCGACGTGCGACGGCGGATCTTGTCACACCCAGGGTTTGTAAGTAGGTGAGAGCAATAGTGTGGGGAAGGGCGACGTGCGTGTCGAACCCGAGGGTTCTGAGGATGATCGATTCGATTCGAAGGAGCTCCAGCCGGGCCGGCTGGTAACCGCCCTCAGAGAGGATGTAGCTATCTGTCGCGGGAGGCTGTCTGGGGGCCCCGCTGGGGTTCACGAACCACAGCGGAGAAGAGCCTTGGGACAGGAGAAAAGTGTAAACGTTCAAGACGGATCGTGGTGAGGTGGGATGGAAAGAAAGCTTGGCTGTCAGGTAGAGCGATGCGGCCGAGATATCCTGATCAAATAATTAGTAAAGAGCTTACCTGGACGCAAGCTTGGAGCGTACGTACCTTGGCCGAGTAAATTCGTAAGCTTCCTCCGTCTGTTCCCAGCCAGAAGCGTGTAAAGATTACAATCGCCTGGGCGATCACATCCTGGGACAGATGTAGGAGAACGCCTGCCGCCTGTGTGAGCTGGGCACCGGCGCAGCGGATTGATGTTTCGAGGTCTGAGGGCACGCCGTCGATCGACGAGGAGGAACTGGAGAGCTGATCGGGGGTGGCGAGAGCATTAGATAAATGCTTGAGGCCGTTAGTGGGGAGCATGACGAGGAATTTGTAGCGGGAAACGATGACGCGCAGCTCGTGTAGCTCGTGCTCGAGACCGAAAAGATAGGACGGAGAAGAAGATTCGGTGGAGACGCGGGATCGGAGTTTCAGCCACCACTATTTCATACCCCAGCCTCTTTATTTACACGTTTCAAGGGAAATCCTCCTCCGATCTTCAAGTGACAAGTGAAACTCGTACTCCTGCAACTATTTCCTTCCGATCTTGATCAATCTATCACCGTTGTTTCGTCTCGGCAATTCCCGTCCTTCATCTCTCGAGCTCCCCCTAAAGGGAATTCCCATTCCTCTAGGACCGCACGTTGCACACTTGCACACTAGCCACGCCACACATTACTTCCGATTCGGCGTGGCATTCTAATCATCTGAATTTGGTCTCAACCTTCCCTCCCAACTATGTCTCCTGATCTCTCCCGAACCTCGATCTCCCTACATTCCGATGCCTCGTCCCACGAGACCGTTGCGCCCCCAAACATCCCTGTGATCTCATCGAAGAACCGATTCACCACTCTACCTTCACACCGTCGGTCAAACACCGAATACATTGCTCGACCCCCTATATTCGAAGAAAACCTCGATCCCAACCGCGATCGTATCCGTTCGAACCCCTCCTGGACAGACACGTTCCCCAAGAAGAAGCTTGAAGCAAGAGCAAGGATACTTTCGGACTGGTTCCAGAGCAGATCAGATCCAGACGATTTGGGAGTCTCCATGCGCCCTGACAGTCATCTGGATTCGAACAAAATGGATACGCCTCGTCTCACTACGGCACCCTCACACACACGCATTAACTCGGTCCCGGGGACGGGCCGGTTCTCCTTTTTTGGTCTGCGGCGGCAGGCCGAGCAGAGAACAAGTCCCCCCGAGCCGGCAGATGATGAGTTCCTGAATCTCGACATCTCTGCTGCCTTATCCGTCCCTACTTGTCCAGATGCCACGGGGGAGCAATCACTCGATGCTCTGCGAGAACAAGCTACCAGCATTCTACAACGAATGCAAGATGCCTATAAACAAAGGACATTCGTCATGCACCAGGCTCTGGCTGACCGAAATGAGAAGCAGGGTGAGCTTGAGGAGACACATGCTCGTGTGAACCATTTAAAGATACAGTTGGACGGCATGGCCGTTAAGGTGCTAGACCAGGAGAAGGCTATGCAGGCGATGGCCGAGGAACTCAAGCAGGGGAGACGTCTGCGACAGAGAGAAGATTCCCGCAGCCGCGACCGCACCATGCCTACTAACCCCCAGGAGGACGACATTCCATCTCTTGTGCTCCAAACCCCCCACCGAGGCGGCAAGCGTGCAAGCCACGGCACTCTGACTAGCGATTCCGGCTTTGAGTCCGGGGACGAGAGCGTCACCGACAGTGTCTTCTCGCACCGAGAAGGTGTTGAGTCTCCCACATCTACGCTGGCGGCGCCGTCGCCCAACCTCTCGCAGGTTGCACTGTCCACGCCAACGGCTGCCCCAACCCCGACACCAACAATTCAAAAGAATCTTGTCACTGTCACGAGTTCGCCCACGCCGACGCGACCCTCAACATACGACCGGGTTATGAAGGGACTTGCTTCAACCCGCCTGGGTAGTTCTTTTGCTGCGAACTCGGGAAATTCAAACCAGTGTGGCAATTGCCATGGTGTTCCCGCCTCGGAGGCTTGGAGTGTCATGGGTATTCTTAAGGATGAGAATCGAGGCCTTAAGACGCGCCTAGGAGAGCTGGAACTGGTCATTGATGACTGCCTGGGCCTTGTTGGACCTTGAGCGAGACTCGAAGCAGGTCCGTTTTGAAATTTGGGACTCTAGTGATCACGTATCTCAGAGAGACCTGTTGTCCATATAGAAGACGAAATGGTTATGATTACCCTACGGGTAGTCGAGTACGAGCGGACAGGAAACCAAGGAGCACTTCGTTTAGTAATATAGAACATTGAATGATCTCGATTGCTGTCGCGAAGCTTCTCGTAGACCCTGGGCCTCTTAGTGTGGGGATAAGCTTCGGGGTCTTGGACACCGGGGTACACACACACACGCACGTACGCATGCACTGCGCAGGCTATAGAACCACTTTACATGGGGTAGAAAAGAGAAAAATAAGTGAATAGTTGATGAAATCGAGCAATCTGTCCTATTCTCAAACCGTGGTGTGTGTTGAGTCACGGCAAGTGGTGCAGAAGTGTTCGCGGCGAAGACCAAGTGGCCTTAATTAGCGCGGAAGCGAAAAGTGGCCAGCGAGCCTCTTCCCTCTTTCTCTTCCTCCCCCCATCTCCTCCGACTTCCCTCCCCTTCTCCTTTTCTTTCTCTCCCCCCGATCTTAGATCACTTTCCACTCCTTCTGCTGGTCTTTGTTTCCAGCTTCCTCTATTTCTTTTTCGACGGATTGGAGGGAATCAGTCACCATGAGCGGCCGTGAGTTTCAAACCCCCCAGCCATCCAGCACACGATCGATACAAATCCCTCCGATTCGGTCTCAATTGCCTCATGGATACTAATGGAGACATATAGTTCGCTTTCTTGACTTGATCAAGCCCTTTACGCCCCTCCTCCCGGAGGTGGCAGCTCCTGAGACCAAGGTGCCCTTCAACCAGAAGTTGATGTGGACGGGTGTATGTGATCTTCAATTCCCTCGAAGACTCGACATGACTTCTAACTTAAGATCGATGCAGTTGACTCTCCTCATATTCTTGGTCATGAGTCAGATGCCTCTGTATGGTATCGTGTCCTCAGACACCTCCGACCCCCTGTACTGGCTGCGTATGATGCTGGCTAGTAACCGCGGTACCCTGATGGAATTGGGTATCACCCCCATCATCTCCTCGGGCATGGTCTTCCAGGTATGTCATTGCGACTCAATTGGACATTTTGCGACGCGATGAAGCTGACAGGTGACCTCCCCATAGCTCCTTGCCGGTACCCACCTCATCGATGTCAACCTTGACCTCAAGACCGACCGCGAGCTGTACCAGACTGCTCAGAAGCTATTCGCCATCATCCTCTCCTTCGGCCAGGCCTGTGTCTACGTCCTGACTGGTCTCTATGGCCAGCCCAGCGACCTTGGTGCCGGTATCTGTGTCCTTTTGATCGTCCAGCTGGTTGTGGCCGGTCTGGTTGTCATTCTGCTGGACGAACTTCTGCAGAAGGGCTACGGTCTCGGCAGCGGTATCTCGCTCTTCATTGCAACCAACATCTGCGAGTCCATCGTCTGGAAGGCCTTCTCCCCTACCACCATCAACACGGGTCGTGGCCCCGAGTTCGAGGGTGCTATCATCGCCCTGTTCCACCTGCTCCTGACCTGGCCCGACAAGCAGCGTGCCCTGTACGAGGCTTTCTACCGCCAGAACCTGCCCAACGTCATGAACCTGCTGGCCACTCTCCTGGTCTTTGCTGCCGTGATCTACCTGCAGGGCTTCCGTGTTGAGATCCCCGTCAAGTCCGCTCGTCAGCGTGGCATGCGTGGTTCCTACCCCGTCCGTCTATTTTACACCTCCAACATGCCCATCATGCTGCAGTCCGCTCTGTCCTCCAACGTCTTCTTGATCAGTCAGATGCTGTACTCCCGCTTCTCGGACAACCTGCTTGTCAAGCTCCTCGGAGTCTGGGAGCCTCGCGAGGGCTCTGCCCAGCTTTTCGCCTCGTCGGGTATTGCCTACTACATGTCCCCTCCTCTGAACTTCAAGGAAGCCCTCCTGGACCCCATCCACACCGCCGTCTACATCGCCTTCATGCTCGTCGCCTGCGCTCTCTTCTCCAAGACCTGGATTGAGGTGTCCGGCTCCGCTCCCCGCGATGTTGCCAAGCAGCTCAAGGACCAGGGTCTTGTAATGTCTGGTCACCGTGAGCAGAGCATGTACAAGGAGCTCAAGCGTGTTATTCCCACCGCTGCTGCCTTTGGTGGTGCCTGCATTGGTGGTCTCTCCGTCGCCTCCGACCTCCTCGGTGCCCTTGGCAGCGGAACTGGTATCCTCCTTGCCGTGACGTAAGTTATCCCCGAGTCATATGTCTTCTGATCTGCGCACTAACATTTTCATAGTATTATCTACGGCTACTTCGAAATTGCCGCCCGTGAGGGTGATATTGGCGCAGGCCTCAAGGGCCTCGTCCCCGGCAGCTAAATGACCAGTGCTGCATTTTCTCCTACGAGCAGTATGATGAGCGACGTCCGCCGTCCTCTGTAATTCTGTCCATTTTTGTGTTTTTAATTGTCCGCTATTCTTTATACTATTTTGAGGATGAACGCATTGGTGAGTCGACGAGGCTCTAGGGTGCTATGAGTTGGAGCACCGGAGTCATTCGCCCGTCGAAAGTGCTCCCGGGCCTGTAACCATATTCTACAGAAAAACCAAATGAGTTGATTTGCCTATACGTTATTTGAGGTTATGAGTAATTCTTAGAACTGGATTTTCCAACTTCCTAACTTTGATCACGGTGAATGTGGCATGGTATTACAGTCACGTACAGTCACTGAGACCCCCGGTATCCTCGGGTAACTCGAGCCCCGATTTCGCAGGCGGCGAGCTTAAATCATGAGGGGCGATACCTCATTAGCTAAGGCAGCCATCTTGGCGGGGAAAGTATTCCCAAGGTTCTACTCGTGTTGACTCATGAAACTTTGTCTCTTTCTTTTTAACCTTCTTTCTTCTTTCCTCGACTTCTCTCTGCCCTTCACTTCTCCTCTCTCCTCTCTTCTCTGCTCTCTTCTTTCCTCCTCTCCTCGATTCTCACAATGGCTGCCCAAAACGGAACCTCCAATGACTTCACTGTCAAGGCCGGTCTGGCCCAGATGTTGAAGGGTGGTGTGATCATGGACGTCGTCAATGCTGAGCAGGTATACTTTGAAGCAAACCGGGCTGGTCTACTTGCCTCTCGCTAACATGTCCGTTCTCTTCTTCAGGCCCGCATTGCCGAGGAAGCCGGTGCCGCCGCCGTCATGGCCCTCGAGCGTGTCCCCGCCGATATCCGTGTCGAGGGTGGCGTCGCCCGTATGTCCGACCCCAGCATGATTAAGGAGATCATGGAGGCTGTGACTATTCCCGTCATGGCTAAGGCTCGCATCGGACACTTTGTTGAATGCCAGGTACGTGTTTGGAGCGGCCCCGCTGCCCGACAAGCCATCTCCGCTGGAGGGCAGGGAAGCTAACTTGCCCCGCGCCACAGATCCTCGAAGCCATCGGTGTCGACTACATCGATGAGTCTGAAGTCCTGACCCCGGCCGACGATGTCTATCACGTCACCAAGTCCACCTTCAAGGTTCCCTTTGTCTGCGGCTGCCGCAACCTCGGTGAGGCCCTGCGCCGTATCTCCGAGGGCGCTGCTATGATCCGCACCAAGGGCGAGGCCGGCACCGGCGACGTCGTCGAGGCCGTAAAGCACATGCGCACTGTCAATGCTCAGATTGCTCGTGCCCGTGGTATCCTTCAATCCAGCCAGGACTCCGAGCCCGAGCTGCGCGCCTTCGCCCGTGAGATCGAGGCTCCCTACGAGCTGGTCCGCGAGGTCGCCGAGAAAGGCCGTCTGCCCGTGGTCAACTTCGCGGCCGGTGGTGTCGCTACCCCTGCCGATGCGGCGCTGATGATGCAGCTGGGCTGCGACGGTGTCTTTGTCGGTTCCGGTATCTTCAAGTCTGGTGATGCTAAAAAGCGTGCTCGTGCCATTGTGCAGGCTGTGACTCACTTCAAGGACCCCAAGGTTCTTGCTTCGGTCAGCGAGGGACTGGGTGAGGCTATGGTCGGCATCAATGTTCAGAAGATGCCCGAGGCCGACAAGCTGGCTGGACGTGGTTGGTAAATACCCTTTATTCCTGTCATTATGTGTTAGATTCCGGACCGGTTTGAAAATATCTTAAACATGAGCCATGACCTGTTTGTCTTGTTACCAGATACAAAAATTTAGAGATGAGCTTTTGAATATCCGAAAAGTCAATACTTGAGAGTAGTCATCTACTTGCCTTGCATATACTCCCTCCCAAGGCCAAGAATCCGTAAAATATCTGAAGCCCGCCAAATTCCTCAACTAGGTAATCGAGCATACACATCCACAGATCAGACCCACCATATCCGGCACAGACACGCCCCTGCACGATACGCCCGGAGATCAAAGAGATCAATAATATGATAGGTTCTCCGCACCGAACCACCGATCACCGAACGCCCTGAGGAAGACCGGGAAACAAACTCCTTTTCGCTAAGCCAATGGCCAATCGGTGATTTGCCTGTCCATTTCGATCCCGTTTGCGCTCCCGCGTCACCGAGTCACCGACTCTACCCGCGGATCCGTGAATCTGGTATCCGTATGTGCGTTTACCTGTAAAAATACAGGTGTATTGTGCACTCGGTCGGAGCGCGTACGGAGTACATCGATAGCATTGATTCGACGCTTGGAGTGTTCAATTTAAATCAATCATTATATGAACAGCCTATGACGAAGTATGGTCCGTATGCATCGCGCTGACTTTTCACCAACCCGTGCTATCAAGTCCTTTCACCGTGTTCGAAAGCATAGCACGTCGAAGACCCCCGTAAACCTAGCGCCATTTGTCTTGAGCTCGGATGGATAGTAACATCAATGACTTGGCCGAGACTTGGCGTATTCAATCGAAGTCAGGAAGCTCGAAGGGATCTTTGGTTATTCTAATTCCACGTCTTGCTAGATCATGGAGACAGCCATCAAGTGGCATAGGCAAAGGTTGATTATGGCATGTGGGCGAAGCCGGAACAATATGCCAAAAAGGTTGAATAGTCATATCAAAGTCTATACCTGGATACAAAGAGTGCGAAGCCTCACGACCAAGGTATAACAATTTGGAAAAAAAAAAAAAAAAAAAAAAAAGAAGAAGAATGAAAATGAGCCGCCCGGAAAAGTGCAAAAGACGCCGTCGCTATCAAACCCCCAAAATAAGACAAGATAGATCATTACACATCCGTGAGAACCACTATCGAAAAGCCCCCTTGTGATCCGGGCCCTCGAGGCAATCACGTTCCTGGTATACAATTTGGTCATGAAGTCTCGTTGGCCGAGTCATGACCGGTGCCATTGACTTCCTTTCCAGTCACAGCTGCAGGGGTATCTGCAGATTTGTCGTCGAGAGTAGTGCCAGCGAGCTTTGCCTCCGTTGCAGCCAATTTCTCGGTGGTGTCATCTAGGCTTTTCTTAAGGGCCTTGATGTAATCGATGGCCATCTCTACCGCACTCGCCTTGCTGATGGCTTGGTTGGAGGCCTTCTCTTTCTCCTTGTCAGCGGGTTTGACCCCGGTCAAGGCAGCCTCCTTTGCCTGTCTCGCCTGAACAAAGTCTGGCGGTATTAAGGTCTCGATTTCCTTAAGGGCGCTATTGATTCGATTCCGGCGTCCCTGTTCGGCAAGTTTATGGTTGGTGCGCTTGGAACTCAGATTCTCAGCCAGTGCCTCCGGGTATGAGACGCCTGAGGGCAAGGTGCCATCAAGAATATGCTGGTAATTGGACTTGGAAGCCAAGTAAAGCGCATCTTGCGACATTACTGTAGAGATTTTGTTAGCATGGAATGCCTTAAAATGTCGGGTCTCTAAAGAAAGGGACTGGCACTCACCCTCACCACTTCGCATCAACGGCTGGATGCTCGGACTGATCTTCGGTCGCAATTGAGGGCTAGCCTGCGTGGAGCTCACACTAGGTCGTTTCCGACTAGATATCGAAGATCTGGACGGGTCCGATCGCTTCGGGACCGGCCCACTGGGGGATGGCATGGCCACCGTGCACGGGCTCATCGCAATCGACGCGGGGGTTCTTTCTGCAGCTGATCGAGGCTCCAGAGATGGTGTCCCGTGTGCAGAAAGGACCGGGCTGGCCGTACTGGTGCGTAGACTAGTTTCGATGCGATTGACCCTGGGACGCGGTTGTATGGGTGGCGCTGCTGCCTCGGGCAGGGCGATGTCCTCCATGATCTCATCGTGTATCTCAAGCTGCGCTTGACCAGTGAATTGATCCAGTGGATCTCGAGCATGCTGCGAGCGCTGAATGCGCATCAAAGTCGCCGGAGTGGCAGCCGTGCCAGGCGACTGGGCCACCGGGTTGAAGGCAGGAGACTGCCGCGGCGGTGGAAGTGCGGGTGGTGGCATCAGCGGTTCGGACAAGGGTTCGGGGGAGACTGAATCCTGACCAGAGCCTTCATTGCTGCTAACTTGAAGGGAGCGCACATCGTGGTTTTGCGGCTTGCTCAGCTCGTGGGTCAGACTGTTATAGAACTCTTCCGAGCTATGAGGCACCGGTTTTCCCCTATTGCGCTGAGTCTGTGCTCGAAGGGAAGGCGACTGTTTGACCTTACTGCGACCGGGAAGTCGGGAGGTTGTCGAAGTTCGCCGGCGGTTGGTCTTGCGAATGATACTGGGAGACGGGGGAGCCGAAGTGCCCGGCAGATGGTTCATCTCGGCGTGGGTGGCTACAAAGCCCACATCTGACATCTGTCTCGCATGGAATGGATATCCATTGTTGGAGCTACTGGTGTTCTGTGCTTCCAGCGCAGGCGAGGTAAGAGGTGTGAAGTATTCTCCAGGGACGGTATATTCAGGAACTCGAAATTGGCTCTCTAGTGGTGTCATCGCCGGAGAAACGAGTGGAGTGTAAAGCGCCTTGAAAACATGCGTGAGCGGAGTTCACAGAGAGTGGACTGGGAATATTCCAACATACCTGTTCCTCGTTGATGCGCGAGTATCGATCATACATATCTGCATTCTCGTCCACCCGCTGGGGGTAGCGGGCGGCGTTTCCGTGCAGCTCCATACTGTTTGGTGTCGGGGGGATCATAGGCTGGCCCTGCATATAGTGGTGGTTTGCAGACTGCTGCGACGAATCCTGGGCACAGAAACCCGGGGTCATACTGGGGGTGGAGTAAGACATGCCATGCGACTGCACGGGGCCATGGCCAAAGTCCATGGCGAGGCCTTCAATTGGAGTCGCGTACTGGTGGGATTGCGATCGGTGATCGGACGAGATGGCCGACTCGGGGGCTGTGGTGGTTGGAGGGACCATCGCGTGTTGCTGCTCCTGCATCTGGGAATGCGCTGGTCCGTGCCCCTCGAGGTCGGTAAAGTGCATGTTGAATTCAAGGAAGTTGGAGAATTCATCTTCGCCGGGCGCCGAGATGAGAGTATTCTCATGAATCTGCTCCGGCCAGGTCATAGCCGGCTGGTGCTCCATATTGGAAGTTTTCTGTCTCGACTGTCCCAGAGAGAAGCCAATCAGACTAGGGGGGTAAGAAGCGGGGGTCTGAGCTGAGAACCGACACTAAACGCCTTGACGCGGCATCTAAGAGAAAGAGGGATTCCAGGGGATGGAGAGGAGAGGAGGGGAAGACCAAACCAGAAGCCTTGAGAACCAGACCCAAGAAGTCGAGGTGGAGAGGTTCCGTTCCCTTCGGGCGGAGACGGTTTGTATGAAATCTTACCGGGCGAGGCACCCGGTGGCTCACCTTCGCTTCTTTTTTTTTCTTATTCTTTTTCCCCTTGGCGCTAGATGCGCCTGTAATGCGAACGAGAACCCTTTAATCTGCCACACTTCAGGGTGCCCTATATGTGCGATGAATCAATGGACTGGTACTCGGCTAAATAGAAGACAAGACTCCGAAATTGACATTCCCACTTTTTTTGCCCACTTTTTCCACTTTTTCCACTTTTTTTTTCCCAGAGACCCGAGATCCAACGTTGGCCCTCTATAATGCATCTTGGTCCGAGCTTTCGTGTCCACCCCTCTAAAACGTCAAACTGACTTCCTCCGTGAGAGAAGCTTACCTTGGAAGCTAACCACCTATACATTCAACCCCCCACCCCCAAAATGCGCTTCTTCCTGGCTGCGTGGCTTTGCCACTTGGCTGCTGCTTCATTGACTATCACCATCTCTCCGTCTTCCCTCCTCCCCCACCCCCATTCTCTCCCCGCAACCACTCATGCCACCCTTACCACCTCGGATCGCGTCCTAACGGCTTCGCTCACCCGATCGTCAACTTTGGTGTTCTCCGATATCCCCTCATCCGGCCCTAACTCGTACCTTCTTGATATTCGTTCCGGCGAATGGGTCTTTGCTCCCTATCGTGTCGACGTGGCCGCCGATGGAACCGTCCTCGGGATTTGGGAGACTTTCCGAGGCAACCCGTGGGACAATCGCGGCGCGGAGAAATATGTCGTTGATATTGCGGGAAAGGCACAGGGTGATATCGTGATCGAAGCCAAGGTGGTCGGTCGCAGAGGATTTTATGAGGAACGCGCCAAATGTGAGTTTTGCTTTTCTAAGCCGAGAGTCTTGCTCTGTTGGATTATGCTCATTTCTACAGTTTCGCCAATGAGTCTTGTCAAAAATCCGATGATCTTGCTTGCAATTGTCGCCCTAGGTTTCACCCTAGGCATGCCCAAGCTGATGGAAAACAGTGCGTTCCCTCAACTTCCCTTCCCGACAGTCACTAACAGATGGCAGTGGACCCTGAGATGCGTGCTGAGTTTGAGCAGCACTCCCGATCGTCCCCGATCACAGGTGCTACAAGCAACGCGATGGCCGGAGGTGGTTTCGATCTGGCCGGGTGGATGGCTGGCACCTCATCCGGTCCTACCGCTGATGCCGACGCTGCCCGTGGAGAAGCAACAGGTCGGGATACAGGCGCGGCGCGGCGCCGAGGCTAGTCGATCTGATCATATAATGAGGACTGTAGTATTAATTGTGCTGCGCGAGATTTTAGTCCGAATCAGATGATGTACTTCTCCAGTTCTAGACCCCCAGCCTTGAAATCGTCTTGTTCGAAAGATCCCTCGTAGGCTCTATCTGCAGTTTTTCCAGGTCAAGGCCGCTAGCCTTGGTCAACTGAAATTGTGCATGCAGCTCAATCATCTCTAGAATTTATTTGGTAACACTCTATCCGATAAGCCTTCCAAGCAAAGATACCCAATGTAATTATAGGAATATGAATGAGTCATCTCGTGAAGAATCGTACAATTCGCAGTAAAAGAAAGCCCAAACCCGAGAATTCTTCTTCGAAACAAAACCATAAGCTCAAACCGAGCGAGCAGAGAAAATCATAGCATCGAAAGGGGCATGTTTAGAAATCTCCCCCTCCAAAATCATCACCACCACCACCACCACCGCCATCATCCCAGCCACCACCTCCACCGTCATAGCCGCCATTATCGTAATCGTTGTGATCCCCCATGTCTTCCATCGCATCGGCAAGCAGCATGCCACCGACCAACCCTCCACCCACACCTAAAGCGGCTGCACCTGCAGTTCCCATACCTCCAGATTTCCTTGGAGGTTGTTGCTGCGGATAGTAGCCACCCTGGGGGGGATAGCCCCCGTATCCTTGCTGGGGGTAGCCGTATCCGGGTCGTGGAGCTGGTTGCTGAGGGTAGCTGTTGTAGTATCCACCTGGCTGCTGCTGCTGCTGCTGCTGCTGCTGCTGCTGAGGGTATGAGGCGTACTGCGGTTGTGATGGTCGTGAGCTGCTTCCGGAGCTTTTGCCCATCAGTTTGCTGAGGAAACCGCCCTTGCTTCGTTTTTGCTCCGGCATCGGGCTCTGGGAAGAGGGCCCAGGAGAATATCCGGCGCCTGCTGACTGTGGCCGAGACGGATCGCTATAGTAGTCTGCCGCAGCACCTGGTATTGGACCCCTGCTACCCCCCCTGCCCCCGTGCGCATCTTCCTCGGCCTGGAGCTTGGCTGCAAGTCGCGCGTCTTCGTCTATCATACTTGGGCTGGCACGACTCTGAGAAGCATTTGAAGGATTGTATGGGTTGTTCGACGCCATGGACTGCTTTTTATCTCCCATTACGGCTGCCATCGCTGGGTCGGCAGGGCCAGTCTGGTTGTATGATGGCGGAGGCTCGCTCGGGGCAGGACCGTCAGCACTCGGTGTAGGAGCCTGCGGCGGGTCCCACTGTGATTTTCCAGTTGCAATATTGACATAGAACCTGAAATTTCGACCATCAGTATTTGTTGGCAGGGTACAGAGGGGTAGATGGGAGCTTACCAGGTCTGATATCTCTCGTCATATTGCGCCTTCCAGCCCTCCGGAACCGATGGTGGGGGAGGGCCCGGCGGTGGGTTGAAGGACGACATGAACTATCGCAGATTCGAAAGATTGAGAATGAGAATTGATCAATGAGGGATGTAAACAATGTGAGAGTAAAGAGGGAAAGAGGGGAAAGTAGTTTGGGTTAGTCCCGGAGCTCTTGGTATATATATACCCCATGCAACCCCACCGACCACATTCGGCCAATGCAATTGGGCACTGCGCCACAGTGGCACCTGGGGTGACATCATCATGGACAGTATAATACTTGGGTTTCCCGTTGGCCCAGGTACCTGCTTTAACCATTCCTTGTTTGAATCTCAGTCATAAAAATAAATAGTTATCTGCAATATTTAATAATCTATTTACACCGCTTGCCTATGCCCAAAACCTGAATAAGGCTTGGAGATGAAAGAAACAAATCAAAATGGAGAACTCCGCTCCGGCTCTATAGCCGCTACAAAGAAAGACGTTAGCAAACCAAAGACTTCAAACTATCAATCGATGAGGTAAATGGGCTCTAAGAAAATCACAGCGACTGATACAAGTTCAAAGTTTTCCCTTTTTCATATTTTTAGATTTCAGAAATCGCCCTCGAGGTTTGGGCATCTTCTCCAGAGGTGAAAGGTGGAAAGCCTCGAAACTTTCATATCCGAATCTCAAGTCAAGTGAATTAGCACAATCGGTATTAGTGATGGTTCACTAACTTAATACAGAGTTAATGGATGCATCGCCTCATCTGTTTATACAGTATAGAGAAAGACCGGTGGTAGTCGGTACTACCATCGTCGTTAATACTAAGGTGGTGTTCCCGCGTATTTCAAATTTCTTCCAGGCTAGAAGGCTAAATCAAGGTAGTTCTTATAAAAATTTATTTATTAGATGCTACTAGCACTTAGGTTAGAGATATTCTGAGATAAATCGATACTTGAGGAGCTCTTACTTGAGGAGCCCTTCCTAGAGGAGCCCTTACCAGAGATAAAGTTTTTGTTCATCAAACAAATATTGCGCCATCAAATGTGGCTTATGTTATTTTATTATTTTTTTCACCAGTGGTGGCTACCTATGCCTGTATATGAGCCAATTCTGCAGCCCACTAGGCGCAACAATCGAGATCACGTAAAGTGAGTTCAAAGTAACGTTAAAATGATTTTTAAAGAAGAAAAAGAATGGTATATGTACAGTTCCTACCAAATTCCCGTTTGGTCTAGTTCGAATCAGAACGTATCAAAAAAAAAAAAAGTAATCATCTGACTATCGCCTCTAGGACAATCAGCCAGAGCGAGGAGCTGATGTCCTTTGTGGTTGCTGCTCGCTGGAATGGTATACGTTTGCAGACCCAGAGCGTATACACAACAGAGATGGTCCCGAGCAATAACCATTGCAAGTTACCTTCACTTACGAAGAGCATTCTTCTTGCGCATTGAGACCATCATATCATAGAGTACGTCCTTAAAGGCGAAGAGGCATGCGGCAGTAATAGCGCTCTGGGTGACCTTAGGTCCAATTCCTGAATGAAGTAAGCCCGGGTGCTCTGTCATCTGCGTACATCTCCGAGAAGCGACTTACCCTTATACAGCCCTGTCCATCCTTCTTCCTGGATTATTCTCTTGAGGTTGCCATTCAGGCTCTCCTTAGGGCCATCTTTGCTGGCCACGTGCATCCTGCTCTTGATGGTGATGTAAGGGTAGGTGATGCTGGTGGCCATAATCTTGCCGAGGGCACCCAAATAGAACGCATCCTTGGGTGTCATCCGGCGGCGGCGCTCCACGACATTCTTCAACTGCTCGAAGATGGTATATTGTAGGATCGGGTTGATCACCAGAATTAGCGCCGGAAGAACACCAGCAAAAAGAGCCTTGGGCCCTTCCTGTCGGAGCAAGTCCATCAGAGTGTTGATGGTGGATGCCTTGGCCTTCTTGGGGGCCCCAGGTAGGGCCTGTTCTTCAGACTCGGACCGGCGAGCCGTCATACGGGTGTTGATCACCCAGATGGGGTTGGTGATGAGCACCGTCGCACTACCGGCAATCGCACCCGCGATCATGGACTCGACCGTGGTGAGCTTCTTGGAGGCCCGACCCGCCTGGATGGCCGCCTTTTCGAAAGTCGACCGAGTCCACTCATACCAGTAGTAATACACGAAGTTGGTGACACTGATGCCGAAAAGGGCGGATTCTAAACCCGAGTAGAGTCCGGAGATGCCCTCTCGCTGGACAATTCGACGGACTGCGTCTAGAGTGGTGGAGTGGGCCCGCTTGGACTCGACTTGGGCTCTGGTTGACAGAGTAATCAGAGGGTACCTGTGCAGTAGACCTTAGCATTTTCGGCCCCCGCGGAAGAAGGCAGAGGAAGGCGTACGTCAAAACCATCGACAGGATTCCACCGCCGGCACCTGCCAGTGCGTGCGCGATGTTGTCGCTTTGTTGAACGGCCGTGGAGGCTAGTTTCTGCTCACGTTGAGACATAATGGCGAGGAAGGTTGCGGGAGTTGAAGGATTAAGAAACTGAGTGAGACCCGAAAGGAGAGGTTGAAAAAAAAGGGTTCAGGAGACAGGGCGTGGTAATAGTTCGGCTTGAGGAAATGGGGCATGGGGCATGGGGCATGGAGCATGGGGCCTGGGGCCTGGGGGGAGGTTCATGACGTTTTGCCGAGTTGCTTCGTGCCTCGGCTCCCGCTCTTCAACGATTCCGACTCCCACGAGCGAACATACGATATCTAAGCATTAGTGGGTTTTGCCTTACCGATTCAATGTTTTGATCAAAGATCGGACTTGCATGTGATTTACGTCCCTGGATTCATCACGGGCCTTGCTTCACAGGGGGTTTCGTGTCCCCTACTATACTGCGTGTATGCTCCCACCAAGTACTCACTGCCTCAATAGGGAAGCTTCCCTTTCCCCCTCTCAACTTCTACGTAGCATTCAAATGATTCCAGAGAAATCAAAATACAAAACAGGGTAGAAATTCACAAGTTCTCGCCATTAATTCATTCAGAAAAGAGATGAATCCAACCTACAAGAGAGAAAAAAAAAAAAACCAGGAGAGAATGAAGGGCCCGAGAAAGATGCGGCCACGAGAAAAGTAAAAAGCAGAAAACACCGGCGATAATTACGAAGCAAAACGGAGAACGACAGAACACAGGGCCGTCTAAAGCACAGGGAAGAGAGAAGAAAAAGGGCCCCCGGTGGCAGTCGTGAACCGAATGGGAAGAAGCCCTGTTGAGTCCTCGGCCGTCTAGGCTCTGCCGACTGAAGAGTATGGATAAGCCTGGACGATAAGATGTCGTGCCTAGAAAACCCTCATTATGTAACATTGCGCCAAATGGAAGCATCGTTCTGAGTCAAAGTCGTCTAGCAGCAGCCGCCCGCGGATCCGGACTGGACGCCCTGGCCCTGGCCAACCTGCACAGTGGGCTTGTTGTTGACGGTAGCCGTTCCCATGCGCTCCTTGATCTGTCGTGCCATCGTCAAGAAAGCCTGCTCGACGTTGGACGCGTTCTTGGCAGAGGTCTCGAGGAAGGGGATTCCCAGGCTGTCGGCGAACTCCTACAGAATCAAACGACGTATTAATGGCCGGCCTTTCAAAGACTCCAAAGGTAAAACATCCGTAGGGGAGGGCAAGTAGAAATGCCAAGGGTATTTGGTGCCTACCTTCGCCACGGTGTACTCGACCACCTTCTTGTCCTCCATATCGCTCTTGTTACCGACGAGCAGCTTGTTGACGCCCTCAGTAGCATATCGGTCAATCTCCTGAAGCCACTGCTTGACATTGTTGAATGAGTCCATGTCGGTGACATCGTACACAACGCAGATGCCGTGGGCACCGCGGTAGTAGGAAGATGTGATGGTGCGGAATCGTTCCTGGCCAGCAGTGTCCCACTGTAATCTGCGTATTAGCCACGTTCAGGTCCTCCTCACACCATTATGAGCAAACGTACAATTTGAAGTTTCACGGTCTTGCCATCGAGTTCAATAGTGCGGATTTTCTGCGACATGTGCGTCAGCATAACATTCTGGCTTGTACCCCCGCGAAATCGATGTCAACGTACGAAGTCAACACCGATGGTAGAAATGTAGCTTTCCGTGTAGGTGTCATCGGCAAAACGGAGCAACAGGCAAGACTTTCCAACACCGGAGTCTCCGATGAGGAGAAGCTTGAAGAGGTAATCGTATCTATCTCGGTTAGGTAAGGTGGATCGGCGACACGAGGTGGCCACGAGAGAAGACCAGCGAAGGTAATAATACTCTAGTGATGAGAGCCGCGTCAGTCGAATCATACGAAAAACAAGCCCTGAAAACCCACTGAGAGCCCCAAAGCAAAGAGGGAGACGGGAGGAGACAACGGAGAGCAGAGGGTTCAGCGAGGCAGACTTACTACTCGGGATTCATCATGGAAGAGCGAAAGGTACAAAGGGATCAGGAAGAGTGGGAAACTGAGAAAATGAGGATATAGCGAAGAGAATGCGGCGATGAAGCGAGGACGGAGTTGTCGGTGGAGGGGACTGAATGATGAACGCCTGAAATGATAGGAGGTGCAGGAGGCCAGGCGCACCTGATGCGCAGCTTTGTTTCACGTCCGCCACCGCCTTGGCCTATTTGTTATTTCTGGTATTTGGGTATTTTTGATTTCATTGCATTTCTGTTCCTTTTTGGAGGATGATGTTGACTCTTTACTCAAATGAATCTCGAGTATGATGACGTTTTTTGATTTTATTTTTATTTTAATTGTTTCTGTCCCATGGATGTCTCATTCGCCCGTGGCAGCTGACCAACTAACTATACCTACGGACCTAGTCATCAGTCTCGTCCCACCCCAACTAGATGATCCTCGTCATGTTTTGCCTTCTTTCTTCTCATGATCTTTTGGGTTCTAACAGATCATCCTGTTAGCCGCTCACGCATAGCCGTGAGCCTGCAACCACTCCAGAACTAGAGCCTGATCGCGCTCCTTGTAGGAAGCATTGGTCTGAATGTTATCGGACACTATGACTAGGGCTCGGGCATAGGCTCCCGTATTCTTGCTATTGAAGAAGCTTGCGATATCCTCGCCAATCTTGTGGTCGGCAAACTTGGAAAGACCCATGCGAACGAATCGCTCGAAGACCACGTTGTTGGACGACAGATGCGCTTCCACCGAGGCCCAATTCGTTTTGATGTACTCCCACAGGAGGTGTCGCATCTTCGAATTAGCAGCCAGGGACACTGCACCGCTGTGGGCATCCTGAATGGCCACTTTGTCCGAAAAGACGAAGTCCAAGTAGTCCTGCACCAGAGCTGGCTCCTTGGTGCGACCCATGGCAGCCAGGCAGATTTCCTTACCATCCACGGAATCGGTACGGAGATACTCCTCCTTGACAGCGTTATACTCCTTCCGGCCGCCCTCTGACACGTTCAGGCTAAAGATCGTCGAGCGAAGGTTGGTGTGCACGGCGCTCTTGTCTCGTCCAGAAGCCCAGAGATCGAAGCGGCGCTTGGCTTCCGCGACGATGCTAATATGTTTGTTAGTGGTGGCCGGTAGTTGGATTATCAAACAATGTAGGAATCACCTCTCATGACCAGCATTTCCTGCCATTGCAATCAGAAGCTTGCGAAGCTGAACAGTAAGATAGTCCTCGTTTGGCTGGAATTCCCAGCCAATCTGCTCTGCGACCGGGGCCACCAGATCCCGAGTAAACTTCTTCAACCCCTCAGCAGCCTGCTCATTCTGGGAGAAAACGGACCGGAGACTGGCAAGCGATGAAGACAACTGGGACCAAACACTGAAAAAAAAAAGTTAGAGCCGATGGGCTGAATAGTAACAGTAGCCAAGAAAAGAACACTCACAGGTAGTTCTGCTCGCCCTTGAATCCCTCTAAGAGAGATAACAAGGCGGGTGTAGTGCCCTCGCCGGAGACCGCAAGAGCAGCTGCGTCTCCTAGTAGGCCGATCTTATCCTCAGTGCTCAGAAGATCAAGGGACTGACCCAGCTTGGCCAGACGCGCAGGTGGGTAGTTTGTGCGATAAAATCCAGACAGATCCTTGTTGATCTTGTAGAAGGTATCCTCGCCAACACCACCCACAGTGTCGGTTTTCTCGGTAAGAGCGCGAGTATCCACAGTAGCCAGCGTCTGGCCTGACTTAATACCAAGAGGAATCCACCAAGTAGTCTCGTCTTCCTCGGGCTTTGCATCTCCCGTGGACAAGAATCGGTTTTGACGAACGCTGATTTGACCGGGCTCCTCTGCCACGGTCACGACGGGGAACCCAATTTTGCGGATCCACGGATCCTTGAGAAATAAATGTCAGACATTCGAGCTGCTTAAAATGGAGAAAATTTCTTTCTAGACATACCATGAAGCCGTGCACATCCTGGCCAGATGCTTTACTCAAAGCGGACCACAGGTCAGTGGTAGTTGCGTTGCCTGAGCGAAAGTAATAATTAGTCGTTATTATTCGTTTAAGTTTAAAGAAAGCTCCTGACCGTATGCATGAGACTTAAGGTAGTCCGCAACTCCTCGAAGGAATGTCTCTTGTCCAAGGTGGACACTCAGCATGCGGATGACTGAGCTTCCTTTCAGGTAGCTTATGTGGTCAAAGATCTGGTCCACCTCGAGAGCGTTCCGAACGGGCACTTCGATGGGGTGAGAGGCACGCAGCGAGTCGAGATGAAATGCTTGTTGCACGCCTTCAGCCTGTGACAATGTCAACGGTGATCTTGAAAGTATTCTTTACCTCGAGAGTTGCGTACAACAAATTGAGACCAGACATTCCAGTCTATATATATTTATTAGAAGCTGCAACATCGTTGCGTATCAGGAGAGGCGACTCACCGGGGTAGAAATGATCGACAGCCAGCCAACCAACCCAGGTTGCAAAGCCTTCATTAAGCCAAAGCTCATTCCACCAGTCCATGGTCACGAGGTTACCAAACCACTGGTGAGCCAGTTCTTTTATACGAGATGCGTCAGATCGAAACGCTAGAAGTTAAAGCATAACCCAAGAGCATTCTTACCGTGAGCCACCACATAGGCAATCCGGTTCTTATAGCGATTGTCTGACTTTCCTTCGTCAAAGAGAACAGCGGTCGTCCGATAAGTCACCAAGCCCCAATTTTCCATGGCCCCCATGGCCTTCGAAAAAGAAAAAAATCAGCATTAACCAACAAGAGAATATTAGGGAAGCCTTGTCTCTTACAAACTCATGCACCGCTAGCAGGTCTGCCTTGGGAAGCGGGTATTCGATCTCGAAGATCTCAGAGAAGTAATCGACCGTCCGATGGGCACACTCCAGTGCGAAGCGAGCCTGGTCCTCCAGGCCCCGTGTAGTGTAGACGCGAACTGGAATGCTCTTTCCTTGATACTTGCGCTCGGTCATGGCTTCAACATATCCAAAGTCACCCACGGCCCAGGCCAGAAGCTGCAGGTGGCAATTCTCGTCAGTGAGGCGTGCACAAATCAGCCTGGTTCATACTGACGTAGGTGCTCATCACAGGTGTCTTTTCAAACGCCACAAACTTCAGCCCAGCGTGGCTTCCAACTTTTTCTGATTTAACAGGCATGTTGCTGAGAGCCGTCTGTCCCTTGGGGACCTCGATCTCGAAATCGAAAGTGGCTTTCAGGTTAGGCTCGTCGAAGCAGGGGAAGGCCCTACGTGCATCGCAAGACTCGAATTGAGTGCTCAGCATGTAGTGGAAGTCGCCTTCCTTCGGTGTGTCGGCAGTCGGTTCCCCAACAGGCTTGTACTTGGACCGATAGAAACCCGCCATGACATTATTCATGGTTCCCGTAAAGTTGACCGAGAGCATGACGTCTGACGGCAAGAATTCATGAGGGAACTTAAGGAAAACGCGCTCCGATTCTTTGTCGTAAGTAATTTCGTTGGCCTTGGAGAGTTGGTTGCCTAGAGTCGTAAAGCAGAACCGTTAGCCCGTCTTGGTCCCGGACATACCGTGGTCGTTCAGTAACAAACCATTCTTCCCCAGTACTTCGGCAGTCTGCACATTGATCTCCTTCGAGTTCAAAACGATTTCCTTGGTGGAACGGGTGAGCTTGAGATCGATCTTCACCACACCCTTGTATTCCCAGGAGCTACCGAGCTGTAGATCGAAGAGGGAAACATGATAGTTGATTGGTTTAGCCCTGTTAGTCTGGATGTCAGCCGCATGTCTTGAGGGGGGCGGGATGAAATTCAAAAAGAAAAAGAATCCTCCCGAAGAGAGAGTATTTCCAGTAAAGCATTATACTTACACGTCAGGCAGAGTTTCTCTGTCAGTAGACGCCATCATGCGAGCCTCGGCGGAGCAGTATCGAACAGGAGCGAAAGCAAGACGTAAGGGCGCTAGGGCTGTAATTCGCGGGCGCAATAGTGGTCGAGAGGATGAAGGGGAAGAAAATGAAGAGAAGGAGGGACAGAAGGAGGGGGAGGGGCGGAGAGCGACGGGGTGACGAGCTTGAACAGTTACTGCGCGTCTCGTCGCCGCAATGGATCTTCTCCCCCACATCGGGGTTTTAGTGACACTACGGCTATTGACGGGTTGTCGACGGATTTGAATTTCTCGGTTGGTTCTGGAGAGCTGGTCCTCTAAGGCGTTTGTGAACCGACGAAGGGGAAGTTCAATGACGGAGCTCCGACGGAGCTTGGACCCTCTTGCCGAGCAAGCCAGCGCTTTGAATCCGCACTTCTTTCCCATTCGGCCTAGACTTCTCCAATTTGCCCACCTCCCCAACACGATGGCCGACTCGGATGAGGAATACGTGGGAGATGTGACCGAGGACGAGGACGACTTCCCGGTCGCCCGGAATGACCGCACTCGCTCCGGGAAGCGAAAGCAGCGCGGCGGCGCAGAGTGGGAGCTCTCTCGAACCTGGGAGACTCTAGTAGAGGGCGCGGACGGAACAATCAGCTCTACGGTTGAAGGACTACTTGAAGCCGGGAAGCGAAAGAGGTAAGGCCACTTTAAAGCTACCGGGTCCGTGCCATTCAGCTACTGACCACATCGCGACGCAGGCTGCTGAAAGACACGACTCCTCTACAGCGCGGCATTATACGACATGTCATCTTGATTCTTGACCTTTCACAGTCTATGTCCGAGAAAGATCTGCGACCCACACGATACCTCTTGACACTTCGATATGCGCAGGAATTTGTGCGAGAGTTTTTTGAACAGAATCCCATCTCCCAACTCGGAGTCCTCGGCCTACGAGATGGTTTGGCTCTTCGAGTAAGCGACATGAGCGGCAATCCGACAGAACATCTTACAGCCATCCAGTCACTCAAGATCCAGGACCCGAAAGGTCTTCCCAGTCTACAAAATGGTCTTGAAATGGCTCGAGGCGCCCTCTTGTACGTATTTTCTTTATGCGTGGTTCCGTCTGTGTAGCCTTCTGTTATGATACTAATGTGCGACCACAGCCATACCCCCAGCCATGGTACTAGAGAAGTGCTGGTCATCTTCGGCTCCCTCCTATCTTCCGATCCCGGAGATATACATCATACTATCAATACTTTGATCGGCGATAAGGTGCGTGTCCGGATTGTCGGCCTTGCCGCCCAGGTGGCTATCTGTCGTGAATTGTGCACCAGAACGAATGGTGGTGATGAAACCGCATATGGAGTTGCCCTCAATGAACAACATTTCCGGGAGTTAATGATGGACGTGACAACACCGCCGGCTTCGTATTCGCAGAAACAATCGGCAAGCTCATTGTTGATGATGGGCTTTCCTTCGCGGACCGTGGAGGCCCGTCCATCACTCTGCGCATGTCACTCGAAGCCGTCACGAGGCGGGTATTTGTGCTCGCGATGCGGCAGTAAAGTGTGTAGCTTGCCCGCGGAGTGCCCCTCCTGCGGACTCACTCTTATTCTGTCAACGCATCTTGCACGCTCGTATCACCACCTGTTCCCTCTGATGAACTGGGCTGAGGTACTGTGGCGCCAAGCCTCACGAAGCTCCGCTTGTTTTGCTTGCGGACTTTCTTTTCCGGTAGTGCCTCCCGAAGACCAATGGCAAGTCACTGAGACTCACGCCAAAGGAATGAGTGTAAGCAGTCGTTATGAATGTATAACCTGCCATAACCACTTCTGCATTGATTGCGATCTGTTCGCGCACGAGGTTGTCCATAACTGTCCTGGCTGCCAGAGTAATAGTGTTGGAGCATCCCACAATGAATCAGATATGCCTGATCGGATGGATACGACCGTGTAGGATCGGAACTCGCGTTTTTCTTTCTCTCTCCTTCTTTTATGATTGCATGGGTTGGCGTCAGGATTTCAAAAGGGGTCTTAAGACCCTGGGCGTTGAAGTAGACAGACTATCGAATATACTTCAAACATTCTATAATTTAAACATCGAGATTGTCCAACGTCTGATATATGTACTGAAGCATATCGAGTATAAGTATAAAGTATAGCATTATGCACTAAACACTAAACGCTGAGCCTCGGTTACCGAGCTCTGCCCCACGTTCTCCTCCGCATCGCGGAACTCCTTTCTAACACAATCCAACAATGACGCAGTCATCCTCCTTTGAGACCTCGGATTCTTTCGAGAAGCTGTATTCTTACTCATTCCATACGGATTCCGAGTTTGCAAATGGCCTCGCTATTATTCTCGGTCATCCGGGCACCCCCGCCACTCAGGAGGAGATGAATCGAGAGGACGATCTCGTGATACAGGCCAAGTGCTTTTTCTTCTCGCGGTACTGTGCCCTATATTCCGTTGGTACTTCTCATTTTTACTGATTTCAACGTATAGAAAAGAAAATCTCAACCCTCCCATTGACTTCGCCGCCTACAAATCCTGGTCACTTGCACGGTCAACGGGCGAGCAGATAGCTACACCAGACTCTTCGCTAAGGCCAGGCGAACTAGAATCATCCGTGGAAGTGCATGTACCTGATACCGAGACTGAGACGCCCCCGGAGCCTGCCTATCCATCCTCGTTCGCACACATCGTGGAGCTCATCACTACAGGGCAGCCGATTCCGGGTATAGAACAGATACCAGACACGGTTTTGACCGGACATGACACTGCGAGCGAGAAGCCTCGGCGACTGAAACCATGGGAGCGGGATGCTACAGAACTCTCCTTGGGTGAACCTTCGAACGAGGCTGTTTGAACAATGTCCTATAAAGAGAAGCCTGAACATCATGGGAAGACGAGAACTGACACTCAGGAAACAAGATCATGCCGGATCTAATTCAATAAAAAATATTTATCTGCTGTAATTGACATAATGTGGTCACAGACAATGCCGATGACTGGATAGTAAGGAATAGCGACCATCAGAGGACAGAACAAACTGGCGCGAGGGCAAGTTTAGCGGTAGATATTGTAAAGAAGCACGGCATGCAGGCCATTCATTCTAAGAGCCAAAGTCCAGAATGATCATTGCTGAATAATTGCTCCGTATTTGAGTCAAATATGAGCCACCATCGCAACCAGAACGACTTATCCGTGCGTTTTTCGGACCATACTCGTCATTGAGAGACATAAGGTGCCCGGGGTGTCCGAATGTGGAAGAGTAGCAAGCCAAGTAGATAGATCGGCAGGCAGGGAGTGCCTGTGAGATTGCTTCCGCAAAGATAATAAAAAGCTGGCTGTTTGGTGGGTCGACAGAGGTCCAGGTACCGACAGGTGAAGGTGAGGATAATCAATACAAATGTTAACGTTTTGTATGGCTATTTTTGTTATTTCATTCCTTTTTCTTCTCGTCTCCTTTTTGTTTCGATCATCTGGATTGGTGCAAACTTGCAAGACCGACATGTCGGCCCGGGTAAATTCAACGGAACGGCGTGTAAGCAGAGCCCCATTGATTGCCTCGGTTGAGGCGGCCGCCGCTCGGTCCATTTGAAGGGAATCTTTCCTCATTGAATTGATTGAAACGGCCTACATGCATGCCGGTTCCGGGACCAGGGCGCGTGGCATGAGACGGGTTGCAACAGAGCATCGCGACACGAGAGCCAAACTTAGACCCGCGAAGAGAGACCATGTGTTTCCTATGAGCGAAAAAGTTAGCAAGTTGATCATTTACAAAGAGACTCAAGCGCCTCATACCGAATATGACTGGCAACGATTTCACGCTGATGGGTGGCGGCGTTCATCAGAATCCATTGAATCAGGTAGTTGCCATACTGGTCTCCAGCGACTGCTTATTCGGTCAACATACTTTAGAGAGAGAAAACCCATTTTCAAACTTACTGTCAATTAGTGGCATTCGAGGTCGATCAGCGCGGCCAATGCAGACTCGAGAAAGATAGCGATCCAGGAACTCAGAGCCTCCGATTTTCAAACATTTTTCGACTATCTTGGATGCAAACTGGTCCATACTGTAGTCCACAGCAAAATGAAGGACATGCTCGATAGCGCGGCCTTTGTCGTGAGGAGCGCCATGCTCACAAATATGCTGAATGCACCAGTTCCCGAATTGACCATGTGCAAGGACGTCGACCTTACCCAAAACTTCTTCAATGGCGAGCCGCTTCTCGCTGTTAGCACTCGTTCAAATTCAAATTCATACCCTTTGCCAAAGAATGGAAGCGCAGGACAGTGCAGGGAATGGATTTCTTGTCACTACATAATTTCTCTTACCTTCTCTTCTTCCACGCAATTCTCAAAAATGTTTTGGACAACCAGACTTCCAGTCTCACCCAATGCGACCTCATGCCACATTCCGCGCAATGCTTCGTTCACCTTGGCCATGACCTGGGGTGGCGCACCGCTCCACCGAAGCTCGAACAACTTCTGCCAAACATGACATGCATACCGATGAATCACCGTCTCCGGAATCCTGCAAAGAAGCTCGTGGACCATGACAGCTTTGTGTTCCTCGGGCACACAGTCGAATGCTTTTTGGATAACATGACATCCAAAAGGATCCATGCTCAGATTGAGCGTGTGGCCTCTGATTGCGTTGGCAATAGCAACAACTTGCTCCGGGCTTCCATGCTCGAAACAGCGCTGAACTAGAAAGTTGCCGAAACGGTTGATCATCAGAGAATATGCCTTGCTGACAATTGCGTCGACAATGTCGTATTTCTGCTCAGTCATGCCGACCTTGAGTTTCTGTTGCAGGAAAATAGATGCCTGTTGATCGTTGTTGCAAACTATCTTGTCCACAATGTATTTCCAGTCACATGAAACATTCTTGTCGAGAAGCCGCCGATAGTTCAGGGGCTCAAGGGGTGACACGTAGGTTTGAAGGGAGCTTCCACCGCCCTATTTTTGTGAGTCGCTATTAAACAAAAAGCTTAGTGTGGTACTTACCAATGACGTGGCCCATGGGGTTCCGGCTGTAATAGTCGTTGTAAACTCCGTGGCAGTTGGAGAGAGTGCCGTTGCAACAGGTCGAGTGTGAAACGAAGGCATGGAATATATTCCAATTGGCGGGAAGGCGCTCGAGGATCTGGCAGTCGGCAAAGAAGGGGACTCGGGAGCTGCTTCACTTGGAGGCCTCGATACAAAGCTACTGCACAGGGTGCTTGGAGATGGTACAAAGGTTCCACCCCGGTTCGATTGTGTGGCTGATCCACGAGCTCCAGTGTTGGGACCTTGTAAAAATCGGGCTTGTTCATCTGGAGATCGAGAATAGAATCCATATGTACCGGCCGAGGGTCCTGAAAGCACCCGATGTGTGTGCAGCGGTCCATGAGTGGCAAACGCAGGATGCGTAGAGCCACCCCAAAGTCGAGTTGGGTCATGAGTCATGGAGTTAGATGTCTGAGCAGAGTCATCATATTGCTTGTCAAAAGAAGGTTCAATGGTGTTCATTCCGGAAGACAGATGGCTATGCTGGTTCCAAAGCCCTTGCGCGCGGTTATATGCTCCAGCAGACAACGCATCCGAGATATCGGACTGTGAGTCATCCTGTACATTCCATGCATCCTGAAATTGACCGAATGGATGATTTGATGCATTGAAGGCACTCTGTAAATGTGCGATGGTTTGTTCGGTTATCTCACGGTCGCCGAAATCTGCCTCTGATGGAGAGCCCAAAGCTTGATCTAGGGTATGCTTGATGACACGAGTATGAGCTAGCTCTTGCTCCTGCAATGCAATTTTGGAATTGGCAGCAAGAAGCTCCTGCTTGAGTCGACGGAGCTCTGTTGTCTTGTTATCCTGGGCACATGGATAACCTGCATCAGAGGGACCGATTGTAGAAACGATCAGCGAAGGATGGGCAGAATGACCAGATTCTGGATGGATCGATGACATTGTATTAGGAGGGACCTTGATCTGTATCTTCTCAGCCTCTGATGGGGTTTCAATCAAAGATTCGACTTTCACATGTTTTTGCTTCTGCTTCTAGGATTGTGAGATCACTAACGTTGGTATCCAAGGTAGGGGTCCGAGCAAACTGACCTTGCTTGACGGGAGGTTAAAGTCTGAACTAGAAGAGCTCTGCGAGGCTTCATGACGCGATGTCTGGAAATGATCAGAAGGGCTTTGTCGACTGTTGGAACAGTGATGACTCTAAGAGCACGAAGCAATGTGAGTGTCCTGTCTCTTTCGAGACTTCGGCTTGTAAGTCTCACCGACAGCCCGCGTCCAAAAGAGAGACCCCGTAGATCAGCACCATCATTCAAAACGAGCCCTCCCTCCCTGCCAACGCGGGCAGGTTTGGGCGGACTGGCGACACTAGACATCTTGCTCATGGCAAGTAGTCTGGGCGAAAACGCAAGTAGAAGCTTTCAGGTGCAGCTTACATGGGATGAGAAAGTGAAAGCCTAGATATCGCCAAAGATTGCTTAGAGATGGGATATATCAGGAGGGGAAGGGAGAGAGGAAGAAAAGGAAGATGGAAGGAAAGCGGATGTAAGCCAACAACATCGGCAGCCACAATAGAGGAGTGCAGCATGTCAGGAAGGTACGTCTAGGACTGTACTACAATATTTGCATCGGTGCTGAGGTCAGGAGGCCGGGGAGCTCTGCCATGGTCGGTCTAAATGACCGGCCTCATATACTCCCGTGGCGCTCTTCCAACGGCACCGACCATAGGCCACCACGTAGTCCGGTTGCCCCGATCCCGTTATAGTCGGTATAAGAAGAGAATCAAAGCACAGACCTGCTGAATCTTCATCCCAGATCATCAGTTCTTATTTTTTATCATCCAGCGGCCGGAAAAATACAGCCCCAGTCCGGGTTCATACGGATATTCTGGCCCCAGGACTGACATACGGTTATTTCTCGATATGACCAGACGATCAAGGTCAACAAAAATGGGAATTGATTTGACCTTGGCGGGTTGAAGATCCGTGGCCACGGGCTTCCACCAAATTCCCAGGATAACCCTGACCGCGGCCATCCGAGCACTTCTGATGTATTTGAGAATCCGCGCCAAAATACTGTAGCAGAAACAGCTAGTCTGGAAGGCTTAGCTCTCTCCCCTCGACGAGCACACCTCGATCATGAAAGATCTATGGATACAAGAAATGCATTCAGCGCGCCGAGTTGGCGGCCGTATCTTTGATGAATTTTCTCTCGGCGGGTGGCAGTCGAGATACCCCATCAGTTGATGTCCTTTAGGTACCATGTTTACCGACATCGATCTGGGTCCACTTCGACTAGCATTTTTGCGCCATCTAACTAGATTATACGGGGCATCCTCGATTGAGCTGTACTTCCGCAGAAGTCTACCCTTTAGGCTGCGATTAGCATCTCGCGTGCCTGCAAGTATCAGCTTCAAATCCCTCCTATGAAAGACAGCGATCACTTGCAACTGGTCCTGTAAGCCACAAGAATCGAGAGACGGAGGTGAGAATATTCTTGACGGATGAAAATAGGTAAGTCGCATAGACTCCATGAGAGATTTCTTTGTGATACTTACATCAAAACGTTGGGATCTGGAACTTTCATGGGCAGTTTGACTTGGATTGAAAATTGATATTCGGCTGCATGTAAAACCACCGGTTTGAGAAAGATGGCGAAAGTAAGGGGACGAACTTGATGTCCAGCCAGTCGTAAAGGCTCCATTACCGACATCTGATGTTGAGACTGGATCGAAGGCCCCATCGGCAGTGTCCTTGTAGCGCAGAAGAGAACATTTTGTATGCATGGATTGAAATAATCTGGACCTAGTCGGCCTTATTGTTCTGGACATTTATCGAGCCGCAGGTGCCGCGTAGTCTTCCTCGGATCATCTCTGATATTAAGAAGCTGCCTTGAGCCAACGTTATTGGCCCCCGCGGAGCTCGGCTTCCAACATCACCTCTGCCGAGTTGGATAGAGCACCAAGAGCCTGTACGTCCCGAGTGATTTCCAGCTCAATGGATGGTGACCCGGCCAGAGTTGAAGTATGACGGGAGTTTGCCGATACTGATACACATCATCGCCACAGTGGCGCTCCTCGTCCAGCCAGAACTCAAGAAGGCCACCACTGAAGAAAGCAGCTGTCTGTGGCTCGGTGATGTTTACTTCAAGCAATATGCGTGCTCATAATTGATATGTTAGGGCCGGTATACGGACTGCAAGAAGGCCCAATCAATATCGGTAAAGCTTACGTTTAAGAAAGCCCTTGTTTGGTTGTTTGGTTGCTAGAAGGTTCGATGCATATATATATATGATCCCGCTGGATAGCCCCATTACACCGAAAGCGCTAGCAAAAGATGTCTCGGCCTCATACTGCAGACGATGGGATTCATCATGGCGCTGTAACGGATCTGATCCCAAATCGCCTCTGACTGAGCTCAACTTTCAACTTTTCATCATTTATATCCTATCAGCGCCGCACTATATATATCAACCTCCCGTACCGAGCTTAAACGGGCCGAGGATATTATATGGTTCGATAGAAATACTCCAGGCGAGTCCAAATTATTGGGTGACTACGAGCGCCAAGAGGAAGTTGAGCCATGAGAGAGGCACATGTGAGTAGCGAGATCCATAGCACCAGAACAGAGAAACGCAGGTGCACGGAAAAATTTCCCATTAGTTCAGCATCAAGGTAGATAGATACCTTGTTCGGCACATCCAGTCTGGGTTCAAGTGGAGCAAAGAGACGGGGACGGCGCGAGAGTTGGGGCTCCACATCACGTGACGTAGTATCTTACGGATACGTCTTTAGATGAAATCCAGGGCAAGAATTGATCAATAGTGAAAGAAGGTTGCCATCCAGGCAAGGGAACACTTCTCGTAGACGTTCTCTCTAGCTTGATGTAGGGCGTATGCAATCCCTTTCGCGCCGATTGCTCGGCACCCTCCGCGGTATCGAGATGGTAACCTGTAATGTAACGGCCGGTGGCGGTCGCATCCTGCAAATCGGCTGTGGATGGGTCCAGTCAACCTCCAATTTCCCTTTCGATCCCCTATTCGTTTCGTTGCCCCGGTTCTGTTAGTGTGCACTGTCCCGCTGTTGCGCACCGGTCTTGAGTCTTCCGTGTGTCTTCCGTTCTCGATGCTTATTCGCTCCAGGAGATTCGTCATCGGCAACCTAAACTGCAACTCGTCTCCTACGTTCCGTCTGCGCGACAAGACGAACCATTTCCCGCAATAATTCGATCCCGTGGACGCCCGCAAGTTCTCTCCTCCGTCATTCGGGCAGGTGAAATCGGCAGTATTGACGCGCACTGAGACACCCTGAGAAAGAGAGACAGACAGTGTGCGAGTGCATCAACGTCTACCTGGTAGAAGCATTGTGCCTTGGAGGATGGCCACAGCTACAGTGACCGGTCATGGACGACGGGCATCGATCAGGCAAACCGAATTACAAGTTCCAACCAAGACGCCGACCTCACAAACCACGAGCAGTCCCATCGATCAGTTTCCTCCTTACGAAGAGATACTTGACGCCGCCGAAGGGTCGGCTCGCCCCAATGCAAGCCCCTCGGTGAAGTATGGTTCCGGCGAACTATGGGAGCCTCGAAAGTCGGCTTTCTACTCGCGAGAACACGCCAATGGATCCGCGAGGAATCCTAAACATCGGCCGCGGAAGAGTATCAGCGAGGCCATCACCACAATTCGGACACGCAACGGTAGCGTGAGTGCCAACGCCCAGGAACTTGCGGAGGCACTTCGAGCGCCAGTGTCGTATCGCCTGATTGTATGTCCCTAAGACGTAGATTTGTGTCGTCATGAAATGTTTGCTAATTATGCTTGCTGTGTAGGGTCTCTGCCTCGTTTGGTATTTTACATCCGCCCTCACCAACACGTCCTCGAAATCCATTCTGAACGCTCTTCCGATGCCTATCACATTGACCATCATACAATTCGCCTTCGTTTCAATATGGTGTTTGTTGCTAGTGTATCTGTCCACAGTAATCCCATGGCTGCGCAAAAGCGTGCCCATCCTGAATCATGGCATTCGATACCCGTCTCGCGACGTGATTTCTACTGCGTTGCCTCTGGCTGTCTTCCAATTAGCTGGGCATATCTTGAGTTCCATGGCCACCTCCAAGATTCCCGTGTCACTGGTTCACACGATCAAGGGCCTCTCGCCTTTATTCACCGTTCTCGCCTATCGAATTTTGTTTCGCATTCAATACGCCAGGGCAACGTATCTGTCGTTGATTCCCCTAACCCTCGGAGTTATGCTCGCGTGTTCCACCGGGGCGTCCACAAATCTGTTCGGGATTATCTGCGCTTTCTTCGCTGCGATCATCTTTGTGTCCCAGAACATATTCTCCAAAAAGCTCTTCAATGAGGTAGAGCGTTCTGAGACTGACGCACAACGTCCAACCCGACGAAAGTTGGATAAGCTCAACTTGCTTTGTTACTGCTCTGGGCTTGCTTTCTTCCTTACACTGCCGATCTGGTTTGTCAGTGAAGGGTATCCCTTGGTCGCTGACTTGATCAAAGACGGCGTCATTTCCCTGTCAGAAAGGCAGGATTCTCTGGATCATGGTGCCTTGATGATTGAGTTCGTCTTCAACGGCGTTTCGCACTTTGCGCAGAATATCCTGGCTTTTGTGTTGCTGTCCATGGTTTCCCCTGTGTCATACTCGGTCGCCTCTTTGGTTAAGCGTGTGTTTGTGATTGTGGTCGCGATTGTCTGGTTTGGAAGCTCAACCACCCCTATTCAGGCTTTCGGCATCGGGCTTACCTTCTTGGGGCTTTATCTTTATGATCGCAACAGCCACGATGACGTGGCTGATAAACGAGCAAACGCGGACCACTTCCGCGCCCGACAGTCTATCTTGCCCACGAATGTGAGGCATTCCAGCAGGCCTTGGGATTCAAATGGTTACGCTTTCCCCGGTGGAAGATCGTTTGAAGGGTCTACATCCAACAATTCCCACATGTCAAATGGTCCTAAGAAAGATGACGAACCCGGACGTGTGCGACCCCGAGGCGCCAGTGTCTCTCGAAATTGGTTGCCCGGAACCAAACAAGAATCAACGTGGCAACCCAAAGATTCCCCGGCGGCTGCATAAGATCGTTCAACGCAGCCTTTCGCAGGACGGATGAACGTGTCTGTACTATATCATGGAACATGGCGTTTTGGGGTTCATTGTCTTCTTCCTGTTTCCTTTTTTACTTTTCTCAATATTTAACCACTCCTTAAGTGGGAGGCATTTTCCAGCTGACTGGTCGGTATTTCTGAGCGCAGGCATAGACTGAGAGGGAGGAGCTAGGATTGAGTATGTAGAATGTACATGATTCGAAAATTTGATTCGAAGAAGACGTTTAGACGTGCGAGGAATGTAGCTACCGTCAGTAAAGAACATTGTCATAATCGGGCGAGACCCTTGACTGCTCCAGCTCGGTGCAAGTCTGCTCTCGGACAACGTTGCAGAGGAAGCAGGGAGTGAAAGCCCTGCTTCCTACAATAAATCATGCCCTTGAATGAGATAGAGAATGCAAAAGGGGGACGGGGCGCGGTGTGGTTTTGACCGGCGGACCGGAATATTAGTTCTTCCGCATAGCCGAGTTTGTCCGCCAATCCGCGCGAGGCAATTTGCGAGTTCACCTTAGTCAGCGCGGCCAATGGTCAGCAATGCCAAGGATTTCATTATGTAACCCAGCAGATTCCAACTCTGAACAGCTCCTTCTCCTCTGACCTACCCCCTCTTCCAACCCCATCTCCCCATATCCCCCTCCCTCCCTTCATCTACAGTCGCGACAATTATGCGGCCGCAGCTGTTTCGTGCGGCCGCCCGGTCTCTCCGGGTCCCCAGGGCCCGAGCCTTCGCTACAACGGCTCCTCGCGCGGCCGAGGTCGAACTCACCATTGGTACGTCTCAATCCTTCATGCAAGCCGACATATGCTGACTTTATGCTTCAGATGGCAAGAAGATCTCTGTGGAAGGTAAGACAAGCGCTTGACTTCTGCGATTGGTCCATTACTAATATCCGTTGAAGCCGGTTCGGCTCTCATCCAGGCTTGCGAGAAAGCCGGAGCAACTATTCCTAGGTATGATATCTGTTGCAAACTCAGGCCATAGACCCACTAGTACTGACACTGTTGACAGATACTGCTATCACGAGTACGTGACCATCAAAACCGACTCTTCCGGTCATAATTCTTGCTAACACTCAGCCATAAAGAAAACTGTTGATTGCAGGAAACTGTTAGTGCCAGCCGCCCTCTCGACCCTATTCCCCTTCCCTTAGCTCATGCTAATACATCTCTCTAGGTCGTATGTGTCTCGTCGAAGTCGAACGAGCCCCGAAACCTGTGGCCTCGTGCGCCTGGCCCGTCCAGCCCGGAATGGTTGTGAAGACGAATTCGCCGCTGGTTCACAAGGCGCGAGAGGGTGTGACGGAGTTCCTTCTTGCCAACCACCCTCTTGATTGCCCTGTCTGCGACCAGGGAGGAGAGTGTGATCTCCAGGACCAGTCGATGCGTTACGGTGCCGATCGTGGACGGTTCCACGAAACCGGTGGCAAACGTGCTGTGGAGGATAAGAACATTGGCCCCCTGGTCAAGACCTCCATGAACCGCTGTATCCACTGCACTCGCTGCGTTCGATTCATGAACGACGTCGCGGGTGCACCTGAGCTGGGAACCGCTGGCCGAGGAAACGACATGCAGATCGGGACTTACCTGGAGCAGAACCTGAACTCTGAAATGTCGGGTAACATCATTGATCTGTGCCCTGTCGGTGCCCTGACATCCAAGCCCTATGCTTTCCGTGCTCGCCCTTGGGAACTGAAGCACACGGAGTCGATCGATGTCCTCGACGCACTGGGCTCCAACATTCGGATTGATAGCCGGGGTATGGAAGTCATGCGGATCATTCCGCGACTGAACGACGACATTAACGAGGAATGGATTAATGATAAGTCACGGTTCGCTTGCGATGGCTTGAAGACTCAACGTCTTACCACCCCCTGATTCGTCGCGATGGAAAGTTCGTTCCCGCGACTTGGGAGCAGGCCCTTGTTGAGATCTCGGCCGCCCAGCAGAAGCTGCAGTTGCAACCCAATGAGTTCAAGGCTATAGCTGGACACCTGGTGGATGCCGAATCGCTGGTCGCCATGAAGGATATGGCCAACAAGCTGGGATCGGACAACCTTGCTCTTGACCAACCCGGCGGAGGCGCGCCTATTGCTCACGGCATCGATGTTCGCTCCAACTACCTGTTCAACTCAAAGATATATGGCATTGAGGATGCGGATGCTATCTTACTTGTTGCCACTAACCCTCGTCACGAAGCTGCTGTTCTCAACGCCCGCATCCGCAAGCAGTATTTACGGTCTGACTTGGAAATCGGCCTTGTCGGTGAGGATTTCGAGAGCACCTTCGACTATGAGCACTTGGGTGCCGATGTGTCTGCCCTCAAGACTGCCTTGTCTGGAGAGTTCGGCAAGAAGCTCGGCGCTGCTCAGCGCCCTATGATCGTTGTAGGTAGCGCAGCCGCCGAGCACCCCGACGCAAAGGCCATTTTCGAGGCAGTTGGCAGCTTTGTAGAGAAGCACACCGGCATCTTTAACGCTCCCGAGTGGCAAGGCTACAACGTTCTGCAGCGTGCTGCTTCCCGTGCCGGCGCCTACGAAGTAGGATTCACTGCACCATCCCCGGAGGTTGCCCAGACCACTCCCAAGATGATCTGGCTCTTGGGTGCGGATGAGATCGCGCAGAGCGATATTCCCAAGGATGCCTTTGTCGTCTATCAGGGTCATCACGGTGACCGAGGCGCTCAGCTCGCCGATATCGTTCTCCCTGGTGCCGCCTACACTGAGAAGTCTGCCACTTACATCAACACTGAGGGCCGCGTTCAGGTCACTCGTGCGGCCACATCGCTACCCGGCGCTGCTCGTGATGATTGGAAGATCATTCGCGCTACTAGCGAGTTCCTTGGAGTCCCTCTCCCCTACGATGATATTGAGGCCCTCCGTGACCGTATGGAGGATATCAGCCCTGTGATGCGCCGCTACGATGTTGTTGAGTCCACTTCCGTCGGCATATTGAGCAAGGTACAGCTGGCCGATCAGAATAAGGGCGCTCCTGCCACTGGAGCTCCTTTCAAGAAGGTCATCGAGGACTTCTTCTTCACCGATGCTATCTCTAGAAGGTGCGTATCCTAATGCTGTGCTTTTCTTATCCGTTTATGAACTTAAAGAGTACTGACTTTTATTTTTAGCTCACCCACCATGGCCCGTTGCTCAGCCTCCAAGGCAACCGGCAACCCCGAGACCAACTTCATGGCCGCCGGAGAAATGTCTCCGCAGGCGCTGTACGGCTAAACCATGAGTTTTCTCATGGGCCGTTGACCGATTCTATGTTTTGTCTAATGGTTGCAAGGCGTTGTCATTTGTATCACATTAAACTTCCCTTTGATGTACCGTTTCCTTTCCGTTTTCCATTTTCTCCATCATCTTGAACGCCGTTTCCTCCGGTTTCTGTGGTTGACCTCCTTCGTCCACTCTCCGGTGTCGCCTGGGAATATTTGGTCGGGGTTGACTTGTACATAAAAATATTGAGAACCCTCAAAATTTCAATTCCATATCGGAGAATATCTTCGCCCATGCATAATACTATATTATTATCACAGTTAGCGATAGCTGCTGACAGCTATAGAGCTTCCCTGCCGGTCATGGATTATTTCTGAGCAAACCGCGAAACTTACCTCAGCAGTCCGTGAATTGCTTGGTTCAAGTTTCTCATAGCTCGTCGTCGTCGGATTCTCCAGCAGTCTCCTCCGCATCTTCCCTTGATTGTTCCCGTCTGACAAAGGGAAGCTCTCTCTTGGGAGGAGCTGTCCTTGCACTGTTTTGCTGTGTCGATGCTTCGACCTGTACCACCGGTTTCATCACCGGCGGCTGCGGAGACGATTGTATTTCATGATCGGTGTTTTCATCTGTAGCCTGATCGGTGTCCTGGTCCAGCTGAGAGCCGTCATCAACTCTGGTTTCATCGATGTCCATTAGTTCAAAGCCCTCGTCTGACTCTCCGTCCGTCTGTTCCATGTCATGCGCGGGGCGTTTTCCCGCACGGTGAGTTTCAGTGGCGTGGCGGGGATCCCCTGCTGCGGCTTGAATTTCGGAAACTGAAACAAGTACGATTAATTCAGTGGTAGAAAGGCCGATATCGGAGAATACAATCCTACCTTTAGTTGTATCTACAGTAGCAGATGCAAGCAGACGCTGCTGGTTGCGAACTTTCAACTTTTTCTCATTCAGCAGCTGAGCAAAGTTTGCCACCAGTTGGGTTTCATGATGATCCTTGGCTCGTAAGAGTTCCTCGAGTTGTTTGTTCAGATTTTGAATGGTATCCTCGGCGACCCGATAGCGGCCAGACAACTTGGTAACTTGTTGCTCCAGCTCGTCTGCTCTGGATGCAGCCACCCCTGACCATGCAAAGAGTTCAATGGCTTGTTCATCGTCCTGTTTGAGAACGAGAGTACCAAGTCGTTGCTAGACTGATGTTAGAACGTGACAGGGTTATTGATATAAATGTCTTGATCATGTACCGTGATGGATTGGACTCTGTTTCGAATGGTGATGATCATTTCCCCCTCATCGCCAAAGCCAGAAATGCTAGCGGAGGTTTCAATCCCGACTGAGGCCAGCTCGTGGGCGTCGGCGGGTTGCCCTAGGACGTGGGAAATGATACGAGTCCACTCTTCTTCTGACCCTTGGTAGTTCTTCACACGAAGATCTCTGATGCGAGAATGTCTAACTATATCTTGTCAATAGCTAATTTGGTCTCCAAATTTAACGGAGGCTTACCCGAGGCTGCGTAGGGGCACTCTCCCTCCGTGGCAGTGAGGGCCAGATCAAGCGTATCGGGCCCGTTGCTGACGACATGCACGAGGACAAAGGCATCTTGCAAGTCGGATCGGGCGATTCGCAAGACCCTTTGCAAGGTCATCTTGAAAATCAAGGGGCTCGGGAGTCGAGATGGAGCTTAGGGTGACGTTGATGGATGACAATGACGACGGGAGCCCTTGTGGAAAATATATCCAACGATTTGGGATGCAATGGAGCAGAGACTAGGCACTTGGAATCTAGAAGCTAGACACTAGACACTAGACACTAGACACTAGACACTAGACACTAGACACTAGGCTCCAGTTCGATTCAAGTGTTGCCTTTTTCCAGTCTAATCTGTTCCACGCCAAGTCCAAGCATTCGGGAGACCAGAACGTCAGAACGTCCCCACTCAAAGCACGTTCCCTCCACGAGGAATCTCGTCCAGCCTCCGCCTCAGCCTCCGCCTCAAACCTCCTTCCTGTCGTGGAGTGATACCCTTCGCTATACCCATTTGCCCTCGTTTCCCTCATTTTCTATGTCCTCCCCATCCCCGAGAGGATCTATCGGACACTGACAGACGCTTTACACAATTACCCCTTACCCGGCTACTCGACTACGACTCGTTGACACGGAATGACGTTCATCCTCCTCCCTCGTCCAGTGTCAATGTTGCAAAGTGCCGCTGCTACCTGATCATCGTCTACGCGTTCAGAACGATTGCCGAAATCGCCCGCGTCCTTACCCTTGTGATACGCTCACCATGGACTCGCCCATGACCCTAACTAGACCGAATATGGACGAGACGATCGAATGCTGGGATGACGACGATGACTTGCAACTCAATGATGCTATTCATTTCCGTACTGCATCTAGTGCTGGATCTATCGCCAACTCTTCGGTTCGGCCGTCCGGACATCGTGATTCCATATCATCTCGGCGGTCTGCCCGCTCAGATCTCGAGTCCAACGCTGGAGATGAGGATTGGCAGGTTCTTTTGCCCGACAATGATGAGTTTTCCAAAGAAGAAGCTCTTGCCTCGGCCAAGAACGCGGGGATTCCTCTTCCTGCGGACATCCCAAGTTCTGCTCTTCTCGGAGGTGCTATCAAACGCTTGTCGGCTCGGAAGACAAAAAGGACATTCGTTGATGACTGGTCGGATGAGGTGGAACTCCCAGGGCCGGACGCAGTATTGGAGCTCAAAATACCCCAGGACTCGCTCTTTCCAGATACCCTACAGCAGGTCAGCTCTGCTGCCACAAGCCCCGTGAAGTCTACGGCCTCGCCATCCTGGAATGAAAATATCTCGACGCGCTTGCAGTCTGCATTAGCAACTCTAGATCATTTCCAGGATGAGAACGATACGCCCGTCAACCATAATATCCCCACTATCAAAGCTCCGATGCCTCGATCTCCGCGAAAACTGGTCGTTACTGCCACTGATGCAGGTCCTGCCGGGAAACAGGAAGATGAAGACTTTGACCAAGACCTCGAACTACCTCCTGACCATAAACCTCTTCAACTAACCCGCCGAAAGGATTCTACTGGTGTTTCCAGCCCTACCCTAGAAGACTTTGACTTCGAATGGTCTGAAGGTAGCATAGGTGTTCGAGTTGGTGGTACCGCACGAGATGGACGTTCAGTTCCAAGCTCCACCATGTCAATTGCAAGCCCCAGTGTCTCCAGCTGTATCACCGGAGGAAGCGAGGACGATGGACTGGACGGTCTCGTGTTTCCCGACGGACCTGTGGATTTCAATGCTTCTCTCAAGAAACGGCACGACAGCCAGGCTACAGATGTTCCATTTGCGGCTGGGGAGAGCCAAGACGCATCACATTCCTGGGATGCAGACGACTTCTTCTCTGGAATTGAGGTCGACAATGGCGGAGCATTCGCCTCCGGGAAGTTGTCATTGAATCCCAACGTCAAATGCAAGACAGAATGGCCGGCAAGTCCCACACGCCGGTCAGCAACAACCTTAACCTTCACCAACGGATCAGTCGCAAACACATCAGATTCTCCGCGAACCCGTATTCCACGTTTATCCGGTCATGACCGTGCTCATTCCACCCATCTCGAAACTGTATCCGAAAGTGGTGCACCGCTTTCCAAATTCCGAAGATCGCAATCTCGACTCGGACATTCAGCTCAATCGTCCATTTCTAGTGTACCGGCGACTGATACACCGTCGATATCCCCAACGCCAGTGACTTCCGGCCGGCGGATCATCGGTCAACGGTCTCCCAGAGACCCTGTGGCAGCTGGAGAGTTCAAGGCACCCGGCAGACATCTACGAACAAAACTGTCTATGCCTGTCGTACGTGGAGTGGGCGGCACCACATTGGCACAGCCTGCCCAACGATCATCTTCTCACCCGGATGGGCCCGTTCGCCCAGCCTCCTTTAGCAGACCTAAGACTCCCGTTGAGCGCATCTCCAACGAGGGAAGGCCTTTGGTGACTAGTCGTCGAGCACAAGCCTCGTTTATTCAGCCAGGGTCATCAGAGCGACAATCCCATCACACCAGTGTGAGGAGCTACCGCCCTTCCCGCCGCACCAACTCAGACGGCTCCGGCGATCTTCTCAGTCCGCAGGGCACTTTGAATCGTCTGTCACGGCCGAGTCGCCCGGAGGCTCACCGTCTCAGCTTCGGTGACTCCGGCACAGAAATTAGCAGCTCAACAGCAAAGCGTACACTTACTCGACCAGCCAAACGACGGAATTTTGGCGATGGTACTGAGTTGGAATCCTTTGACGATCTGCCTACGTCCGCCTCTACCGAAAGCAGGTTTATCAAGAACCCTGCTGGTAAAGGCGCTCCAAGATCTGTGCGTACCAGGCTCAGTCAGAGCCGTTTTACTCCGCCTATTGACTCTCCAACCCAATCCTGCACACCACCCTCAACATCCAGGTCAAACCCAACGCCAAGGTTTGCTCGCGACACCAATGCATCCCGCAATGCGAGGGAGCAACGCATTGCCTCCATGAATTCCAAGAGCCGCGACTCGAACCCGCTTGCTTCTTTCAACTCCAATTGGAAGACCCATCCTATTTCCCGTATATCCCCGAGCTCAGCCCCTGTCCGGAGCCGGAAACCCAGGCCCCCGACAAAATCAACATCCAAGCCTCACTTAATCAAGCCGATAGGATCAGGGGTACAGGAGTCCAAATCTGTGAGGGGCATGCGGTATAATCCGACAACTTTCCTCTGGGAGGGAAACGAGAATTTGATGCAAGATTTTGACATTTCTACGGGTCCCAAATCACCTAAGCCCGCCCCGGCCCTAATCACCAATGTCGGTACCGTGCAAAATGTTCAGGCAGTCGGCGGGATGATATTTGATCCGCACCGCATGTGTTGGCTTAGAGCAGCATCCCATGAGGCTGGGAACCAAGACGGAGTCGTGCCCGAGGACGAAGATGACGTTTTTGCCGGCTTGGATGACTTAGAAGACAAGACTGTCGGGACTACTGGGCGAACTTCCGGAGCCCTGGAAGACTTCAAGGCTCATACCGTCGGCGAAGATCCGAGTGCCGGCGAGTCTTCCGACGAAGGTCCCATTACGGAAGAATTCGATGTTGGCCCGGAGTTCATTCGACGACAACGGGCCGAGGAAGAGAAGTGGAGGCGGAAGGTGGACAGGTGGATTGGGTCTGATCACGGAGACCGCGGTACCCGTTGGCGATGGGCCATCCGTGACCTGGTGGCCGATGACACCGGATATCCCGCGGCCTAGGGCTCCTCGTGTCTCTTACGAACCGAACCTGCAAGACGAGTTCCTCGGAACTTCGCTTTGCCATAAGCTATGACATACATCTTGACATCCGTGCAGTTGCCCCTGGCAGTGGAGTGAGGCTTGCGAGGGAGCATGGATACACGAACTTTATGATGTGAAGACCCCCTCCCCTTTTTTTTTCTTCTTTTCTTCACTTCCCGGTTTCCCTTGGTTGGCCGTGATGAGACCGGCCCCTACGAATCTTTGGACGGTTCGAGGAAGCCTTTGGTTGTTTTTTTTGTATCTATATATTTATCCGGGTTCTAGTACATAAGTTCAACCTAATATGATTGGGGGTACGCGAAGTACCCTTTCCTCTCCTCTCAACCTCCATGACTTCCCAATTTGCCAATATTTCTCACCGGGCTTTGGCTTTGTACACCGTTGACATCCGACCAACAGGGAAGACCCATGCAGCACCGCTTCTCGGGGCAATCCTCAAGCACTCTTCCCCCACCCTCTCCCCAGACGGATCCGAAACACCTCGGATTCGGGGGCTCCAGGGGTGGCTAGATACAAAAAGAGAACAAGAAAGGAAAGGTCCTCTCCGGAAACACGGCTTACACGTCAGGATCGGGAAGCAGCAGAGTGACACCGGGTGATAGATTGTATGACGTTCCGAAGTCTTCGAGCGCCCCCCTTTTTGACGACTGGTCCGGACTGACAGCGATGCGAGGGTCCGATGCCAAGCCCATAGAACACGGTGTCTCACCTGTCGCGGATGAGCCAAACGCATGCAATCCTGCCATCCCGCATGCTGCATTGATTGTCCATCAACGAAGACCAATCCAACTCGGCCTCTAGAACGCCACGTCAAGGTCACGCCTCGCCAGAGCTCCCTGACAGCACCTCGATCAAGGCGAAGAGGAGGCTGTGAGACATTGTGCGAGGCGCTTACTTGTTCTTTGGCCCATCTCACTGGCGATTCGCAACTTTGCAGTACGAGGTTTGCCCCCGAGCTGTGGATCTCCCCAAATCCATGTTCCTTACGGCCACGGCTACGTGCATGTTTGGACTTTTGCCAGAGCAATGTCCAGCCCGACTATTGTTTGACGGAGGCAAACCTGCAGAAAAAAGCCCTGGGCGATCGCCTTCTAGGTCTTTTGGGGGGAAGGGGGGAAAGCCCGGCGCCTAGAATTGTCCCGCGCAAGTTGCAGGTCGGGGACGCCAGCCTCTTCCCCCCGGTGCCTATACCGGCGTCATTTGAGCGGCCGATCCCCTACTCTCTCATAGGTGGCCTCGAATGACCCAACGTGGTTCTCCATGAGGCAAAGTGGTGGCGCCGAGCATCGAGGCAGGAATCCGTATCACCGTTGCTTGTGTGCGCTGTCGTATCAGCCTGCTTTCACCCTTCAATCGTCTCGGCGGGTCGGAAAAGATTCGACCACGAACCCTAGTCCTTTCGTTTAGCCTTTGTTTTCTTCTTTTGGGGGTGGGGAAGAAGGGAGGGGGACCCATGCCACTCTCTTCCCTGCAAGCTTGGGTAATACCCTTCACGCTGTACCTTACAGAGCTTTGCTCGACTCGCCTGGCTCCGTGATTTCTTTTTCTCTGTGAAATATTTGCTGTTGGCCTTCCAGGGATGTCCTCTGTTGCTTCTGCCCACTCTGTTTCGACATGGTCTCGTGCACTCCCTTGGGCATCGGCTATGTCCTGCAAGATCACCGGGGGGCTTGCGGGCCCTTTTTAATACAATTGTTACCCCGTTCATGATGTTCATGACTTTCACGGTCTCCCAGAATATTTCTCGTTGTCTTTTATGAAGCACGTGTGCTTTTTATAACTCCTAGTTTTCTATACCAACCAGCTTGTCGTCAACACCTTCAGCCATTGTATCCCAATTCTCCATCCGAATTCCTTCGTTCATCCGAGAAGGTCAAAAAAGGGGTGCTTGATATCGAGAAGGGTATGTGTCGAGTTCCCATTGATCGGAAAAATAGAAAACAATGGGCAGCTTCGCAAGACGCAATGAAGGGACCGACGGCTATCTCATGAATCAGCAGATGGCAGTGCCCGGTGCTTATAGCCATCAAGATGGCCATGAATACGGTCCCACTGGATCTGGACCATACCACTTCCCCCAGCACTCTTTCAACCCCTATGGTTCTCAATTCGGTCCATCTTATGGACAGCAGTCAAACCTGTCTCCAGGCATGCAACATCTGCAGTATGCATCGGAGCATATGATTCCATCAATGTCCACATCGGATGATATGAGACTCCACCATCCTCCGCAGTATATGGCCCAGTCTCGTTATCTGCAGTCGCCTAGATATCTTCCTCTTCGGGATGCGCTCAGTGAGACGGATATTGAGAGCCAGGAGTCTCGGAATGAGAGCACCATGCTGTCAGAGCCCGTGGTACCTCCTCTAGATGGATTCCCGGACGTAAGAGAGTTTGATCGATTGATGCAGAGGTGAGTCGGCGTTAATTTGCTTGGGGCCTCAGGGGATTTTACAATCTCATATCTGGGGAAACAGAATGCTGACTCAAACCCCTTTCTGATCAGCTACGTCGATGATCTATCGGTGAAGAAGCAAGACAAGGCGTTGATCCATGCTAGAAGAGCGCGGAATATCCGAACCGTCCTGATCGATCCAAAAGATACAGCAGTCGAGTCAGCCCAATTTCGGTAAGGCTCATTCTCCCGGAATGCTTCAGATAAAATTTGACGCTCATACAAACACAGGTTTTGGGTCAAGAAGATGTTCAAGCTTCAAACTGTTGGCATGGGAACTGCAGATGTAAGATACTTCGATCCGACAACCGCGTCATGTTCAATTCTAACGAAGCTTATTAGTGCCGAAAAATGATCTGCCATGAGGGAAAACCAGTCGCGATTCGCGAAAAATTGTTCAAAATTCTCACTAAAGCGCATCAGCAATGTCAGCACGGCGGCCGCGACAAGACCTCTGCTCAGGTCCGGCGCATCTATTCATGGTAGGGCCCGCCATGCTACCAATACTACCACTCCCCTTGCAATTGACTGACCATTTGTTCAGGGTTCCAAAGGAACTGATTTCTCGTTTTGTCAAAATCTGCCCGACATGTCAAGTTCGTCGCGGAGGATCACGCCTTACACCACCCAACTCCCGGCTAGGATCACCTCGTCTGGAGATGGTACCTCAGTCTCCAAAGCTCCCATCCCCGCCGATTATCAAAAGAGACTCGTCATATGGTGGCCAAGTGGCCCTAGATCGGGCACAACCCGACTGTTTTGGCCAATTGCATAGCCATAGCTGGATGGACGGGCATCAGAATTTACAGAGCCGCCCGGGCTTGAACCCTGGCGTCAGGTCCTTCCATGGCTCGATGGGTAACATCCCACACTCCATCACAGGTACCCTAGACCCTTTCTCTGCGGACTTGACGGTGCCCCCCTCTCAGTTAAGCTATACAGCAGGATATGTTCCCACGCATGGCACTCCGAGCCAGCGGGATTTTTGACCGCTTGCACCAAATTGGTCGAATAGAGGACTCTTCTCTGAGGCATTGATTTTCCCCGTTATGTTTGAGACATACAATATGGTCTCGTGGTCGGTCTTAAGAAAAAGTGATGTTTTGATGAAGCATTTGCATTACTCGATATGCTACAAATAACAGATACTAAGTAGAAAATTCGAATGCAGTAATGAGAGTTGACGCATCTTTTTCGGTATAGTAGCTGGCTTCAAGTCGGAAAAGAAATTGAGTATACCTCTGTTAAGCCAACTCAATCGTAGTGCCCGTCTGCAGTGGCTTTGATTAAGACCCCAGGACGAACGTACTACAAGAGGCTATCTCCGCAGTCCACAACTTAGGCTCGGTCCCTCTTCCTTCTTGGTATCCAACGGACGCGAAAGCATCAACTCGTAGATTCAGAGTTCCATGAGCGGACTCTAGCGGTAGGGCGTAAAGCTAGGACATCATCATACCGAGTTCATTATTGGAAAGCTGCTTGCATACGTGCAAATCTAGTGGATAACCCACAGAAAAGGGCGAACAACAGATATACCCTTGCGATAGGTTAAACAAGGCCTCGCCCCCTCCATTTCAGGTTCATGTCACTTGTCTGCATTACACAGGGAGCGAAAACTTCTTTCCTTTCAGAACCCTGGCCGGTGTTAGTGGCCATAATTGTTGCTCCCGAAGAATGCACTTACTTGTTGTAGTAAATGTAGAAGAAGTCCGAGTAAAGCAACGTTTGAACGATGCCTGCAATTATGGGGACCGGCTGGAAGGATCGCTGGAAGGAAGCCTCGGTGAAATAACGGAATATCCAATTCGGGATATAAAGAGCCCTGTATACACCAAGAGCAAATAGATAGTGGGTTGTGATCGTGTCAGCCTCGCCTGTTCGCTGCAGCATGAAAAGCTGAGGCAGGATGGCGACGGACTCCAGCCAAATAGAGAATGTCCAAAGAATCTAGACGCTTTTAGTGCGGGCTTCTTGTATCTCCTTGAGCAATAATATGATCACAAACCTCGGAGAGACGATAGTCGTGAGGGAAGAGAAGGGCCAGGATAGCGCTAATTCCAAGAAGGTACTGGACCTTGAACGTATCGAGATTTGGGTCATGGGTGGGCTTGTAGTCGTTCAGCATGAGATAAATGATGTAGCCTGAGGATCCAATGAAGAGGAGCTTGAAGGTAGTGAGGTAAAGCGACTCGGTGAAGGTCCAGAACAAATCTGTCAGCAGGATGATTCCCCGTGTTAGTGCGATTTGGCCAGCAGTTGAAGGAAGGTGTATTCTAGACTCACCGAGGTAGCGAGTGACGAAGACGAGGAGATAGAGCACTTGTGATTTGAAGGACAATCCGGAACAACTCTGCGATTCCAATTAGGTGGCGAACAACGCACAAGGAAGGAGGATGCAGCATACGCTTGACGTCTTCATCTTCTGTAGAAGAATGAAGATCGACGCGAGGTGGGAGAAGTCGGCTATCCTGGTCAGTCCTGCAAAGCAACGCAGTTCAAAGCATTGCTTACCTAGAAGCCTGAAGATGTTCATGATGTAAACTGGATGGGATGAGGTGGGATGGGGGAGGTGGGAGGTGTGAGGTTGAGGAGTTGTTGACACGAAACCAAATCGAAGGGGTGAGTTGCGTCGCAGATCAGGAACGCGCGCCACTCGGTGGAGCCGGGGCTTTCATAGTGCATACTTCGTACTTGATGCTTGATGCTTCGTGCTTCATCTTTCATGTTTCGTCTTCCATTCTTCCTTTATCATAATAGTACATCGTGATTAAACGAGCCTTACGCCTTTTGTCCCAATTGATTTTTCCCCACAACCACGCCGTGTAAACTTAGTAAGACAAAAAATCCCCCCCAGGGAAACTTGAAGATAATCAGAACAAAATTCCACCTCCGAGGCTTTCATCCGCCATTCGTTGCAGGTGTCCTTCGGCCAGTTCGCTTTTAAGAGCGCAAATAGAGCTTTCGCGATCCAATCGGTCCCAGTCACGAAGATCCGTCCGCTTCGATCGCTGTGTTTCGGCCATCTGCTCGAGCAGTTTATCTTTATCCAGCTCAAGTTGTGCCAGCCGTTTTTCGGACGCCGCATCCAATGGAGATGGTAAAGTCCTGCCCCCAGGGATGACCGCTCCTAGACCTGCAAGGTGGTTCGGACCCCGGGGTGTTGGCGACGACGCAGCGGGTGTAGAGCTGTTCTGGCGAGATCCAGAATGACGATAGCTTCCTGTAGGCATTGGAGGGGTGAAGGAAGCCCGGGGTCCAGAGGGCGTACTATGTGATGCATTTGGGGGAGGTCCGCGACCACGTCCTATCGGCGAACCTGTCCAAAGTGCATCGCGAGCGCCGTGTCCACGACGCGGGCGTGTTGGTGCCGACAGCAGAGACATATTGTGGGATCCGCGGTGCTGTGAAGGCGCAACCTTCGGTCCTTGGTATGGTCCAGAAGGCAGAGCATTGCTTATACCCAAGCTTCTCGGTTGAGTTGGAATGCTGCCACCGATTCGAGCACCGCCCATTTGCGGTTGCTCCAATGATTCTTTTTCAGCTGAGCGACTCAGCTCTTCCTGCTCGTTTCCAGCAGCAGCAGACTCAATATCCGGTTTCTGATTTCGGTATGGAGAACGGACCGGTTGTCCCGAAGGACGGAAGGACAGTGGTGGACGAGTGGGTGAGCGACTGCGGCTTCGAAGAGGAGGTAACCCTTTACGCTCGGGATGAAAAGCCGGAGACGAGCGCCTAGACGGGACACCCGATTCAACTGCAATGACATGGGCCGGTGAGACTTGCCCTGAACCTAATGAAGTCTGATCTCTGCTCATGTTGCCAGGAGGCTCTCGACGTGGGATATGTGAGGGGCTTTGTGAGCGAATAATATTCGCAGCTTGGATTCTGGGTGAAAGAGCGCGTCCGAGTCTTTCGATACTTGGGCCAGTGGGAGTGTGTCGCTTCATTGCTCGAACGTCTTGACTCCCCGGGGTTGCGTCGAAGGTTCGTCTTGGGCTGCTACGGCCTCGAGAGACATCGCGTGATCGACCTTCACTGTAGGGAGACCGAGACCGCCACGATGGGGGAGGAGACCGGATCCTGTCTTCTCTTCGGGGTGAGGGTCTACGAGGGGGGGTCCGCCGCCTGCCATAAGGACCGGGGCCGGAACCATACCCTCGATTCTGAAAAGGAGGAGTTCGAGAACGGCGCCGATAATCAGGTGGCGAGCGGCTTCGTGGACGAACGTACCCTCCTCGGTCGGAGGGTACCCAGGTATCCGCACGTAGAGGGCGATTTCGTGGTGGTGAACGTCGACGACTATCGAAGCCGCCGCGAGAAGGTGATCGACCAGGTCGGTCGGCTGGCCGATAACTTTCTCCTCCTCGACGATCTTCAAATCTGCAGAGCTTATAAGTAACCGTAATGCTAAATTTGATGTCATGAACTCAAACCTTCTGCGATCCCAATCCATGCCAACTGGGTATGAAGCCGGGCAAGGCTGTGGAACAACATGAAGCGCGCCCAACCTCAAGGAAGGGCTTGCGCGGGATGACTAACACTGCATGATCTATGGCTATTACTACAAACATGGTACAAAGTACACGTACTTTTGTCAAGATTGACGATCGACGATCAAAAACTCATCTTCCATGTATTAGTTCGTCAGAGAGCATAGATTACAGAATTTTGGTGATACAAAATAAGAAATGAAATGTGAATGACGCCATGATAAAGGCCTCCCTAGCTTCAGCGTCAGGGTCAGCGCTTGCCGCGCCGCTCTTCTTCCTTCCGCAGCCTCTTCCGGCTTTCCTGCGCAATCATGTCACTGAGGTCTTCCTGAAATCCCCATTGCGGTTGGGTTTGTTGCTGTCGCTGCGCCTCGTACATGTTTTGAAGGCTGTCCTTGCTGAGACCATCCCCTGTTTGAATCGCATCCAAGTCGACCGATACATCCACGTCGCCGGGCTTCTTGCGCTTTCGGGTTTGGTCGTCTACGCCGAGGACGGGAGGATTGTTGCCTGAAGAGGAGCCCAAATCATATGCTCGGTCTCCACCGAAGAATCCTTGGACGCTCGTCTGTCTCTCCGGGATGACCTGGTAAGCACTCCGAGGGTGAACAGATTCCTCCGTCTCTGTACCGCGATGATGTTTTCGGACATCAAACTCCCCAGAGATGTTCTCCGTCCCCGCCGGCTCAGATGGAACAGTGGAAGCCATGCCGCTGGGTGTTTCCAGTCCACTGGGAGACTGCGTACCCGTTTCATCGTCCTCTTCATCCGCTTCCTCATCTTCCTCGTCCTCCTCCTCGCTCTCCGCTTCCGACTCTTCAGATGCCTGCAACTCTCCCCAAAGATCTTTCTCAACGGGTTCTCCTTGTTGAACATTCTGCTGTGGTTGCAAAACTCCAAAAATATCACCTCCATATAACGGTCGGTTGTGCTCATCGACAGGCGGTTTACCATACCCTCCTGGATGATAGCCCCACATGGCACCAGGAGGAGGAGGCGCATTGAGTCCAGGAATTTTCAGCGCCGGGTAAGACGGTGGGGGACCATAACGCTGTTGGTTAATGAGCCAAGGAGGGGGGGCTCCCGGTGGCATATTGAGAGCCTCCTTCAGTTCATCGCTCAAGTCACCCGGCCGGAGATGTTTCAGGTTGGTCTCGTATTCTTTTCCCTCATAGTAAATCTCGCCGTATCGAGTCAGCTCAGGTTTAGTTTGGAAGCGGAAGAAGGCCTCGTAGAGTTTCTGGTAGTCGATGTCAAGGCGTCCCATCTTCGGCTGGACCCTCTCCCGTTGCTTTTGTTTCAGACTGGACTGTTCTTGCTTGTCCAATGCAGCATCACGCATCTCTGCAATGCCCGTTTCCTGAATGAATTTGGGGAGGGCGAAGGGTGCTTTTTCAACACCTCGTTTAGACGAGAGGTATTCCCGCTTGAGTGACCAGTGCGATGGAACAGGAACAACATTACGATGGGCCTTGATGTGGATCAAGAGTCGAGGATCCGATGCTGACGTATCTGTCCATTCCACGATCTCGGGCTTGCGAACCATGGCCTTTAATTCAGCAACCGACAGTTTATTCAGCTCCTTCCGCTTCTTTTTAGAGATCTTCGGTTCGCTCTCTTGCTCCTCGTCTGGGATTTCATCTTCGTCGTCGAAATATATCTCAGGCTTTTCGGCTTCTTGTGCGGGAGCATCTTCGCTAGTCTCATCAAATTTGCCGACGATGCCCTTGTACATCTCCCAAAGCGGATCTTCGAGCTCTGAGGAAGCGGCGACTGTGGCAGCAGCTGATACAGCCTTGGAAGCATGGCTAGGCTGAATGATTTCAGAGGGCGTTTCTTCGATCTTCTGAATTAAGTCATTTGTAACCTTGAAAGGAACAAGTCAGTTTCTTGCGGTGGTAGCAAAAAAAGGGAACTCACATCCGCCTTCTGAGCCTTCTTCTTTGCTCGCCTGAGCTGATTCTTGCTGGGTTTCATGATGATAATATGTCGATGCACGATCTCTCTCTTAAACGCGAGTCGCCTGGAGTTGGCAATGGCGTTGAAGGATGGATGAAGATTGGCCGAAGTCTGATGCTCGCGCCAACAAAATGCCAAGCCTTGGCGTCGTTCTGCCATCTGTCACCGACTTAAGCCTATTGATCTACTTTACTTTCTTCCTCAGCCATACAGTTTGATCTATGAACATCAGGAGCCAAGTTTGTAGGTAAACCCAACCGCAGTCATGCCCAGACTCTTGGTGTGGTTTAGTATCTACCTGATTACCAAACTAGTGAATCAACGATCGTAGCCATGTATCAACACTGGCGCTCTCGTCTGGTAGATTCTCGAAGGAAAATAGATATGTAAGATTAAGGGTTTCGGGAGTCTCGATTGAATTGACGAAATGTTTCATGGTTGTGTATGGTACAAGCTGGGGTTGAACGGCACATGAAAGCCGTAGATGCCAGGCGTGGAAAGTGTAGGGAATACCAGAAGTCAAAATGACAACCTTGTCCTACTAGTTGGAGGCCAGTCACAAACCCCCCACACGCGACCTGGCGCGAGAATAACGATTCGGGTATCTGGTATCTGTGAGGACTTCACGGGGCGCATGGGTCTATTTCTTCTTCTTTGCGGATCTCGATTCTAGAGAGTTGTTAGTGGACCTCATGAAACTGCGGGACTTGGGTGTATTTACCAGCCGCGGTCCGTTTCTTCTTGGGTCGACCCTTTCCGCGAAGCTTGGCACTATTTCAAATGGTCAGTATTGAGAGCATGGGAAAGACAAGAGGGACAAACATCTGAATGGCTTCCTCGCGATCATCCTCTGCCTCGTCAAAGGTCGTCAAGCCAAGAGGTTTGTATGTATTTTGGAGATCCCGGAAGGAGACGGTCTTTTGCGGATACCATGCTGCGAGCGCCGGGCCACGTAGCCGCTGCCTGAGAATCTTATTGCCGAGTCGAAGCCTCTGCGGGTTGAAGGTGAGGGAGAAAATGCGGCATTGTGCCTAGGACGGGGGAATGAAGCAAGGTTAGCGCGCGTCTCATCTTAATTGGGGTAAATTGCACCTTGATCAGATCCAAAATGCGGCCTTGAGACATCTTCGCGATTCAGAAGTGTCAAGCCGTGGCTGGGGATGAATCGTTGAGGGTCGGAGGCTTTTGCGTGAAGGTCATGTGACTCTGTACGGGACCCACTTGGGCTCCGCGATCTCCCAACTGCAACTTTTCGACTTCAACATACAACGATACGATGGGCTCCAAGAGGTCTGCCATACCTGGAGGATCGTCCGTTTCGTCTGTTAAGCGATCCAAGGTAGAATATTGCCTGCCGCCCCGGCATTGCCCTTGATTCGTATGATCCAACTAACACTTACTAAGACCCATCATGAAGCACGGCCGCCTCGTTGCGAACATGAGGCCGATAACAATGACCAACTCCAGTCATCAACTCCAACCTCTCGCTTGTGGCTCCTGAAACAAATTGTTCAGGGTGTCATAAATGAACCTGAGTTCACTGCGGTCGATGCGGAACTTTCGAAAGCAGTTTCCACGCTAGACGATGCTTTTCATCGTGTCGACGGGCTTGCCTTGTCTAGTGATAATACATCTGATACCTCCAAGTCGTCGAAAGCATGTCATACAACAAAGGATACCGGAGATAATGAACCTCGGGATTCTGTTTTACCGCGCATTCTAGATGACCAGTTGGAAACATCGGTTTTCACTCATCCGGCATGTGGAAACAATAACGATGCAACGTACGACCGGCTTGAGGTTCTGGGTGATGCATACATTGAATTAATCGCAACCAGACTGATCTGGGGAAAGTTTCCAGGTATTTCATCCGGCCGGATTTCCCAAATTCGCGAGCTTCTTGTCAAGAATGAGACGCTATCGGCATTCGCAGAGGTGTATGGATTTGATCGGAAGATTTCCGTGCCAGCCAATTATTCCGACCAGGCGAAAAGGTGGACCAAAATAAAAGGCGATGTCTTCGAGGCTTATGTAGCTGCAGTCATTCTGTCACATCCCATCGATGGCTACCATGTGGCAGAAAAATGGCTGACACAACTGTGGTTACCGAAGCTCGACGCTTTGGGCCACCAAAAAGCCGAACTTCGCTACAAGGAAATTCTAGCCAAGAAGGTCATGGGAAAAGGCACCAAATTGGAGTACAGAGAAGAAAAGCGAGCAATTGACCATAAGGGTAGCGGCACGCAGACATTCTTCATCGGGGTTTATCTGACGGGCTGGGGGAAATGGAAGAATGAGCATCTAGGCTCTGGGCAAGGCTCGAGTAAGGTAGCGGCAGGCGATGAGGCCGCGAGGGATGCCCTCTCGACAAACTCCTTTTTGATTTCGAATATTGCTGCGGCAAAGGAAGCTTCAATAGCAAAAAGCTGAAAGACTCTACTAGTCATCCAGTGAGGTGTGATAACTGGCTTATCACCTAGTATATATACTAATGCAGTCAATCTCTCGTACCGAGAGATCTGGCCATGACCTTTTTAGTCTATGGGTTAAGCGCGGGCACTGGCGTGCGAGATTCCAGACGTGATATAGTGTATCATACGTAGGAGGACGTCCAATGATTCAGGTTCAAGACATCATGAGGCGCAGCTGTCCATAACATATGCACCGACTGTCAACAGGCAACGATCATCTTTACGAAACGCTACGGAATGACTAGTAGGCATGAATGAATGAGTTAGCACAAGACCTGGCCCTCGCCCTCCAAGAGGAGGTGCGGGTGTAGGGTCCGACTTCTAGACCCTGAGGGTCGGACATGGAGGTAGACATTGACATGAGCCGCGCCGTCCATGGACAGTAATATATAGTAAGACTATAAATCTAATAGAGAGTAAATATCTATAAATAGGAGCTAGGGTAGATAATTTACTTCTATGAGAGTTAGATTACAGGAAAGGTATAAGCTTACATTTAAATATTAGATACTATCTGTCGGTCGCGGAGGCAGGCGGATACCACGAAGTCTTTCGTGGCGCGGGGTACGCTTTTGCTGATGCTTCCCCACCACGGACCGTTGGCTACCCCGACCAAGGAAGGCTTGATCGGATAAAGAAAGAAAAGAATAAGATAGAGTTCAAAGGGCTTATACACTCTAAATAAGCACAATCCACAATCCTCAGATAAAGGACTAAGAAGAAGGTCTTTCTAAGCAGATAGAAAGGATAGTAAAATATTTGAAGAGAGTGAAAAATCTGTCATTTCTACTTAGTGTCTCGCGCGTATTTATAGACAGAAAGTGGTCAAAGTCACATACTTTATATTAGATAAATAGGATAGAATCAGGGAAGGAAATATAATAGAACTAATGGCGTGATAAGGGATATATTATCGATCTAGTGGGGTAAAGAAGGGTAGGCGGTTTGGAGGGGTAAATCATGTTCGCATCTCTTTCTTTTCTTCTTCTTCTTCTTCTTCTTCTTATGTTGAATAAGAGGATACCTTCACCTTATGTAGCATTGGTCCAAATTCCAACAGATATAATCGCGAAAACCTAACTAATAATATAATACTTTTTAAAGAGTTCTATAAGTATTAGACCTCGGCAAGGGCCGGGATCGGACTATACAGTCTTTAGTCTTTTTTAAAGTAGTTAGGAACGCACCACGGTCCCCCGCGGTCCCCCGTAAATTTATAATTATGCTAACCTTTCTTTTCTGGCTATATAAACTAATTATTTAGCTACATTTTTTACTATTATTAAATATTTCTTTTTGCATATACACGAATATTGATAATAAATTAGGTCTACTAATTAGTATATGGGTGAAACCACCTTATATTTATTTTCTTAAAGCTTTATATTAAGTTAATTACTAATAAATTATAAATTTCGGATTGTTATAGTTGGTATTTCAGAATTTACTTACAAATATATGTCCTCCTATTATAAAAATATAAAGTATATGACTTTAACCAGTTTCTGTCTATCTATCTGCTTAGAAAGACCTTCTTCTTAGTCCTTTATTTAAGGATTATAGATTGTGCTTATTTAGAGTGTATAAGCCCTTTGCACTCTATCTTATTCTTTTCTTTCTTTATCCAATTAAGTCTTCCTTAGTCGGATACTTCAACGGTCCGTGGTAGGGAAGTATCTGCAAAAGCATACCCCGCGCCACGAAAAGCTTCGTGATATCCGCCTCCCCTCCTCAGCCAACAATAATTATCTTTAAAGGCGTTCGGTATATCGAAGTATAGTTTTCCGTTAATATTCCTAGTGACCAGTGACCAGTGTATTAAGGTTAGCGAAAATAGTTAGACTACTAATATATCTAGGTATTAACATAGTAGAACGACCTACAAGTAGATTAAGCTTATATTACCCTAAAATACCTATGACTATCGTATAGCTTTTCATTAAGTTAGCTAAAAGGCTATTAAAATACTAATTAGAAAGTCCACTAACACTAAATAAACTAATCGTTAATTAGATATATAAAGTATACGAATCTATTATAAAAAGTATAATTTATTATCTAGGAAATAAATATAGCGCGATAAGGGCTAGTTTAGTTATAGGGCCTATAAATAAGGTATCAGTTACCTAGGTAATATAGGAAGTAGTAGTATATTCTCCTTAGCTACTAAAGCGCTCTAGGTAAGTAGCTAAGAAAGGAACTAATATATAACAATATAAATATAGTATATACGGTAAGCCTAGCTATAGGGTTAATAAATATCTAGTTAGGGTTTGAATACTTTATAAATATAGAAATACTTATATAGGTAGGCGGTAAGAACGAGAAATATATTAATACTATTTAGATTATATAATATAAACAAAGCAGATATTTTGGGCCTATTTCTTAGGCGCTCCGCGAAAGACTGGCTTAATTCTTTTATTCGGAGATCCTACCGCGGATTATAAGGATATTACAAAGGAGGTTATTTATAATCTGTCGGCATAAAAATATGACGGATCCAGCACTAAAAGTGTTATTAGCATTTTTAGTCTAGTGGTCAAAGTTTTGACATAATCTATATTAAGGTATACTACCTACCTTACTTACGAACGAGGATGCTATTTTTTAATATAATAATATACCGATATATACTATACATATCGTCTAAGTCCTCCTCTGCGAGTTAAATATAACTATAATGGATTGGCCGCCTTATTCGCTAGATTTAAATCTAATTAAGACCCTTTGGGGGTTATTAAAGGCTAATATATTAAAGCTACGGCTATAGCTTTATGAAATACCTAATAATAAAAGCTATTTAGGCAGAGCTAGTAGATATAGCGTAGGCTACGTAGGAATAGCTTACGATTAGGTATTTTATTAATCTAGCTAAGACTTTGCCTTATCGTATAGAGGAAATTATTTAGTATAAAGGATAGTATATTAGTTATTAGAAATAGAAGTTCTACTAGCAGAATCTATATAGGTCTAGACTACCGAAGTACTAGGGTTTAAATACTAATAATACGTGACTATATATAGATACCTAAAGATAGATAAATAGATAAGGCTAAGAGGAGAGAGTTAGGATATAAGAGTGTAAAAAAGAAGAAATTAAAAATAAACTTTAATGTATTTTTATATCTAGGGATAATAAATATATATAATAAAGTAATTCTCCTAATTAAGCCTTACTTATTCACTTCTAATCTTATATAAATACCTAACTTTATTTATCCTACTATAGAAATAATCTATAGCGAATAGCTCTAATTAGTTAAGCTTAATTATTAATAGGTTATATACTAACTTAGATCACTAAGATACCGCAGACTAATCTAAACTTTAAGGGTTTATATTACTAATACGTCTATATCAACCTTTATATATTTATTACTACCGCGTCTATCCGCGTATATATCCTTTATTTATTTACGCGCTCAAATTATATTATATTATATTATCCTTTCCCTATATATATAGGGAATTGTTAAATTCACCCCCCCCCTTTACTATTTTCACCCCCCCCTGCCTGAAAGTTCAGGAATCTAGCTTAAAATGGCCTAGTCTGGCATTATAATGACCGCTTTTCTCACCGCCTTACCCACCGCTTCTAAATCTCCATCTCCAAATATCTCTACCTTAATATATTATCTTCTTCCATACCACCCAGCATGGCATCTCTTAGCCTAGGATTGCTGTTTAACAATGCTTATATCGACGATATTACCGCACCAGGTAGGATTACCCGTCCACGAAGGTGTCTTACTAATGAATATAGATGATTCAGCAGCATCCAGCGACGATGAGGTCCCCCTGAACCCTCCGCCTTCTACATTCCCTCTACCCTCGCTTCAGCCGAAGTACGATACCTCCGAGCTCGCTTTTATCGCTGTGAATACCTTTGCAAAGCCGTACGGTTATGCTTTAACCAGGAAGCGATCGAAGACGACCAAAAAGGGCGTGATGAAGACAGTTCGGCTTGGCTGCGACCGCGGAAGAAGATATATAGGCCATACAAGGGAAGAGAGGATCCGGAAGACTTCAACGCTTGCGAATCAGTGTCCATTCAGTATGTCGGTCCGGCTTGATCTACAGTCCGATACCTGGTATCTCACTGTTGAGGATGAGACACATAACCACCTCCCTTCGCCTGGTATAACTCATCCAGTCCATCGACGGCTTGAGTACGTTCGCAAGGCTATCTGGATCCATGATCTTATTCGACAGGGTATTCACCCTCGCCATATCATCACGACACTCCGAAACGACGACCCTGATTCAACGATACAGCCCCGTGATATCTATAATATTCGAGGGAGGCTTATCAGAGAGTATTTGAATGGTCGTACGCCTATTCAAGCCCTGATGGAAGAGCTTCCGAAAGGAGGGAACTGGATCTTCAAGTACGAGGTCGACGAACAGCATCACATCACCGCCTTGTTCTGTATGCACCGGACCAGCCTCGCGATGCTGAAGCATCATCCCTGGGTTATCTCGATGGACTGCACATACAAGACGAACCGGTTTGGGCTACCAATGCTTGATATTGTTGGCTTTACACCAACCGGTGCGACATTCCACGTGGCCCTAGCATTCATCCAAGACGAGAAGCAAGAGACCTACACGGTTATTCTACGCTGTCTTACAGAGGCCTACGACTCTCTCGGGCTGGCCTATCCACGTACAATCTTGACAGACAAGGAAAAAGCGCTTATCAATGCTATACGGCAGGTCTTTCGGCTAACAAATATCATGGTCTGTCTGTGGCATATCAACATGAACATCATGAAGAAGGCCAGACCACTACTCGGAGACCAAATCGCTATCGCTCGTAGAGATAATATCTCTACCAGGCCTATGACGAAGGCCCAGATGGATAAAGAGCTTCGTCAGATGGTTGATACAGGATGGAAGAAGATGCTACAGGGCTGGAACCGCATCGTCTATGCTGATTCAGTAAGCGCTTTCCAGACATCCTGGACCTGGTTCCAGGCCCAGTATAGCGACCCTATCTTTTTACCTATCCTACAATACATCGAGGATGAGTGGTTAAACGACTGTCCGGAACAGTTCCTACATATCCACACGGCGCACTATCTCCATCTACATGAGAGTGCCACTTCTAGGACTGAAAGCGCGCATTGGCTTTTAAAGCGCGAGCTACAATCATCAACAAACGACCTTCTTGTCGTCCTACAGTCATTCGAACGCGCCCTGAACCGTCATTATGCTGATATTCAGTATCGAATCGAGACGGAGAGAGCTAAGATACCAACCAAGATCAACCCACTCGTCTCTTTATTGGCGCGGCGCATCTCTCTAAATGCGATACAGTCTGTGGAAGCACTAATAAAACGATATCTTCCTAAGGGAGCAGACGGTAAACCACCTATCCCATCATCCTGTGACTGCAGATCAAAGGAGACCGCGGGATACCCATGTATCCACTTGATCATCCAGTACCAGCAAGAGAACAGAAGCTTCGAGCCCTCAGACTTCCATGAGCAGTGGCATTTGTACGAGCTTGGCAAAGCACCCCCTATTGAACCTCTTCTCTTGATCCAGGACCCTCTGCCTGTTCGACGCCGTGGAAGGCCACCTGGAGCTACCAACCTCATATGGTCTTCCCAGGCGTCGAGCACGCAACAGAGCACACAACAGAGCACACAACAGAGCACACAACAGAGCACACAACAGAGCACACAACAGAGCACACAACAGAGCACACAACAGAGCACACAACAGAGCACACAACAAAGCACACAACAAAGCACACAAGACATAACATTTGACAGGTCCACCCAGCGAGAGCCATCGGCGTTCGAGCCCCAGCGTCGTCCACCACCTCGTCGACGCCCAGGGCGCCCTCCACCATCAGCACATAACCACGGACAAATACAGGGTGGAGATCGGGGTGATATAAGGGGTGGTAGAGGCCGCGGAGGTCGGGGATATCGTGAAGGGCGTGGAGGCGCGGTCGCCTCCACCGCTGGAGATCGGAGGGTCCTGCGTAGTAGTCAGCGTAGTCAGAGAGGTGCTGAGTAATCAGGTTTGACGTATCTGATTGGATAATAGATGGAGATGTACGTAAATGGCGGAAAAAGTGCGTTTAAATGGGACTGGAATCCAGTTATTTAATAAGTAAACCTGAAATAAAGGGTTTTCGGCTGAATAAACTAGACACCTCAAAAAAGAGGCTAGAATCTGCTGGCAGAAAACTGGGGCCTGAACTCTAAGGCAAGGGGGGGGTGAAAATAGTAAGGGGGGGGGGGTGAATTTAACAATTCCCTATATATATAGACTTAATGACGTTTAAGGATAAACACTCCTATATCAAGGTATTTCTTAGCTACTCTATTTCTTAAATAATTATCTAAACTTAGGCTTAGTAAGGATAATTAGGTTTAAGATAATCTTAGCTATTATTACTTAAATTTTAGAGGGTTTTACTAACTATTTTAGTGGGGGATTAGTGGTAATTTATTTAATTTTTGTTCAAAGAAGACTACTAATTTAGCTTAAATTACTAAGGCGACTCTATAATAAAAAATCTAAATTTATTAATTTAAGAACATTTAAATTCCTTATTTCTATATAATACGTAAGAGATATTAGAAAGGGCTATTCTAAAATTAAAGTAGGTATATTAAGGATCCAACAATAAATTACTTTCAGATTAAGTTTTAGGTAAAGATAAATTAGAGCCTAAGATTAATCTCTTAAGCTAAGGATAGCCTATAGCTTTATAATAAAATTAAAGATATAATTATATTCTAATTTCTAATTAAGATGTTATTCTCTACTTTCTTAATTTAGTTATAAATATTAGCCTAACGGCTATTAAAGTTCTAAATTAAAGATAAGGTCTATCTTTTAAAAGGTATCCTAAGATTTAGTATATTCTTATTACTATCCTGATAGCTTTTTATAAATAAACTTAGCCTACTTTACTCTATATAATAAATTTATAAAACGTTACTCTATATATCTTTTATATATCTATATTATAGTAACTTAGGGTGATATTAAATATAATATTAAGATTAATAAGCTAATCCTATCTTAAATATAAGGATATTACTAATTTTAATATCTTACTTTATCTCTATATTATAACTAAAAAGGTACTAATTTAGGACAAAATTACTAGGGGTTTGACTAAGTACTACGATTAATGTATTAAGATAGTTACGTTACGCCTAAATACTTTTAAGTTATCTAATATAGTATTAAATCTCTTATTCTTTAGCCTTAATATAACTAATTAGCCTTCGAATTAAGAGTACTCTCTTTTAAGGTAGAGTCTATAAGGAAGGATAATAGTATACTTTACTATATCCTAATATAGATATTAGATAGCCTTATAATATAGACAATACTATAATAGAATTAGTAGTAAGCCTACCTATGGCTATATATAACTCTAATCTAATCTATATCGAGGACAGCTATAGTGTAAGGCACCGCGACGGCCTACCGCGCCCTTGTCTCTCCACTATAGCGCCATAAATCGCACCTTTGAGGGAAAGGAATTAATATACTAAAGATCGAGCGTATTAGGCCCTTCGCCGTCGCACTATAATAGGAGCCACCCGAGACCTATATCGCACTTATAAAGAAATAAGCTATCAAGGAACATAATTAGGTAATCCGGGCCGTCTATAGCCTAAATTGAGCTATCGGC